AGCAATCACTCACAGTAATACAAAACCAAGCTGCTGCGTCGCGGCAGACCTCTCCTTCTGCGTCGGCATCAAGACGTCCCTTGCCGGGACAAGACACAACGAGCTCAAATCAGACCGCCCAGGTTGAAATGGACAAAGTCAGAGAGCTAGAGGAGCTGGTGAAAACCCACGAGCAAGAGCTTGAAAAAGTTGCGAGGGAAAATGAAAAGCTGAGGAATGCGCTAGGCCGGTATAGGGAGCGCTGGGAGAGGTTGAAGGAGGGCGCCAGGAATAGGCGAGAGGGGAATGGAAGCAGTAATACCGCCCGACCTAGTTCGACGACGGCAATACCACAGACCGATGGCACTCAACAAGACTTGCAATCGCCTGCACCTGCTGTTGAGAATGGGGATGTTATCATCGCCGACCCAGACCCCAATGATGCATGAATGAAAATATGAAAATATCGTATCAAAACCTATTGATATAGCGTATGAGTCTCAAAATTACATATTGAGTCAGCTCTTGTATTCTCTAAACAGGGGCAAGAAAATCCGCTTAGGAAAAGATGGGCAATCTAATGGCTATTTGTCTTGATTTTTTTTGGAATACAAACACCAGGTATTTTCCACCACACGATGTAAAGAGTGTATGTGCATCAGAAACTTACTCCAGAAGAAACAAAAATAACGTCGGCTGAGAAAGTACAAATGGGAGAATGAGAAAATCACGCGAAATGCACCTCGCTGGACCCTGAAAATGCCGAAATATTAGGAATAGGCACTCGACACTAATTGTCACCAGAAAATCCACTCAGATAATATAAATGCAAACGGAGGCGGGTGAGCGGGAGTTGCCAACATTGGAAATGAAATAAATATATATGAGGAAAGGCCACCTTCTAATCGTTATAGCGAGGGTCTTTGTACAGTGGACTGGTTGCTTCGGCCTTGGTCATTTTCGTCGGTTTCAACAGATGGGCTATCTTGACCATGGCCGTCGTCTTTGAGCATTCTCCCCCATCGTCGCCCACTTTCAAGCAAACTAGCACTAAAACGAGTGATATTGTCAGTCCAAGAGTCTTTCCTGCCGTGACCGCGGTGGGAGGGACTCTCGTCATTGCGCTCGGGTGGCGTCGAGGCGATATTATCTTGATCGTTTGGCGCGAGAGGAAGTCGGAATGTTACGGGAGGACCGAGAGTGCTGGCGCGGTTCAATTCATCGCCATATGGTTGGTGATGTCGGTTGCCAAGATCCCCAAAAAAGCCCGTCTCGGATTCGTATTCGACGTCGTGATCTGCATGCCCGTCTACTGCGGATGCTCTCCCATCTGGCGTTGATATAATCCGTTTCCTTCGCTGATATTTCTTCGGAGAGCCCTCGCCGCGTCGTAGAGATTCCGCCACAACGGCGCTTAACCCACCCGAAAGTGGCGGGAGAAGCGGCCCTGGTGAAAATCGCAGAGAAAGGCGATTTCGCGACGGGGATCTTGGAGTCCGTGAAATCGTATGTCTACGTGGACGGACCCGATTTGCATCGGATTTCGGAGTTGCTATCAACCGCGTGTCCAGGGGAGATTCGGTTGCGCCTGGCGCTGTAGGGAATTGGAGAATCACGCTGGAGCGCGGAGGCGGAGTGCCGGGACGCGCGTCTGCCGATACAGTTCGAGCAAACTCTTCACGGTGTGGAGTCCAGCGACTTGCAACATGTAATTCGGGACTAGCTTCTGGCGGTTCCAAAAGAGAGGTATCAGATATTGAAGGCGGCACAGAAGCAGGAGAACTGGATAATTGTGCACGCGGAGTGCGGAGTGTATCTTCATCATCATCTTGAAGGTCGTGTTCGCTCAGGAGAGATTCACAACGCGACTGCCTGTCCTCCTCTGTGGGTAGAGCTTGCTCGACTCGAGGAACTGCTCTATTGTCTGACTGATCATGCCAATCTAGCGAATCGCGATATGGTGTGCCCTGTAATAATCCAATCGCTTCTTCCTCATCTTGCTCCGATTCGGGGCCTCTTTCGCCCTGAGATCTCCCGCTTGTAATCAAGTAGACGCCCAGGAAAGTTAACGCGCATCCTCCAAAAAATTGGAGGCCTTGCTTCAGGGTAAGCGATTCAAAGTCGCGATATAATATAGCACTGCCAACAATTACCGAGATCGTGAATAAAACGAATTGTGTGGGGATCACCTGGGTCGAATCGAACCGTTGCAACGCTCGATTGATGTAACGAATTTGCATCATGGCAGTGACAATGAGAACGGCGGCCAGAGCGTAAGTTATTGGAAAGGTAATGACATGCCAGAGTGTATATGAAAGCAATGAGGAGACGCCTTTGGTTGCTAACGCCGTATATCCCCCTAAACATGTTTAGAGACGATTACGGTGCGATGGCAGACAAACTTACCAAATAACCCAACCAGCCCTAAATCAATCAAAATCGTCTTCCGTCCATGCTCCTTGCTAAACCACATCAAAATAAGAATCAGGCCAACCGTCAAACCGAGGTAAAGTTCAAATTCCCATCTGGTAATCATCCCGATAATGTCATCGGGGCCTATTTTCTCTTCGGACGTATTGGCACTCAATACAACCGTCACTGCACCGGCAATTGCAACAAGGACGCCCCAAAAATCTTGCTGGCGAAACCTTTCCTTCAGCATAATCGGAGCAATAACGCAATTCGACACAAGCGCAACGACACCAAGGGGTGATACAATGGAAGCAGGCGCAAATCCGTAAGCCAGGAAATTCCCAGCCTCGCCTATTGTCATGAGTATGATGCCGGTCCACCAATACGGAGAACGGAGATAGGATTTGCGCTCCTTTGACTTGGAAGATTTTTCTAACGAAGTGACTGTTCTTTCCGAGAGAAACGATTGCTTCAAACGATCGGTTCCATCATCGTCACTATCGTCAGTGTCCGTGTGGCCACTAACAGGCCCATCGGAAGACTGGCGAGCAGTGGGTATTTGACGGCGACAGGCATTCTGGTCATGGATTTCGGGGCGTATATCGGCAACGTCATCCACCCGTCTATCTATATTGTCCTGAACTCCAAAGCTGCCAGCTCGTTGGGAAACAGCCCCATAGGTTCCAGCTGACTGCCCGCCCTCTCCATGTACATCTCTTAGATCAGGATTCCCTATTTTCCACCCACGCTCGATCCGTTTTCGTTCCTGATCCCGTGCAATTCGAATATGTGCGTAACGTTGAATATTCAGCGCAAAGGATATCAAGACGTTACCGACAATTGCGGTGACGATGCCGATTGTAGACGACCATTCGCTGATTGGACTCCCCCCATCGTCATCTCCCGGCCGGGTACCCTCGCGGAGGGTGAGTGAGAGGGGCAGAGAGGCATTCGACAAGCTTCGGTTAACGAATAGAGAAAACAGGAGCGTGAACCACATCTTGCTGGTGATCCGAGGCCGCCGTTAGGGATAACGTTGGGCTAATTATTGGATAGCTCTGACGAAAAGCTAGGCCAGCACGAAACAGGGGGAAACCCGCCCTCTCCTTGTAGCAAAGGGAATCAACTGATGGTCACAATACAGTCAACAGCCACTGAGAGCTTGGTTTCAGGTTCCGCAGACTGCCACCAGACAGCTTCACGTCGACAAAGACTGGTAACTAGAGGTTGACGGGTCACTGTCGATCCAGCGATTAGCCCCAGCCTGGCAAGGAAACCATAATTACCTCCACCAATCGATTAAGACGCTGCTTATCGATGCCTTCAGCAATCAATTAGGCGCGGCATATGGAGTATCCGCTTCTGCGCCGGTCCGATTTGGATGCCAGTCGTCTTGCATGCGAACGGGAGCTTCCCTCGATCGCAGCGGGCGGAGAATTCCAAGCGGGCAGAAATAAGGTTATCCCGAAATTAGCCTAGCGGGGCTGGTGAAGCTATTCTTATGTAATTGCGTGACGTCACTGCTCGGAGCACACTTTTGCATTACGATAAGGAGGATATTATAAAATAGACATGTCCACTGAATCCCAAACTCCAAAGCCTTGTAGAAACTTGCGGCCATCTTATCGTTTAATCTTCTTCCTATCCGGACCCTGCCTTTGTTCCTCCTCGTCATCACTGAGTTCAGCAAAAATGGGCTTCGGCTGCGTATGCTTCCACGCATTTGTAAACAGCGGTTCCTTCTCCGCTTTCTCCGCATACTTCAACAATGCTGCTCTTGGATCCTCGTCTCTCATCGAGCTAAGAGGGATATTCTCCTTTATATGTTTCTCATCGGGTTGACTTTTGGCAAAGGGGGTCTGCACGGGAAGATGCGGACGGCGAGGGTCTCGAGGTCGGCCCGATGCAGTTAGGCCAACTGTCGGATGCCTGCTAGCGAAGCTCGCATGGGACTGGACGACGCCTTCACCAGAGAATCCAAGAGACAGATCAGTGGTAAGGTTAGGGTCGTCGTCGATATGGCGACGCTTCGGAGCTTTGGACATGATCGTAAGTGCACCGTTTCGCGAAATCTGGGGGTTGTATAGAAGATGCGTTTGTCCGTTTGCGGAGCCTGTAAGTATTTGGTTCAATTTCTCATGCCAAAGAACCGTGATAAGGGGTGAATTGGGGGTAATGGATGTCTTGAGTTCGGGCTTCAGCGTCGCAGGATTTAGAATGTACAGCTCTCCCGTTTCCGACCCTGTGATGATGTTGGCGCCGTTCGGGGAGAAGAGGATATTTGACGTAGGATATGACTTTGACCCAGATGGATGCGCAACTGTCGTCACGGGCTGCTTGAATTTCCTAGTGTCCCACAACTTGATGGTATCATCACCTCCTCTTGTTACAATTAATCTTCCGTCCGGGCTAATGTCAAGACCACTTGTCCAGGTATCTCTCGTGTGAGCATCCCTTATCTCACCGCTTGGCCTTGTAAACGGCCCATCGCCACTCCACATCACAAGGCTACCATCCAACGCAGCAGCCACGAGGATATTGTTGCCTCCTTGGGCCGGCGAGCCCCATGCAACAGCAGTCATCCTCGTCCGGCCCGCAGAGCCTGCAGCCCTCGATTTGTGCACGATCACCTCTTTTTGAGTCCTTCCGATATTGGCATCCCATATGCGGACCGTACTATCTGTTCCAGCCGTAGCGCATAGATTGTAATTCGTCGGACTCCAGGTCCCGCTAGTAACCTCCGAAATGTGACCCTTTGTGTTGCGCATGTCCCGCAAATACATATCGCCCTTGACAAACTCCGTCAACGTATCACCATCCCGAGATAATATTTTAGGCTGCGGAGTAGCAGCAATGACGAGCACCTGACTCGGCGATATCGGGTTAAACTTCGCGACATGGACTGGGTGTGTCTCCGAGGCAGTGGAATTCTTTTTAGCAGATGGCTCAACGGATTTAAAAGCGCGTAACGTTGACGGAGTGAGGGATGCGAAATCGTGAAACTTGATCGTGCAGTCTGTCGATCCAGTTATCATTCGAGCACCGGACGGATCGACCGTAATTGTGGTAATCGCCCGCTCGTGAGTTTTAAACACGAGATCATGCGTAACTGGGAACTCATCTTCATCGTCCTCCGATTCATCGGAGCTCGAATCGGGGTTCGACGCTGGTGCGGGAGCTTCGGCTGGGGAGGCTTTTGAATCGAGCTCGTTTTGCGGTTGGTCTTTGGGCTTTTCCTCGTGGCTCAAGCTGGCTTCCGTATCTCCTCGCTTCGTTTTGTCGATTTGCGCACCAACATCGGTTTCCCTGCTCTTTTTCCCAAAGCTTCCGGGAAAGAACTTTTTAAAAGCCTCTTCGTCAAATTCGTCCATGCTGTAAAGGCTGTCCTTGAGCTCCAGCGCAGGGTGCAGGAAGCCCAAAGCTATTGGCGGCTTGTGGCGATGTTTGCAGTGTTTGCGGTGGGCATACACAAGGTTCTCCCAAACAAAGCTCCAACGACATAGCGATTCACCATCTGCACGCAGGGCTATTACTTTGTTACGATGTATTGGATCAGAAGCTGGATATTATGTAGATACCGCTAACCATTGAAACCCGTCAGACGCTAGTGTACATTCAGCTATGCACAAGTCCCAAAAGCCCATTCTACAAGTAAAGACCCTCTGGCTCATTCTCACTCTTAGTCTTCATCACACGCTCCCTAGCTGCCCTAAAGTCCGCCATTTGAACCCGCATTCGTCGTTCTCGGAGCGCCATCAAACCTGCTTCGGAGCAAATAGCCTTGATGTCGGCACCGGAAAGGTCATCCTTCTGGCTAATGAACTCGTCCAGATCCACGTCTTCGCTCAGAGACATCTTCGACGTGTGAAGCGTGAAAATCTTCTTCTTGGTGTTTTCTGAAAAAACTTGTTATTGGGGAAGGGCTAAGGGCAATGCGGACGCTGGTAACTTACGATCTGGATTTTCAAAAAGGATCTTGCGATCAATACGGCCTGGTCGAATCAAAGCTGGGTCTAGAGTTTCTATTTTATTGGTAGCCATGATGACCTTGACATCGCCTCGATCGTCGAATCCGTCGAGCTGGTTCAGGAGTTCAAGCATGGTACGTTGAACTTCACGCTCGCCGCCGGAAGTTGACTCATAACGTTTTGTTCCAATGGCATCGATCTCATCGATGAAAACGATAGACGGGGCATGTTCCGCAGCAACCTGGAAGATTTGACGAACCAACCGTGGGCCATCACCAAGATACTTTTGGATCAACTCACTACCAACAATACGGAGAAACGTAGCACTGGTCTGATTGGCGACAGCCTTGGCGAGTAAGGTTTTCCCCGTACCCGGGCCTCCATAAAGAATCACGCCCTTTGGGGGTTTGATGCCCATTTCTTCGTAAAGTTCGGGGTGCAACAGTGGCAGCTCGACTGCTTCCCGAACTTCCTGAATTTGCGACTCCAACCCTCCAATATCAGCGTACGATTCTGTAGGCGCTTTGTCGAGCTTCATAACGGAAACCAAAGGATCCGCATCATCAGTGAGGACGCCAACAACTGATACCGATTTGTGATGAAGGAGGATGCTAGCTCCAGGCTCGAGTAGATCTTTGTCGACAAAAGACATAATCGAAACATAGTATTCAGGGCCCGTGGCACTCGAGATAATGGCGTGGTCGTCATCAATCATCTCTTCAAGATTACCAACGCTCATTGGGCTCCCTCGCATGTCATCGACACGGCCCCGCTCATCCGCGTTTCTATCAAGGGCATCGAAATCGTCACTTGCCGACGGTGCGGCCGACGCTTGGGCTTTGGTTTTGCGAAGGCGCTCTTGATTCTCTACGTACTCCTCTTCCAAAATCAAGTGATCATGGGATCCGCTGCATTCGAAGGTACCGTAGCTTGCAACGTGAAGTCGGGTAAATCGTCGGGAGTTTCGCTGCGGCATTCGGGCCAGCAGCCTTGCGTTTCTTGCGACCGATTCTCGTTGTGGGTTGTGGAGGAGGTTCGTACTTTGGCTTTTCCTTCTATAAAACTCAGCAGTTAATACACGGAGCAGGGTCCAAGGGCAACCACGGTTAACGTCACACACCTTCTTATCTTGCTCATCCTTTCCATCACCCCCAGGAGGGCCACCTCCCATCTGAGACGGTTGATTTCCCTAGATTGTAACAATCAGCGCCATCACGAGAAGCTCGTGAAGGAAAGAGTCGCCATACCATGATTGCAAGCTAGAGGGAACGTCGAGAACACTTCGACGCCTAGTACTATCAGGTGCAAAAAGCAGGTGTAGCAGAGTCTTGCACTCAAGCAATAGTAGAAGTAAAGTGGACGATGCAAGGCTCAAAAAATCCAAACTGGTGGAACCGTGAACGAGAGCTGTTGCTGGCCCCCAAGCTGAGGCGACTTGATGTCCAGCTGTATTGCTTAGTCAGCAGTTAGCTAGCGCTTAACTATAACATAATACCACTCAACGACGGTGGATTCCTTATGTATGGAAATATTATCTTTAAAGCTAGACTAATAAGTCAGTACAGTTAACTATACAATATGAAATTCTATATATGACTCGTAATACAGTACATACTGTGTAGAATAGTTCATAATGGAATTAGCCGCTGTTGAGGAGTGGCCATTGTTGAGTGGTAAATTACATTAACTAGGCCAGTTGATGTCATTATGACTGGTCGATCTGTTGTTAGTCAGCCCGATATTCCTCTTCCTCACACTCTAGAGAATCAGACATCTTCATCTCTTGAATCCACTCACACATTTTATGTGAATTTATTCTCTTCACGACTCTCGTTCCTTCAGATAAAAATGGCAACAACCAACAATCAAGACACAAACCAAACAATGTCCAATTCCAATCCATCCCCCCTGCCTTCCACTGAAGAGCTATTCAAAATGCCACGCGACAAGTTGGAGAAATTGATGTTGGAGCTAGGCTTGGAGTCATCTGGTAATCTCCCCAACAAAATACAAAAGCAAAAATTCAATTTGTGCAGCAAAATTCAGCCTTAGGCTAATTTTCATCTGAAGCTCCTAGTAAGGACTCATTCCTTTCTGGATCGCCTGACCTTGACTATGAGCAAGAGGTCTACAATGCTGCTAAACAATGTAAGCCCGCAACTGAAGGCCCACCATCCTTACCTATTTAGATGAATCTAAAGCTCTTACACACCCAAGGAAATAGCATTCGGGCGAGCTGTATCATCAAAGCCTTCAGATACGAATACTTAACTACACGTTCTGGCTCCGACTCTTGAGCTCGATTCTTCCGCAGATGAACTGCGTTGCAACCCCTAACTAAAGGGCTTAGCCACGCCAGAAAAATGGGCTTAGAGTGGCTAACTTAAAAGGCCCAGCATGGCTAAAATCGGAGGCACGTCTGAGCTAATTAGCTGAGGCAACAAACAAATGCCTCTCTTTTCTATAAGCTCAAATATTGAGTGTAATAAGAAGCTTAGTTACCCCAGCTACAAGGGAGGCTATTATTGAAATGAAAGCTGAAGAAGCTACAGGGGCGCAGATAGCAGTCTACATACAAATCCTCAAGGGGTTGTTTATACTACTCTCTATCAACATCTTCCAGAATCAATTATAGTTATCCAAATCTCAATCCAGCTGTCCAAAATCTCTCTCATCTCTAGAGCAGAGATTGGTGCTTCAATATATAAAGCAAAATTCTTTTGCAACTTATGAACTTCTCAAAATTGAGCCTGAATCGAGTCTATCCAATTACATTCAAATCACTGAATATATCAAATGAAGCCTGGCTTAATCCCCCAGAACCGCGCAAACAATGTGTTTTCGCAATAACGAGTTCCAGGTACAGATCCTCAACCACCAAAAGTCAGTAAGTGGAATTATAATCTGTTCTTTCATCATCTTGTTTATTCCTGAGTTGTGCTTGATCGCCTGAGCTGCATCATGGACGCCAATGGTGACTACGGAGATTTCATCGACCCCTACTCTGATGATGACTTTGAATACTTTGTTGAAACTCCTTCGATATACCAACCTAGCGCCGACTATCTCTACTATCCCCTTTGTCTTGGAGAAGTTCTGAACTCCCGATACCGCGTGGAGCATAAGCTGGGCCACGGCGGCTTTTCCACAGTCTGGATGGCCTTTGACCTGAAGAAACAAACCGATGTTGCGCTCAAGATCTTGACTGAAGGTCAGGGGTCAAATGAATATCATATGCAGAACGAAATCCTCCAGAATGTGAAAGATACATCTCGTTTAACTCTGTATCTCGATACTTTTGTTCTTCCTGGAGATCACAGGGTTCTTGTCTTTCCCTTGCGTAGCCCAATGCTCTCCGTAATCACGTTAAAGGCCAAATCCATGGCTACGCGCATGTCTGCAGCGAGACAGTTGCTTCAGGAATTGGAGAGTCTACACAAGGCTGGAATTGTACATCGAGGTATGGACCTAGGTATTTCTACTGGTGTTGTAGAATCTTACTAACGCTGGCAATTTTTTCAATAGACCTCAATCCGGGGAACTGTATGTGGAACATAAAATCCCTGGCTCATCTAGAAAGAGACGGTAAATACGCGCAGTCCTTGGCCGGCCACAAAAAGCTGCCATACCGCAGAAGAACATCTGTAGGCCTGGGGAGCTGGTCAAGGCCATCGCATTTCCCGAGAGCTTGCGCACGGATGACTTCTATCTAGGCGATTTCGGCCTCGCAATGAATCTTCATACTAGATCCGACGAACAGCCAGAAGGTAGGCCACCGGTGGCATACTGCTCCCCAGACCGGTATTTTAACAAAGACCCAAGCCCAGCATGTGATATCTGGAGCTATATGTGTATCTTCTCAACACTGTGGTGTGGGATTACCCCATTTCATACCAGGCCCGGTGAGCAGGAAGTGAGTACCATGGTGGCCAAGTTAGGGCCGCTGCCGCTGCCGTTCAAAGGCCACTACATCTGGCCTGAGGAGGAGGAGGATGCATGGTATATCCACACGCCCAATCCACGAAACCCCGGATGGGATCTTGAAGGAACAATCACGAAATTCTCACATTTTTCCGGCACCGAGGAGCGAAAGCATGTACTGTCGCTTATGCATAAATGCTTTAGGTACCTCCCCGAGGAGCGCCCGACGGCAACGCAGCTTCTCCAAGATCCGTCAAGCAATCATGGATATGTACTGTTAGTAGAGGAACATTTCCTGTGTGGTTGATGTGACCATCAACTTCCCTGAAGCTAAAAGGATATTGTTTCCGGATTAGTTAACTAGTTAAATAACTACCTAACAACTTCAAACAGCAGCCACATATTCTGAAGGTCTATTTACATAGTATGCAGGATTATTCGTCTGGTGGAAAGCCGGGACCGGAATCGGGAGCCCGGTTCCACCAGACCAGCCTAATGTAAGATGGGTGAGTGGTGTATCTGGACGAATGTTAGCACAGAAATTGTGTCATGATGAAGAGCAACTTACTATTCTCAGCTTTCTCAAAGTGGCTGGTTGCCTCTAGATCCATGTTGGGGGCTGTCTAGAGAAAGTGGCTTGCTGTTGAAGCTCTTGAAGCTCTTGAAGTCTAGAGCACTGACCAACATGACCATAAAAGCTGTCTTCACTGCAGAAGCAATATATCCCATCTCCTTTATGTTCTCTAAAGAGTTTAAAATGTTGGCAGGAGTTCTGAATATGTCTGCTGACTTTGCGGTGGGACAATGGCCTTTTGCAATATGGACATGGATGTTTGGGTTCAGGTGCAGCAGAGATGAGTCCAATAGAAATTTTTTTAAAGCTGAATAGAATTAAAGATTTCATCGTTTTCTTTTAGAGAGAGACCATCTTCAGTATTCAAGATTTCAGTTAAGATTCCATATATATCAAAAGCACCCTAATGAAGTGCGGAACGTCGTGTATCCCCGAAAACAAAATTAGAGGTCCCCCGAAACCATCAATCACTTTCCATAACTAGTATGCTGGGAGCAATACTCAATTCTGGACCATGGAAATCTGAATCCAAGACTGTTCGATCTTACGCCCGTCATCCTCGGTTAGCTTCAATTGCTGGACCACGTTACCGTCATTTAAAAGTGCTCTCATCCGATCGGTCATCTTCAAGGAGAGGCTCTCCAGCATTTCTGCTCCTTCACCCACCGGCGAGAGGACGGGTACCAACTTCTTCAGATGCTCAACCACGGACGCGAGCTCAAACTTGAGGCCCGAAAAGGTGTCGACCAATTGATCGATTTCTGCCGCGGGAAGAGCCTCCAGAATCGTACGAACGATATATGAAGTTCTCACAAAGGTCCAGTTGCGCGCAGTTGCAGTGTCTAGAGCAGCAGAGAGCTGAATGCTGGCTTTGGTAGGCATAAACACCTCTCCGGACAGCACTGCTTGGGTAATCATATCTGCCAACAGCTTCACGTTCCGAGCGTGATCCTTGTCCTTTGCAGTCCTTAACTCGGCTTGGATCTTATCCAGTCGGTTTTCCATTGCTCTCAGGGTCATCTGTGCGTAGTGTAGACATGATTTATATTGAGTAGAGATGTCTCTCCATTGATTGACTGCGGCGGCGGCGGCTTTCTGCGCAGGAACTGCGGAATCAATGTTGTACTCGACAAACTCTCGAAGACTCATCTTCCCCTTAACGACGTCTTGAATGGCGAATCGCTGTCGTGAGCCCATGAGCTGAAGTGCACGGGTTGACTCTCCTTGCAGAGCTGTCATTTGAGTCATCCCGTTCCGTGTTGCTGCTAGGATATCGAGCACGCTTGTTTTCTGGGATCCAGCATTATCACACTGGCCCACGAGGCCACGTACATGCGGCAGACGCATCGCCTCATCAATTGCTTGAACAGTGGCGTTAAGCTGGCGGGTTTGATCGCTAATCGTTTTGATCACCGTGGGCGACAGGGAAAGGACGTCAAGCATGTGGTCATGGTCCGATCCACTGGCGATGGTCGCCTTCAAGACTAGCATGAAGCCCGCAAGGATCTCCCTTACGAGCGCCGTGTCTGCCGCGATATCCTTCCACTTTGCATCCAATATCCGTTTCATGCGTACAGGATCCATGCTGATCCACTTTTTGATCCGATCAAGGGACAGGGCGATCTCTCCGGTAGCCCCATTCACCTTCTCGACCATCTCTTTCCAAGTCAAGGAATTACCATCAAAGATAATCCCGCTTTTTTGGCTCTCGCGACGGGGAGCAATGTCGTTCTTTTCAATTGGGCCGATTATGAACCAGTTGTACCTCATTTCAACGTAACCTTTTTGCAAAGAAATCCAACTGGCCCTTCCATCTGTCCACCAGGGAGGCGGATAGTCACGCTCACATTCCTTCTTCTCCTCCTCCATAGCAGCTCGATGAATCTGAATTTTGATTTCAAATTCTCTAATCTCCCGTTCGAGCGTGTTTTGATAGTCCCGCGCGATTTGATTGATCTTCGCGAACTCGTTGTGGGCCATAACAGCCCAGGTCCCGGCTTGGCTGCAAAACTCGATGGCTTCGTCCAGCAATGGATCGGAGATCTCGAGCGTTGCTTGGCCCTCTGGGTATTTGTCCAGCAAGTCTTGTATTTTCAGGCACATTTGTTCAACAGCCCCCAGGCACTGGACGGTTAGTAAGCCAGCTTGCTTTGTTCTGAGTACCATTAAAAGGTACTCGCTATCGCCTGTTTTCATGTCATTTCTGGCAGGGAGAGCGAACATTTCAGAGTTGGCTTGTAGCAAAGCGATATCATACCAGTTGTCCGTTAAAATACGCTCGCGCCGCTTAGCGGCAGTGGCCAGCAAGGCAACGGCTTTCGCGTTCCGCATGCGCTGACGATATGCCGAGAAATCACGGCGAGCAAGAAGCTGAATACCATCCTTGACCTCCTGGGTGCGTAAAGAGACGAGCTCGACGAAACTGAGGGCGAGTAGCACGGGCGGTTTCGAGTTTAGTAGGTCGGTATAAGAGGTCGCTACTTGTACTTTCGGCGGCAATTCAATTCCCTGCTCAATAAGCACTTGTAAATATTTATCGGCTCCTTTTAGGATCCTCCCCATCGCATCTCTGGCACTTATGATGTTTGCCGGCGTTGACAACCTCTCTTTGCCGAGCTGTTTGAGGATCGCTTCCTCGAAAGCTTCAACCCGTCCAGCAGTGAGGTTCAGGCCACCCCAGAAAGCGGTCATTTGTTTGTACATCTCATCAAGGTTCGTATAGTTAGTCACAATGGAGGAAAGCTCATCGATTGCCTGCGAAGTGACTCGAATTTGCGCCTCGGTGTCGGCAATAGCTTTCGCAAGTTCCGAGATTTTCTGCCCGAGGGTCACGGCAGCGACCACGCTGGCGACGAACAAAGCACCCGCTGCCTTTAAAATCGTGGGATTGGCTCCGAAAAATAGCCCGATAACTCCCAAAGCCAATCCTAGCAACGATTAGTATCTAACGTTTCAAAACCTGAAAATCAGAGTGAAGGCAGCCTTACCGAACAGAGCACCTGCCACTGCTCCCCAAAATGCTGCCTTGAGCTGGTTCCATCACCTCCTGCTGATCTTTTAGGGTGTCCCTCTAATCCTTTCAATTTATCCCTGAGTAACGTAAGCTGTTGTTCCAGGTCAAGCCGGGACTTTATGTAACTGTGCGGACATAGCCGGCCACGTCTTCTCCGGGAGCTTTCAAGGGTGTTGAAGAGATCATCAGACCAAATGATTGCCTGATCAATTTCTTGCCAGGCGGCATCAAGTGCGATGGCCTGCTTTTCATCCTCCCCCCTTGCATCAGCCCAAGCCTTTTGTGCTTCTAGAACAAGTCCAATATGAACATCGTAGCTCTCAGCGCAAGCCCCGATATCGTTGATTGCTGGCATGACCACCTTTTGCGCCGTAATATAACGTGATCTGAGTGCGTTCGTCAACACGTTAAGATCCAGCATGACACCCGGTGAACCTGGGCCCAAACGAGTAACTCCATCTCTTTGGATGACTTTGTTCCAACGTACTGTCGGTTCACTTGATCCGCCGGTGGGGGCTTCGACCTGTCTGCGATAGACGTAGTTATCCTCACGTATGACCACCAGGCCCGTGTCAGTCGCAGTAAAGTCAGTTACTCTGTCAATAGAAACCTGATTCGCCGGTTTGTACGAGCGCTTTCCGATATCAACGGTGATATCCCAGGTCTTATTCCCATCATCCAGCCCAATCAGCTTCTGATTGTAGTAGGCAATCCGGGTCCACTTTGGGGGGCTTCCGGCTCCCTCATGCGACATCGTCTCCCATGAGTTCGACGGATATATGTCATCTTTTGCAAGAATTTTGATTGTCCCACTCTTCTCGAGAATCAACAAATCAAAGCTCATAACATCTCCTCCGTCATCCAGCTTTGCGAACGGAATCACACTCTGAAGGTCGGTGCTCGGAAGGACATCATCACCAACTTTGACCCATTCGTTGACATACATCTTGGACCAGTCGTTATTCGCTTCTTTCAGAATGGGATCATCTCGTGCGCGAGGAGATTTTTTCCAGGCAGTTTGGCCATGGGCCACATATAGGTTGCCTTTGTACGGAAAGAAATGGACTTTACTGGGGTCGTTCGCGGCGTCTCCGGGTAACGGCCCAAACGGTTTCCAGGATTCATTGATGCCATGGCTGTCCGCGTCAACAGAAAGATACATGATCTGGTTTCCCCCTTTCAACCCTAAGACGGGAACGGTATTGACGACGGCCGAGTGATTATTGAGATATGGTTTTTGCTAACGTTGAAAGTCAGTGTAGTACCGCGTATGGGCTATCCGGACAATCTTACGAGCACTTCGTCGAAGTTATCCATAATAGGACCGATTGCTTCTGCCATTTCCTCCAGATTCGGAGCCTGGCTACCGAAGCCGTCGTCTTCGTCACCCGAAATTTGTTTCAGAAATTGCTTCCCATCCTCGGGGAGCTCTGCCTCTGCTTCAAGAGAGGCCTGGGGTATATTTTTTTGCGGCGTGATAGCCTTTTGTGCCTGCGTACGGCATGAACGAGGGACGTTGGCGGCACGCAACTTCGAGATGGAACTCTCGACAAATTTGATCGTGCTTTTCAGAGCGGAAGTAGCCTAGCGATGTTAACACATCCGGTTTGACGACGCCATCATGAACTCCCGTACCATTTGCCTGGCCTCAGCACTGTCCTTAGCCTCCTGCGCATTCTGCACCCTGTTATCCGATCGCTGCAGTTCGGCATGGATGCGAGCATGGATGCCATCTGCGGCGGAGATTGCGTCTCCTAAGCTGTTCATATTGTCAGATTGAAACAGAACAGAAATCTCAATAGGTTTAATCTTCACATAAACTGCAAAGTTGCGTCCAGTGTTTGGGTAAGGACTAAGAGTCTCGTCTGGGTCTGATGAGCTATTTAAAGGACAGTAAGAGGACCGATGTTCCGTTTGGCACCCTCGTTTCCCTGTTTCATTGTTACCTGCTTCCCCGCTCTATACACACTTTGTTGAGTGATTTCTTGGAGGAAGGACGGATCGTACGGCACAGTATACCGATGGATGGTCCGTGGGCTTAACCGTCAGCCAGCCCATCCTTGCTCTTGTAAAACGGTCCAGATTGATTGCCCGAACTGGTCCCAATCAGCGGAAGTTCCATGTGCCTTGGAGGCCTGAGTTCCAACCATGTTAAAACCCAATTCAGGATCTGATGGTCGTTGAGCAAGTGTTGTCCAAGGAGCACACAAACATACATGATCTGCGAGTGAGTCGCTCGAAGTCTCGATATAAGTGGGGGGCGATCATTCACTCTGGCTATGCTAAGAGGGCCGGACAACGGGATCGATGGTTGTTCGCCGTTGCGGAGAGTCTCACAACCGAGTTAGAAGGGGGATGGAGTTATGCCATGTAGCAACTCAAACTGACGCAATAGATCTCTGATCTTCAGTCCTTCTTCATACGTAGGTAAACGGTTGCAAGTTTAACCAAAGCACCGCGCCCGTTTCTTGTAAATCCAGAATCGCAAGAACCCCCATGTTCTCAGAGCACCCAGCCATCCAATGGTGCATCCTGGGACATCAGCCTGCGATTGGCGATCAAGTACTCCAAACTCCAGCGTGGAATGTGATCTGGGTATCTTTGCATTCAGGCTGCATGATGTTGACTTTCTCAGAGTTGGATCACATCTCTTGGATGATGTCCGCCGGTTACTCCGTTACGGGTCAATGGGATAGACAGACGGGTCTGGTGAAGACTTCAACCTTCAGCCCGCCACCGAACCACCTCAAAGGTGCTGGATTGATTGACGTTGCTGGCCACCATCGCCGGAGAATGAAATTCCGAGTAACTGCAAGATCACCAAGCCGCTTTATATTGGAATCATGTGATGGCAAAATCACAGGCACCAATCAAAATTAATCTGCACTGTGGCAGCTATGGGCTTCCGTACGCCGCACTGGTGTGCCGTAGTTAATCACTCCTGCTGATATCCAAGCTCCTTATTAGTAGGAATGGAGTTGAAGAAGAACAGATCTCCATGAACACAATATGCAACAATAAAGAGCCACAAGGTTTTGCTTTGCAGAGCCCTGTAGACACTCATACCAGGAATCTTCAGCCCATTGTCGCCCAAAACTTCTTCAATTCGGAGCTTAACCGCTGAGTCTTCACCATGCGGCCATAGACGATTAACGCTACAGCGTCCCGCACCAAGTCTTACTTATGAAAAGATTGTACACTGACCTTGTCAGTTCTCTATCCTTTACTCGCTTCAACCTCTCCCATCAAGCTAACCGTCTGTTCCGAGTCCGAAGCTCGGTGTCTACTCACAAAATGCTCGAGGACCAGCTTTATAGAACGTCTACTCAATATCGCCTTTGGTCATTCACCAAGGAATCTCTAGGTTCCATTCGACAAAACACCAATTCCCTAGCCAGCTCTCGAGTCAAAGTCGCCATTCGCCGAGCGCAGGAAGCGCGTCGACCCGCGTCGACCCCAGGAGAAAGCAATGGAGCAAATTCAAAGGACAAAGGAACTGCAGGGACGAAGGAAGCGGTTCCATGCTTGACGGCGGAAGATGAATTGGAATTGGTGCAATACTACTGTGAGAAGACACTGGAGCTGGGGGACGAATATAAACCTCCACTACCGACAACGGTGAGGGTATGGACTGCGCTCTTTTATCTATTAAATTGCCATAAAAGATCGATGCTGATGGTTTCCGAGTGTAGGCGACAGCGATCCAATATCTCCGCCGTTTCTACCTTACCAACTCACCCATGACCTATCACCCCAAGTCCATTATGCCTTGCGCCGTCTTCCTTGCCACGAAAACAGATAACTACTACATGCCCCTCCGTTCTTTTGCCGAGAAGATACCAAACACAACCCCGGAGGATATTATTGCCCCAGAATTCCTACTTACCCAGGGCCTCCGTTTCGCTTTCGAAATCCGCCACCCCTTTCGAGGTTTAGAAGGTGGAATCATGGAACTCACCGCCATAGCACAAGGCAACGGATCAGCAGCCCCCCATCACACAGGAGTAACATCGGCAATGCTCCAAGAAATTATTAATTCTGTCCCTTCACCATCCCCAGAAGGAGTGGCACCAGCTTCAGTGACTGACCGGATTGCCACCGCCCACGGAAAATCCAGACAGATCCTCAAGACCGCAGCTCAAATGACAGACGCCTACTTCCTTTACACACCATCGCAGATATGGCTTTCCGCGCTTTTGCTCGTGGACAAACCGCTCCTGGATTTCTACCTAGACACAAAGCTCGCCCGGGCAAAAGACGATCCTCACCCATCATGGATACCACAGGTTGTCCCCCACCTAATCTGCGACATGCACAAGCTCTCGGCTCTCCGTGGAGAGCTCGACACTGTCCTAGCAAACTGCTCTGCTCTTTTAAACGCCTATTTGACTAGTCACGATCCCAACGCCCCTCCTGACCCAGCTCGAATGAAAAACTTAAAGCGCATCGGCAAGAAGTTATATCACTGCCAGAATCCAGAAAAACATTCGGAATTAAATGCAAGTGGCGCTCGGGCTGGAAAAAGGGAGGGTTCAGGGAGCGTGACACCGGCATTGCTGCCTACGGCTGGCGAGGACGATACTGAGGGTCGAACACCAAAAAAGCGAAAATTGGAGGCCGATGCAGCGGATGCCGGATGATTATGATGATGATGATGATAAATGATTGGCCGGAGTCACGGTGATAATGGGATGGGGCATCTTGCTTTTCGATTTCTCTTTTGTACCCTCACATATGCAAGCTTGAGGTGGGAAGTATGTACAATATCAAATATCCCGAATTTGCAAGCTTCGCTTGTGAAGATGAATGAAAACAACTTTTTATTTGAATTAACTTATGCATCCAAGGTTTGCCCCGTATGGTTATGCTATTTTAAAGAGCCGGTCATACCATTCCAAGCTTGAGGAAGAGTCTCATGAAAGCCAATTTATTGATGTCAATACCCTTAATTACCATTTTTGACAGAACACTCTTAACCAAGCCAAATATGGCCAGTGAAACACTAAAACCGTCCCTTTTATCATAGTAATGAGTGAAACGCAAGAAAAAAAGTTATAATGGTATTGTTGAAAAGACGAAGCCTGGAAACGGTCGAAAGGAGGGAAAAACATTAAACCTGCCCAGCGGAAATCATCTTTTTCCTCAAGTGAGTCTTGTATTCGCCAATAGTGCCGTCCCACCGGCGAACAGTCTTGTATTCGCAAACCATGATGTCCTTGGCGATCTTATCAAGCAACCTGCGAGGAATAGTATGTTAGTATAGTCAAATATGGATACTGCTAGGGATGCTGCGAACCTGAAATCGTGGGAGACGACCACAACACCTCCACTAAACGCGTTAATAGCATCTGCCAAACTATCGATAGTAGGAATATCAAGACCGTTGGTTGGTTCGTCGAGGAGAAGCATGTTGGGCCCATCAATGGCAAGCAAGGCAAAGACGATTCTGCTCTTTTGGCCCTCAGACAGAGTGCCCATCAAGGCTGTCTGAGCTTCACCAGTAAGCCCATATCGACCAAGTTGCTGGCGCCAGTATTGATAGTCCTGCGACTTTTCCTTGTATTTGTCTCTGACAAAATCAAGAGCGGATTTCGTGAGATCGAGCTGTTCTGCGGAGTGCTGACTGTACAATCCCAGCTTCAAATGGGTATGACGCGTGACAGTGCCAGACGTCGGGCTTAGTTTACCGGTCATGAGACGAAGAAGAGTGGATTTTCCAACACCGTTAGGTCCGACCAAGGCAGTTCTAGAATCCATGTCAACACCAAAGTCGAGATGCTCGTAGAGGTTGTCTTTCGACTCTCCGCTATAAGAGAATGTCACGTCGTCGAAGGAGAGAACGGGTGGGGGTAGTTTCTCAACATCCGCGAAACGGAATGTGAAAACTTTATCCGGGATGACTGGCTGGATAAATCCTTCGGCCTCCATTTTGTCCAGGATCTTTTGACGCGACTTGGCTTGTCGTACAAGGTTGGCGTATGTTCCGGCAGACGCGATGAATTTTTTAATGTGTGCAATTTCTTCTTGTTGCTTATGGTAGGCCTTCATCTGGTTGGTCTCGTTTTCGGAACGAGTCTTGTGGTACGTGTCGTAGTTACCACCATAATACACCAACTGCCTTTGACGCATATCGATCATAGTTGTGCAAACACCGTTCAAAAAGTCCATACTGTGTGAAACGAGTATGAGCGTACGATCCCATTTTTTCAGGTATTCTTCTAGCCACACACAAGCCTCCAAGTCGAGATGGGCAGTTGGGTCATCGAGTAGGAGCAATGATGGCTTCACAAACAAAGCTTTTCCGAGCGCAACACGCATCCTCCAACCACCGGACATGTCCTTTGTCTTCTTGGTAATAGTGTGCTTGTTAAAACCCAAACCAGTGAGGATCAAGGAGGCTCTGGTATGAAACGTCGACGGGTCCATAGTTTCCATACGCTACAGTCAGAGTTAGCATAGCTCTCAAAACAAAAACCGCTGTGAATTTACCTCGTAAAGGTCCTCAAGAATAGGGCTCTCTGGTCCGTCTTTCTCTAGAATTTCTTCAGCTAGTTTATCTAGCCTGTCCATTTCGTTTTCCGCCTCTCTAACAACCCATTCCAAGGCGCCAAGCTCGCTCGGTGGTGCACCCTCATTCAGCAGGTAGATATCAATGTGTTCGGGGATGGGGAATTCTCTCTTGTCGATAGCTTTCAAAAGTGTGGATTTGCCGCACCCGTTCTCACCGAGCAGGCCGTATCGGCGACCATAGTTGAGCTCTAGGGTGGTATCGGTAATCAGGACACGGCCGTGGAAAACGAGAGATGCTGAAGTAATTTTGACGTCCCGACTGGCGGCAAGCGATGACAACACCCCGGTCGTGACGCGGTCAGATAAACCGTGCTTATCCATCTGTTCTGTCAACTTTTTGACATCAGACATTTTGGCGGCGCTGGTGGCTGGCTCATCGACAAGATTGGTATCATCCACCGCATCGCCATTGACAGACGAAGCTTGAGAGGCGTTCTTCGAGTTTACTTTCGAAGATAGCCGGGAAGCCGGTGTCTTCTTATCCTTACCCTCTGCGGCACGTTTTGCCTGGCGGGCGGCCTTGGATGCGGAAACCATCGTGGGCTAGTATATGTCGTCAGGAAGGTGCTGAGCTTGAAACTTCGGAAATCTCCCGCGGAGAATTTCGAGGAAGAGATCTATGTATATATCTAAACGAGAAGGGGAAATATAAAAGCAATCTGAAAAGGTTTGCAGGATATGCTGTCGGAGGTGGGGTTTTGGGGGGCCTTATCGATAGCGAAAGCCCTAAAAAAGTGGGCTGGGTTCAAGGAGACAACAAAGACTGCTATCTATCAATCCGAAGCGCCTTCAGATTGGCCCAAGGATTTGAGGATGGGATTAGAGATGAGATAGGAAATATAGGGACACAAGTAAAGGGAAAAAGGAAGATGTCCGCTGAATATCAGACCAAGTGAGCGATGATGTCGTCCGTTGATTTTGAATTTTGCAAAAATCCTTGTGGGGGGCTGCTGAGATAAGCAGCCACTTGCCACTGCCAAGTCGGTGCTACAATTCTCCGGTGGTGAGTCAGCATTGCGTCACATGATGCTCTGGCGCTTTGGCCGTGCGACTCGATGATTCTCAACACAAGAGCAGCCACACAGAGAGCAGGGTGACACAGCCATCACAGATGTACCGCAGGCGTGGCCGAATACAAAATGCTGCTACTCCGCACTTCGCACCGCCTACTTCCTTTGGACCGTAAAAATCAACGTTTCTGTCTATTGTTGCTCATTATATCGTACTGTCGTCTATCGACTACTCGTCGCGCAAGAGGAGAGGAAGGAAAAGAGAACGAGAAGAAATCTATAACCGTCTACTCAGTCGCTCTAATAAATGCTTTTCGTCTGCTGTAAGGGTGATTGACTCCGGGACGAACACCTGGCCCGGCGCCACGATTATTTGTTGGTCGTCTGGTGCTTTCTCTTCGGGCATGGAGAGGTTGGTTGGGTTCTCCTCGTCAACGTCGGTCGACGAGCTGTCGTCCCTTTCACGAATCGTCGGTAGAAGCTTTTCGGGAGTCCACCAGTGCAAAGGGAATTGCCTCTGTACGTTGTTGAACAAAAGGGCGGAAACCAATATCAAAACAGAGCTGAGAAGCACAACGGGAAGCAGAAACCAGCCCAAATTCCTTGCCGTTGGATCCACAACCGCAAGCAAGCTGGTCGCGCCAGCAGGGGGGTGAATTGTTTTGGTGAGAATCATCACCAGCGTGGCCGCTGCACACGCAATCGGCCCAGCGATCCAGTATAAATTGTCATGGTTCGGATTCAACGCAAAGAGCTTCGCAACGCATATTCCGACGAGGGCTGAGAAAAACTGGCCAAATAGAGCATTTCGAGGTTGAGCCAGGGGAGATTCTATCGCGCAGTATTCTAGGACAGCAGCAGCACCCTGTCAACCATATGTTAACAAACAAGACCACAGAGGGGAAACGCCATATATATGGTATTGCCGAGTGCTCGTTGACTCACAAAACTCCCGACGATGATTGGCACACCCCGCTCCTGGAACGAAGGGATGTGAGTTGATGCTGCGGTTACGATCAACAATCCAGTGAACACGCCAATCAAGGACCAAAACATAACCAGCACATTGCCGACTTTTTTAGGCGGATGGAGCCGATGCCCCAAAAAATGGGCGACCGGCCTGGGAACGAGGTGCCATCGTGGATGGGGGATATACCGGTTGAGAAACCGGTCAATATCTACCTCTAGAGTGTGGAGTTTGGGGAAATCTTCTATGGTTGGCACCTTTGCAATCGGCATTTTCAGCACAAGTCTATCAGGCACAAAATAACGGGAAAACGGGAGTCGAAGCGCAAAGCGATCGCAAGGACGAACTAGGATGAAGAGATATCTATAAAAGGAAGAGAACCTCAGAAAGCTTGCTGCCGGTCCAGCCGAAGCCCACGCCGATATGAAGAACCTGTTGGCATGTCTGACTATCCAGGTCTGACTCCAAAAGCCATCGAGAATGAGACAAGCAACCCGCGGAACCGATTGGGGGAGAGAAAAATCACGATAACCCGTGAAATTTCTAGCACTGAAACGGTATTACATTTACAGGAGCTCTCCAAACCGGTACATTTTTCCGCGGATTTGAGAGTCTTTGGTGGGGGGCAGGTGGCCATTTGCGCGAGTGGCACGCCTATTTTGCGGTTGATTTTCGCCGCCAATCGGTAATATAAAAACATAAAACGCGTAATTTCGAACTGTTTCGGCCAATTGAAATTTTGCTGAACAACCCCGCAGCAAATCCGGCCCTTTGTTGCTGTGTAATGCGTAATTTTGAAAACACAGCATGACGTACGGAAAAGCCCATTACAGCCCATAAAGACATCATGGACATATCGTCTGCATTTCCGATCGCGAAATATCCACCACTTCCTCTACGGATCCCTCACTGGCAAGCTCCCATCGTTCGAACATTTTAATTTTGCTATCTGATCTATGATGGAGAGACCACCAGGGTGTGGCCGACAGCCCCGCAGTCACCCCATCAAGCTTCTACTTTCCCCACCGGCTTCCGGTCTAATCAACCAGGATGAAGTTGCCTGACGTGAGGGGGGAACATTTCCCCCGTTTAGGTATAGCAATCAAGCATGCTTGGGACAGGCGGATGAGTCTGTCTTCACTGAGCCCAGCTCTTTGGAACAGACGATCGGATCTTAGGGGTATAACACATTAGCGCGGCGTCATGGGCCCCGTAACTACGTTCAAGAGCCAGGAGTACGTTAGAACAAAAGAATTGAAAGCAGTTTGGGATAGATAGGATCCTTGACCAAATCGTTTCTTTCCGGGGCGGTTGTCAATCAGGCTACCGGCCAGAGGGCATTCACGCCACAGCCACTATCATATCGGGCCGGTTTGTCCTGAAGGGATATAGACACTAATTCCGCTATAAAGGCATGCGTCGATGTTGAATTAAAATAATTTTCATTAATAAGAGACAATTAGATCTCTAATAAAGCGAGTATATCCCAAGCTATCAACAATATGTGTCCCTATAACCGTCCTGAAACTAGTATAAACAATCAGAATAAAGGCAACCCTCGAAAGGTCAACAGCAAAAACACCTATTTCCAAAACAGCAATAGAGGAAATCGTGCAAACGGAACACGGCATTATCAACACTTCCATTTCGACCTCTTTGTTTCGGCTTCCTCGTCATCCATATCTGGGCATTCTTCATCCAACACTTGCTGCATACTTACAAAGACGTCAGTTGTTCTCATAATACGATTCGTCGGAGACGGCGGGTAGATCCCATCATTCGCACCGCACGAGCTCGCTAATAATGCTGCTGGAAGGGGCGTTATCCTATCTCCAGTTTCCTCATCCTTGCTAAAATTGCTAAACGAATGCCGATGCGCTCCCAATGAACCCGTTCGAATTTTCTTGGGTGGTCTGGTGGAGGCAGTGACTTCAACTTTGTAGTTGCAAATTCCGGGCTGATTTCCGGGATTTATATCAAAATCGTTGCGTTCAGTGTGAACGGTGCTGGGACGTCGCGTAGATTTGGGGGATTTGTAGTTCTTCGGCAAAGGCGCAAGGTCAAAACGGTCCGGACCCTGACGGGAATACGAGCTGCAAGTCATCTCGGAGGTAGACCTAGTTCGTGAAGGGAAAATCAGGGGTTCGAATAGGGGTCCAAGGACAGGAAGAGACGCCGAAATCAGGGCTAAGTGGAATTCAAAGCTGGTTGAGTAAAATATCAGTATGTCAGTTTTAACGAATAGCTCTCGCAGCAAACAACAATCACATACAGAGCCCATAAGCCATAATCAATCCCACTGATACGCTCTGTTAGCCACATGATCAAATAATTTGAATTTTTGGGGGAAGCTGGACAATCGTACCGGTATTTTACCCTCACCTTCAAGGCGTACACCGTCATGGCAGTTTTGATGATTCCGGCAAAACACGTCCTGGATCGGCGGGTGAGCAAGTTTATCCTTCTATACTGTGCATATAGTCTCCTCACAGGTAGCCAAAAGTCGCCATTCCAATAAATGCCAGCTTATATCTTCTTGTGTTATGAAGATTGTAGAAGAGAAACACACAGAGCGTCACAAACGAAGTGTCAATTGTTGCATCGATTCCTAATCCCCGTTAGTCTACCGCCTCCTGCAAGAATTACATAGAGGGTCTTACCACTGAGAACCATATTGATTGCCATAAACTGTCTTCTTGTTACGCATTTTGCAGTCTCTCTATCCGTGAGCGACCAACCGGCAGAAACAGGCGTACACCGGAAAAGATGAAGCCCGATATAGACTGGCAGAAGAACAAATAGAATAGCTTCTCGTCTCAAAGTGTTAGCTTGCTCGCACTGACTGGAGCCCCTTGGATTAACAACCAACATACCTAGCACAAATCTGATAAAGTTGTAAATCCTACCCCTTCGAAGTTTCTGCAAAAGGAAGAACCCGAATGAGATCTTCACGGCGTAAAACCCAATCCCAAGGACCAGGAATTGGAAAAATGAAAGTTTGACAAGCACAGCACGATCATACGGGGTCAGAAACTGGGTATATCGACCAAGGCCGTGCTTCGACTCCAAGATTAAAAATGCGATGTTGCCCAAGTCACAAGCCTAAAACGAGCGGTAAGCCTCTGGCAGTGTACGGGGTATCAACTGAGCCTCATAAAGGGGTCACCTTACCGATGCCAGGAGTATAAAGTAGTCATCTATTGACAGGCGTTTTACCACGAAAATTCGAACATAACACCTCAAGACGAGTGTAAGAAAGGCAATTCCGGAAAAGAATCCAAAGACACTCAACACCATCGGTAGTTTGGTGGTGTCTTGAAGTCTGGGGTCGAACTTTGGATCGTGCCTCCTAACCAAGCCCAACAGCGGCGGGAGTTCCTCCAACAATGCCATGGACGACACGTTGGGCAGATGCCAATCCGCCCCGTGGTCATGACAGGCCAGCTTCCTCGCTATACATGCCCGTGCTGCGCGGGATTGGCAGTAACGGCTCTCAGCAGAAATGAAACGAATGCAAAATCTATACAGGTCCGGGTGAGTTCTCGCGAAGGGGGGCGGGTTCATAACAAGTCGGGAACGGGGAGAACCCAAGAACCTGCAGGCTGGAATGCAAAAAGCACGAGATCCGCCACCGGGAGAGTGGAGACGGGAAGCTCTCGAAAGGCCTTTCTGCAGATGTCCTGCTGAACCAGCCCTTTGTCCCGATTGCAGATCGTTTCCGCTAGTCAAATCTCTCAATGACGCCTGTCCTCAAGGCTGACCCAGTCGTGACCATTCAGGAACGGGTTGTCCTCCGTGTCATCTGTGCATCGTCGCCTCCTCTCCGGACTGCGTCGATACTGTCACGCAAACGTGGTTTTGCTCATGCTACCAGGCGCAGGGCATGCATCTTATTCGGAGCATGGGAGACGAAGACTTCGCCATCTGAACCGGTAGTTACACTCCCTGAGTAACCTCTGAGCGAAGGTTATGGGCTCCCTCCAAGCGTGCCGCCCGTTTTCCACGTGTAATCCTAAACGATGGCAGCATTTCCTTGGAAGGGAAATAGGACATGAAATCCTCCGTACGAAACCCAAGACATCAAACCGTGGAACGAAAACTCCATGCCAATCAGCTCTGGGGTTTTTTCGGATCCTTCAAGCTCAATGGTTCGATAGAGTCGAAAGACCAGCCACAAGGATCTCAACGATTAGTTATCAGGCACGGACTTCCGGAAACAGAAAGGAAGCACAATAAAGGGCCAACAGTCTTGCAGCACTGCAGCAGCCAGGCAAAGCTCTCAATGGTTAAGCGCTTTCTTTGCGGGCGCACGCACCCACTCTGCAGGGAGAATCCGAGCCAGCTTGGGGACGGGGCGAAGTGCCTTTGGTATCTCACGCGCGTGTGCTTCATGTGGCGTAAACACGTTGTACGAGTGGAGGGACATGCTTCAATCACGCAGCATCTGTGTCACCCGAGTCAACATCAAGGGAAATGATCTTCCGGCTGGAGCTGGAGATCCCAACGCTAAATGATTGAAGTTTTCGATTGGTCACATTCTGGGTTTTCCGAAGAGTTAGTTAACGATTCCTAACAAGCTGCTGTGTTGGAAATAACGGCAATTGGTCGTCCGAGGACTCTCTTCAGAAATGCTGTGGGCTCTCAACTGGCTCCAGGAAGAAAGGAAGAATGATAGTTACTCCGTACACAGAAATAATAGAGCCTTATTGGCTGAATCTTGTACAAATTGGTTGATTAGTTAGCTAATCTATCAAATTTGACGAAACTGCTTGAGAACACAGAGCAACTCTACAAGCAGGGCATCCTGACCTAGTTCGGCCCCTGGTTTGGAGACGCTAGGAGGCTAGGAGGCTAGGAGGCTAGGAGGCTAGGAGGCTAGGAGGCTAGGAGGCTAGGAAGCTAGTTACAGTTCGCCGGAGCTGTCTTCCTCAAACAAAGCATTGGCCTGATCCATCACAAAAATCACTTGGCCCTAAAGAAACCAAGGATGGCAACTCTGGTTAGTGCTCGGGGTGATTCATTGCCAGAGGCAACAGCAGGGCCGCCTGATACAGCATGGCTTCCCTCGCGGGAAGGACAAGCCTCTGCTGTGCCACCAGTGCCAGCAAGGAAAGATTCGTTCCGCAAAGGCTAGATTTCACCGAAGGCTTGCAGCAAACGTTCAATACTGTCGACGACAGCACAAACGCCTGTAGGCCCGGGTAGGGCTTCAAGGGATTACAGAAAAACCGTGTCAGGAAGGCCAAGAATTGTTGAAGTTTTGGTTTGAGGAGGCCATTGTGATCGCGAGACTACTTCCTTTCATAAGATAAGTATGGACCAAGACTTACTTTCGCGAGCAAGTGCATAAGGGAAGGTGTACTTACATGCTCTTGTATATATATATAAACTAAAGCCCAGGACCCCAGGACCCCAGGAACCCATGGAAGGGAAAATAATCAGTGATTTGCCAGCACCACCCTCGATGCTGGGATCAACAAGTTTCGAAGCTGATAATTTTGTCAGGAATCCGTGGATTCTGTATTTATCGGTCGACAACCTTGTAGTTAGTTGAAGCCGTAGGTCGATAAAAGCAGCTCTGAGAGGGTTGATGTGACGCATTGGCCATCACCACTATTGATATCTCCCTCTCTTTGATCAGACTTTGTACACCACTATTTTAGGTGTCTAGGTTGACAGAGAAGTCATACTAGGGCTCTTCGTCGACGGATGGTCGGAGATAGGCGTTGTCCGAGCCATCAACCTCGTTGGCATGTAAAAGAACGCGCCTAGATGAGGATATTTATAACTAATGGTGATGGGTATCCCGCCGGTACAAAAAGCTCGGGTACGAAGGATTGTGATTGAGAAGGATACCGGGTTTGAATATATTATTTGGGGTGGCGGCAAGGAGGCCTCGATCCTATGCAATTTCATTAATACCCCAAACACGTTAAAGCGCATTCATTTGAAATGACTCTCACCCATTTTGGTCCAGTACAAGTACATGAGCCTCATCAACGGGGTTTGACCTCAAATACTGCTTGTGCCATGAGTGCCATGAGTTGACTGAGGTCAATGTTGGAATGCCTTTCGTTTCCCACCGCCTCCGATGTTGCGAAACAATATATCTCGGACTGATGGCCAGCCTGTTGCTGACCCCATATATTGGCTCCCATATGCAACATACTGAGCGTGTGCTCACAGACGGGTGGCTCTCTTGACCATGGCTTCAAGAGGGGGTGTTTTATACACAGCGGCTTTTGAATGCATAAGAACATTTCTTAGTGGTAGTTTTAATCGAGCGACGTTTCCCGGTATATTTTTAAGAAGCATATAGCTATGCAGTCCGCCAGCCATTAATCTAACTTGACTTGGTGAAGGTATAACTATGCACGTCATTAGCTTGCTCAGGATTTCAGGTCAACGAGGAGACAAGGCTTGTTTCATTAACCCACCTATTGAAAAGAGAATGAAGATGCTAGGTTTATTCTTAAAAACCATGGTTTACCGTGTTAGATAGTATTGTTTTTGTGGATGACCAGCACGGAAAACGTAGAAGACACATGATTGGGCTCTAGAGAGCCACTCATGTATGGTTAGAAAGAGGAATGGAAAGGAAAGAGGAAGAAGAAGAGTGGGAGGTGAGGAGGTTTATATAGCCCTTGCCGAGCACGCCCGCTGAGGTCACAAAGTGAAGTCAAGTTAGCAGGTGAGAAGCAAGTGACTTGCTTCACCAGTGAATGAAAGGGGTAACTGAGTGGAAAGGGGCTGTCTCGTTGATCAAGCAGTCCTATATGTTCACTTAGTTTGACATCTCACCAACTGTAGTCACTAGGGCCATGCGATTGGATCAATGGCATAACCAGACTGTGAATGAATAGAATTCGGTGATAGCGCTCTCGGGGAGGGTGAGGAAATCCCGAGGAGCTGAAAAAAATTACCATTCATTTCTGAGCTTTTTTTAGTGGTGAATAGTAACAGGAGAAAAAAAACACTCTTTTCGGTTCTTCACGCGAGATAGGCACCAAGCATAGCCATCCCCAAGCCCAACATACTCATTGAGACACCGGTTTTAGCACTAGCACCAGTTTCAGTCACCATCGGTGCTGTACCGGTCGTACTGGAGTTGCATCATCATCATCATCAATCAAAATGTAATTCCTCACTAGACCCGTTCCATTTCCAACATTATAAATCTGCTGGGTCGTGCAAGTGCCAAATTGGAGAATATAACACTCTGGATCTGGGAGTGGCGGAACCTCATTCTTAACCTGGAAGGTTGTCGATGAGCCGGACGTGCTGTAGGTAACCTCCCTCGCGGTGTCGATTTCACCGGTGGCGATATCTCGGTTGGAGTGAACGCGGGTAAACAGTTCATATGCGGTCTCCGGTTGATAAGCAGGAACTTGAAGGCCCGATTGGTAAATTCTCGAGAATGAGAAGTTGCCGTACTGTCGGACTTGTCCTCCAATGTAAGAGTCATTCGTATGGATATCAGCATACCCCGCGGCCCTGAATCTATCTGAGTCGGAATATTCAACCGCCAAGCTAACATCCTCGCCTCCAATCCAGTTGCACGCGTAATCCCTATCTCCATAAATCAGAGCAACTTTGACCCCTGAGTCCAAGAGATAACCAATATCCCCGAGATACCCGCGGGCATCGGTCCTTATATAATCTCCAGTCGCCCCAAAACCAAGATAGCCGCCCCGGGCTAGCGAAGTGAAATTGACGGGAACACCCATCGCTTCTTGCACATGAGCTTGACTCAAATACCCCAGATAGTAATTTGGGGGGAACGGGTCGACAGCAAGGTGGCCGATATCGTAGTATCCTCGCCCGCCCTGAAGATAATAGCCTTCTAAACGCGGGACGGTGCGGCAAGCTTCGTTGATAGTGTCATTGTGCCCATACATGTTTGGATCTCCTTCGGCGGCGAGCCTTCGGCAATTGGCGATCTTTTCTCGATTGCCACCAGGCCCGTCGAAGTCCTGAATGGCAGTGTTGTAGACGGTCTCGTTAATCAGTTGAATCCCATAAGTATTGTTATAGGAGTATCGGGGGTAGGACAACGCTTGAGTAAGGTAATCGATACATCCGTTAATTATGCCAAGAGAGTCAAAGTTGATGATATGCTTTTGGCCCTCAGTAGTGATTGTACCGTTCCTGATCCTTTCATTCTGATCAAGGACAAAAGCGCTGAACGCTGGTCCATAGCGACCGCCATAGGTCTCAGTCCACATACTAACCCTATCGTTATTGGATTTATACTCTGGGAATTCCTGGAACCACACCTGTGCGAAATGCCATAAAGAGCGCGCGGCGTTCATGGTAGTGTTCGCAGAGAAATTTCCGTTCTGGGTGCTAGCCGTGCCAACGAAGAACGTATTGTTTTGCTCTGGCACTCCATCTGAATAATCGGTCGGCTGCAACTGTTGAGACGGGCGGATCGATCTGGTGTTCACAGAGACGTTTGTCACCGTGTCATAGCTGAAACCAACTTGATTCGGCTGATCAATGTACAGCATGTTGACCTTATTATTCCAAGACCAAGGATTCGGAGTTGTCGTACTAGAGTCGTTGTTAACAGAGCAGGGGCCATGTTCCTGGAACAATCCGATCATTGAGGATGACCCAGGTCCGCCGTTTATCCATATTGTCAACGGGGCATTCTCAGGATCGTTGCGGGCTTCAAAGTACCAGAAAAATGTATTGATGTCATAATTCTGATAGACGTCCACGCCATCCAACGAATGCGGTGGGAGGTGAACGTAACCGGTGAATGATCTGACTCCTTCAGTGGTCTCGCAAATATTGGTCTGAACCCGTTTGGTTAGCTGAGACGCTCGACTCAAGAACCAACAAAAGCAGAGTTGAAACAGCCCATACCTGTTTGTATGATAATGTTACGCCTTCTTGGAATTTGGACTCCACAACCGTCAAATCCTTTGGTGTGGGTGGAAAATACTTCGCAGCGACAGTATGCGCTAGCAGTAAGGGAATCGAAAACTGCGTGCATACGCGCATTGTGAGCGGTAGTTAGACTCTTCTTTGGAACCACAGCCCTTCTATCAAGCCGCACAAATTGGGAAAAAGAGGCGCCAATCTTGGCACTTTGAAGCGGCTGTCTGAGAGGAGATGCAACCCAGCAACTACCTGGGACGACCGGCATATTTGAATAAATATCGAAGAATGCATCCTGCTCCAGCTCTCAAGCGATAGCAAGGATTGCTCTCCATACGGCACAAAAGCGCCGATCCATCCCTCAGACATCGTCCACAGCACAAGACCTCATGGGCCAGAAAACATGCAGTACTGAGAAACTAATTAGTAACGTAGGAAGTGAGGTAGTATAACTGTTGGTAGAATCCCGGGTCGCAGCATTGGCCCCGTTTAAATTTGCGAGTTGGACCTGGAGCGGAGGCAGCTTAGCACTGCGGATCGTTGTAGCGAGCAGCTGCCATTCCCGCCGGGGAACTGGTCTGCGGAAACCCCGCCTTAAGGTCGCATCGTATATGATGCTTGACGTGCGGAGGAAAGAATTGCGGAGCTAACTGTTAGGAATTTGTGGGAACCCAGTCGTCGTTGAAGGGCGTCTAGCTTGAGCATCAAAAACATGCTGAGGAATGCAAGGTCAAGAATATCAGGACCACTAAAGTTGGAATAACCCCGTGGACTTCCAAAGCAAAGGGTTTCTTTCAGTAGTTTTGCAGGCCATTGAATCCCTGTTTGCAGGAAATGTGCTCCCGGGTTGTGGGTAGCGCCGGGTTGGCTTGCGAGGATTCACAGCACATCGACATAGACTGAAGAGCTTTTATCAGCGGCATGGAGATTTTCTGGAAGACTGACCAAAATTCAATTAAAACAAAGGGAAAAAGGGAATAGAAGAGAGAGAGTGAGAGAGAGCAAAAAAGTTACAGAAATAAGTTAAAAAAGAGATCCCAAAGCCAGATCCAACGGCCAAGACCCCAACCCCAGCTAAAACGATACTGCAAACCCTACATCCCAACGCAGAACAGGTATTTGACCCTAATCTGAGCCACGTCGTAAACGATGTACTCGTTGTAACGAAGACACCGGTACTCGTCGTCATCATCGCGGTTGCGGGGGGCACCCGTGGTGTCGGGCATCAGCACACCTGCAAGATCCTCATGCACGCAGCCAGCATCCTTCCAGCCATATGGAATAACCTCTCCCATGCCCAATGTGGCCAACTTATTTTCCTTTTTAACAAGCTCGGCTGCACCAGAATTGCTATTGTTCAGTTCCAACATCGGGTTGCCAAGTTCAACGTCACAAAGGAGTAACAGGCCTGTGTTATCACTGTTGTAGGCACAGCAGTAGTTGGCGGATTTACTGGAAATGTCTGCAAAGTAAACACCTTTGCCAAACATATAACCGTTCACTGGCGCTTCGGGGGGTGCAATGCGCAACCCCTGGCTTAAGATACCACCAAAGTTGGTGGTACGCGAACCATGCCATAAGAGGCGGCGGTTGCTGTTTCGGATGTTGGCGTACGGTGAGTTCAGGTAGCGGTCGGTTTCACCGTGCCGTTCAACTCGGAAAATATATTTCAACTACTGCAATTAGCTTTTGGTCTTCAAGCTGGAATATTGGAGCCATCGGGGTTTGTTGGATTCGAACCTTGTAATTAAGATAATGAGTATCACCGTGGGTTTTGATCAGATAATCGGCCAACTCCTTATACTCCGTGGAGGCAGGGTCCACTAAAGTCCAACGAATGTTAGCATCCTGAGCAATGCGAACGAGCTCTGTGGCTTACAAGGTTCCATTTCCTTCAAGTTAAGGCCGGAAAACTGCCGATCAAGTACGTGAACAGGGTCAACCGAATTGTTCTTCTTCGAGCCTTTCAAGATTTCGTTTGCTATCTCCATGTCGGTCAATGCCTCGAGAAGTCCAATTTCCTTCTTGATCATCTGCTCGTTGTTGATCAAGGGTATACGGCCTCGACCAAGAGCGTGCGGTATCACTGTAAAATACTGATTGTTGACTTGATCGAGAGACAGACCGTTTGCAATCTGCTGCCTGCTACTTACCATATCCGAAAGGAGTTTTAGGAGTTCAAATCCCTTTTGGAGAGTCCGCTTGCTCAATTTTCCGAGCGGTAGTTTGTTCGCGTCATAATCCATGGTTGCCATAGTATTCGCCCAGAAGGCTTGATTGAAAATAAGGCCAACAACGTGCTGTACCGGCAAAGGAAGCGTGCATTCAGCGGTTTTCACTTCAATCTCCTCTTCGGCATCCTCTTCGCCGAAAGTCTTTGCCTTCTTCTTGGGCTGCTCTTCAGATTCATCGTCCGTCTCTTCATAATCGCGCTCGAGGAACATGTATTTACCGGCTTTTGCGTTTTCAAATCTGTCTTTCCAGGCTAGGCCGGTCTTGTCTCTAAATTTCTTCTCAAAAGTGGCTATGGCCTTCTTCAAGTCCAGTCCGTTGAATGCAGAGGTTTGCCCGTCTTCTCCTACTCTTCCCCATCGTGTCCAGGTCAAATACTTGTCGCTCTTGTTATTAGGCTCAAGTACTTGAATAAAGTAGAACTTATTGTTGTTGTTCATCCGGTTTGTTTGATTCAAGGCGGCGTCATAGATAAGACCGTCAGGGTCAACGTAAACATGATATTTACCTATAAGCTAATTGTTAGGGTCGCCACATTGTAGCTGGAGGCAAGAAGGTATACCTTTATTCGGGCAAAGTGCATCCACAAGGATATTCTGCTTTTTTGGCGGAGTCTTTTGTGCGTCTTTTTGTTTTTTTGCTGGCGGCTGGCTATCAGCCTTTGCAGTATCGGTCGTGTCAGTGGCCGTAGCGTCTAACGTGCGTTTATTGCCTTTCTTGGTGGTTTTTGCCTGAGATTGAGACTGCGGTTGAGATTGTGGCTGGGGTTGGGACTGGGCCTGGGCCTGGGACTGGGATTGTGCCTGAGAATTTCGGGCAGAGCGCCTGGGATTCGCGGCAGGCGTGGCATCAGTGGTCCCATTTGATGTGGGAGCTGGTGCGGCTTGCGAGCTCCGCAGAGTAGACCAGAGGTAATCAGCCTCCTTCTTGCATTTCTTCGACGCAATCGAGTCAAGCAGCCAGTCCACGGATACGACATCAACGTTGTTGGAGGCCGCTTGTTTATCTAATTTCACATAGGAATCGGTTAGCTACTTGTCTCCCGTCACAACTAATGCATGTCGGCGCATTTGCTGTGATTCGCAAAAGGGGGTCGACACCTACTTTTCGTCCCGTTATTCTCGAATTCCTTTGCGCTACTGATCAGATGAGTGCAATCATCTGTCACCTTCGCACTAAAGGTCCCCCCATGCGTTTCTACCAAAGACTTCAAACTTGCTGTAGTGAGGAACCCAAGTCACTTAGCAAATCGAGCCCAAAACAGTTCCTCCATGAGTACTGACCGTGCGTGTGACCTGAAAACGTGCCGCTTAGAACAATTGTTTTATTCTTGAAGATTGCAGCCATGGTGGGAGGATTAAAAATAAGAAATCCGAAATAAAATATAAATAGATTCGATAGGAGTAAAAACAAGATAAATTTTAAAGACGAGAAATACCTCTGGTTACCTGGGAACGCGACACAATCGAACACAATTGAGACAACACAGGCGCATGGCAGCAACCGACGGAGGAAGAGGGTATTTTCGACGCAAGGAAAGAGGTTGCTCTGCGCATTGCCGAAATATTTATACCCGGCGCGGGACGTCACCAACCTTAGATGTGCGATCAGCGCGAGCTCTCCTCCACTGCTGCAGCTCCAGCTCACCCAGAAATCCAAAACCATCAACACCAGGCTGCAGCGCGCGCTGATTGGCCGGCGCCACGTTGCTGACTGGCTTATATAAGCAGCCCCTTAAACTCCGCAAACGCCGAGCCGCCGATATGCTTAGTCATGCACGCTTCGGGACTAGCGTGCGTGCAGGGGACCCACTATTCAGGCACCAGGCAGAGCCGCATCTCGCTTGCCAGGCAGAAACAGACAGGCAACAAGGGTTGTCTTTATCAAAGGGTCCCATTTTGGAGTTGAGTTGATATGATCACAGACTTTAAGAGACGTCAGGCCTAGTTGTCCCGCCACCCCGTTCCACCGATCCCCATGAGCGCCAGGTAACTAGTTAATGCAGCAGTCCGAGACCCAAGAGACATCAACCATGAACTCGTAAGAAAAAAGAAAAGGAATAAGAAAATAGGGTCTCAAGCAACCTGACAACGTAGAAATAAAACGTGCTTGTATCTTTGAATCGAAGGGGCATTACAAATATATAATAGGCATAGGAAAAGTGTACCAAGATACTCCGTAATGATTATTCTTTCGCCGTCTCTGGCTTTAAATCCTGATCTGTCTTCCCAGCATCAGAAGGCGAGGCGGGAGCGGAATGAAAATCGTCTTGCTCCGTTGACTGCCCTCGAGCTTCCAAGACCTCATCGGTCTGCGACTCCTCAGAACGAAGCTTTCTCAGCCGATTCTGTATCTCGAGGACAGCAGTGTCTTCGTCAATTGGGGAGATGGATGACAGGGTGGCAGAGTCGTCGATCTCAGAGTGGGTGGAGATCGGGGAATTCACGCGTTCACTATTGCGTTGAGGGAGCGGAGGGGGGCTTCGTTTTGGGATGGTAACCAGTCGAGCTTTGGCGAACGACGCTGGCGTCGGTTTGCTAACATTGGGGATGCTGTGGTCTGACAGGTTGATGCGCCGTGCCGGGCCATGTTCCAAATCCTTTTCATTGTGCGTGATTTCCTGGTAGAGATCCTCTGTTTCGGCGGTCGAAATGCGGATTGGAGAATTAAAATCCTTTAGACTCCTGGAAGAGCCTGGGCTCACTGGCGAACGGTCGTCACGGTCAGAAGCAAAGTCGTCAGTCTGAGTACCTCGATCCACGCTTGTAAAGCTGTGGAGACTATTTCGCACACTCGACCTCCGTGACCCGGTTGCGCTCCATCTCGAGGAATTCGGACTGAATGAAACTGGCCGGAACTCGAATGTGTCCATGTTCGGTAGTCGACGGGAGCCGGCCTCCCTGATCATGATTCCCTCTCTTTCCAGCGCTTTGACACCGTATGGATCTGGGTCTTCGTTATCAGGGATGCCGAACGTTCCCGTTGCGTCAATCTCCGCGTCGCCTGGCGACTCTCCAGGAGAAGGTAGCATTCCTTCATCCACGTCGCTGTCACCCTGGGCGGCTTTTAGCGTTTGCATCAGCATTTGGATCGATGTTGGCGGACGTTTCGACTTCCCCGCCAGTATATCGCTCGCGGATATACGCTCTCCGTAGAACCGCTCATTCTCGTCAGACCTCTCTATTACAATAGTCCCGTCCAGTTGTACGCCTGCGTAGAAACCCCGACCCTTCATATAGGTCCATACCGGAGCTTGTCGCTTGTGTATCTCCGTCTCCAAATTACCACCGGCGCCGATAGGTCCAGCCGACGCAGCAATCTCGCCCCCAAGTGTGCAACGGACAGCTTTAAAAGCTTCCAAGGCCTTGTAGGTATTGATTACCACGACGCAGTCGTAGATATCCACACCTGCGAGAAAGCCCAGCGCAGCCGTATGCGTCATGATTCCAGACGGCGGGCTCCATTCACCCGTCTCTTTTATTCTTCCAAGTAAAACGCCGCTGCCTCCGGATCCGCTGACCCAAAGGCCGGTTCTCATGGTTGTAAAGATAGCCAGACCCTTCGCCTGCTTGATCACGGATGCGGGAATCTTCTTCACCACCCGTTGTTTGCCGCGCGGAACTCCCTCTTTCTGTCGACCTTCATTCTGTTCGTCGATCTCTTCGTAGAACCCATCCTTGCAAAAGCTCCGCAATATTCGCGCGGATTTCTCACTTTCCAGATCCAGACTCGTCGGCCAGAACGCTTCGGCGCCAAGTTTGTTCGATAAACGATTTATCGGCGGACCAAGCTTATCGAGAGTGTGCCATGCCTTGTCGAAGCCTCGTTTGGAGTAGACCTTGGCCTTTTCCCACCTCTTTTGGTTGGGCGTCGCCATTCCGCGATATGCTGTAGTTATCCTACCAGGTCTTCAGGAGGAGTATAGATCGTGGAGGAGCAAAGAAACATTTCAAACTTAGCATAGCGAGCGAAAGATCCGTAGCCAGCAAAAGTTCTTCCCAATTCTTGATCCGTGCTCTTCGACGTGCAGCAACTAGTTGCTTCCGAAACGATCGACACAAAAAGACAGTTTCTTTTGCCGTCGTAGGAGAAAGCAAAAGAAAAAGACGGCAACGAAACCTAGACGAGTTTTTGAGCTGGCTCGGAGATCCTCAGGAAATAAACTGCCCATAGAGTTTTCGTCCTGCAAATTGGCTTGCATGTCCCACCGAATGAATGCAAAGGCAAGGCCAGGATCGTTGAGAGAACCGAAGCGCCTGTCTTGAAGTTAACGGGGGCCTTCATTGTTCCCAACTTCATGCGTCCCCCGCTGCCTATTATTAGTTTTCCTGGTACGGGAAAAGCAAATTTTCCTGGGCTGGCCATGCGTCATTGCTCAAGTATCGGGTACATGGGCGACGGACGGCAGCACTGGCAGCCATCGGGGTATCAGCTACCTCTGGTCCTTGGGCCTGGTCGGTCGAAGCCCGGGTGAACCAGCTTCTCGAAGTTGTTGGGTGGCGCAGGGCTCAGGATAAACAAGCCTTCAGAAAGCATGTCATGCATGATCCGATCAGCGACTGGTGGTAATGGACTCCCAGCTGCAGCTCGTTTCATTTGTGTCGAAGGTACGTTTGACGGGCCCTGAAGGAAAGATAACCTGGGCATCTCTCTCCACAGGCCAGAGCACTTTCGGAGAGTCCCCAGCGTTCCGAAGCCGCTGTGAAACATATTTTGGACCCCAATGTGTGCCGGTTGACATCAAGGCCAGATGGCGCCCTTCTTGGCGATGGAGTTCCCCTTGCCGGCGGCTGCTGATGTACAGACGAAACACGGCCTTTTGTTCTGATCTGGAAATGCTGTTTCTTCCAAGCTCTGTGCCTCACCAAGGTGTCGCCAAAACACGCCACATTTTGGTTGTTCCCTGGTTTCATCCTGCATGAATATGCTTGCTCTTTAAACAATTCAAGTTGATGCTTGTGAAGTGAAGGCCCTTGGCGTTTCACTCAGTGCAACATGTGAAATATGATACTATAGATTTGGACCATTTTGCTGTGGAACATAATACAGATTGCTTCGAGGTATCTATAATAATTCTGGACTCGTGTTTTAACATCTTCAAACCCCAATCGCGGCCGAAACGCTTCTATACTCATTCCAGCTCTGCGTACATCCAAAAGCAGTTGATCCTCCGAGAGACTCAAAGGAAATTCACAGAGCACCGAGCTCCTTCAAGCGGCTAATGAGGCCATCAACATCCTCGACTTTCCCTCCGCCTTGTCTCGCCGGGGGTTCTATCAACCGCATAAGTGTTTGTCGATCACCAAGATTGGAGGGAGTCTAGAGAGGCTCCAGAGTTAGGGGTAGGGATTTCGATGAATCTTACCTGTAACCTTCAATGTCTTCAACCTCTTCGTGTTGTCAAGTTCGAAATCTCCCAAAGTCTTCTTCTCCAGTGGCTTCTTCTTCGCTTTCATGATATTAGGCAAGGTGGCATATTTCGGCTCGTTTAATCTCAAATCCGTCGTAATGACCATTGGCAATTTTGCCTTTAGCGTTTCCACACCACCGTCGACCTCCCTTGTAACTTCAACGGAGCCTTCCGCATCCTTCACAGTAACCTTGCTGGCCTGCGTCGCTTGAGGCCAGCCCAACAACCCAGCAAGCATCTGGCCCGTCTGACCTTGATCTCCATCGATTGCCTGCTTCCCTAGGAAAACCAGGTTGATGTTTTCCTTCTCGACAACCTTCTTCAACAGCTTCGCAACAGTCAGCGGCTCCAGCCCACCATCGTCGGAGCCACTCTTGCCCTCAGGAACGTCGACCAGTATAGCTCGGTCGGCGCCCATGGCCATTGCGGTGCGGAGAATATCCTGGCATTTGGGTCCGCCCGCGGAAAGCGCAAGGATATCTTCGACTTCCATAGGGCCTTTACGTCTGCGCAGATCCGCGGCTTCTTCTAACGAGAGCTCATCGAATGGGTTCAGGGAATGTTTTACGCCTGTTTCGACGCCCGTTTGTGTCTTGTTAATGCGGGGTTTGATCTGAGGCATGGAGGTAAACACATTAGTCCCATGGCTTAAAAGCAAAAGCCACATATAGTCCCCCGGAGTAGTTAGAGATACTCTGACCCCCCAAAACGGGGGAGCAGGGCAATTGGCACAACAACTCCGACTATCTTTCAAGATACCGTCGAGGCAGGGAAGCCGGAAGAGATTGAACCCACCGCAAAATCGATCACCCGCTTTACGGGTACTAATATCCGTAGAGCATTGGCCATTATAACAATGTGTACTTCGATCCCCCACTATTAACAACAGATCTTTGCGTTTCCAAATGAGCTTTTCGTGTCTTTTATCCAACCCTCAGCGATTCTTCAGAGCGGGAATCCGCCGTCAAGCTATGACCGGAATGGAACAACGAAAGCCCATTGCCAAGCCCTGTCGGCGGTTGTCCGATTCTAGCCACACGTGCCTCAAGAGCCGAAGGTTTCCGAAAAGCCGAAAATCGGGCCAAGGGACTTGATGTCGGACTATCACGAAGAAACAGCTGCAAGAACTTGAAATGACAATACAAACAGAGAATCAAGGGCTGGTTTATAAATCTAAACACTTGATCTATCCGTTTGAATAGCACAATATAACCAAATCACCAGGTCTCCTGTCTATATCGTCCCACCTTTTCCATGTCCATCAGGTACTTTTCTGCCTCCTGACGATTAGACCCAGGCTTCTCAAACGTTTCGATCAATGCCTCCCTCACCGCCTGGGGCATCCGTCCAGACGACCCGCAAATAAAGACCGTTCCTTGCAAATCGTGCAGCACGTTGAAGAATTGGTCTTTCTTCTGCCGGATCACGTCCTGAACATAGTGCTTTTGCCTTTGATCCCTGGAAAAGGCCGAGAGAACGGTAAGATCAAGCGTCTCCTTGAGCTCCTCCCAATCCTTCTCGAAGAAAAAGTCTGCGCCTCTGTTGCGGCCACCGTATAGTAGAATGATAGGTCCAATTGGCAGCGGAGAATTTGAGCCGTACTTGTGGCGATATGCCTCCGCCAAAGCCGCTTTTTCCCACAGGAGAGATCGGATAGGCGCGACCCCCGTCCCTGGCCCTATCAGCACAGAAGGCTCCAGGAGCTGCTTTGCGGAAGGATTAAGGCCGCCTCGATGGAGTTGAACTTTCAAAGTGCTCCCTGGTTGGAGTATGGCAAGATATCTTGTGCATATACCCTCACGAATCTTCTTTATGACAGTTTGATATTTGACGATGGCCACTAACAGGTCGAACCTTGTTTCTCCGTCAGCTGTCCTCTTCAATTTTCCACCGCTGGCGATGCTGAACTGACGCCCACGCAAAATGGGGAAAACTGTACAAGCATTCTGCCAAGGTATTTTGATGGTGTCGAATTCATATAAAACTTCTAAGATACTCCGTCTAGACCGTGTGGCGTAATCATAATATTCATCAATATATTCTGGGTTAGTAAATTCTAGGAGTCGTTCTTTATGCATTGCATCGGTGGTAAAGTGGGCTACTTGGGAAAAGAAGGATCGACGGGGAATCGCCATGATATCTAAATAGTTAGTCAGTAATTCACGCAGTGTAAATCCGGGGTTATCCTGCAGAAACGGTGTGGGTGGGGGCATAGATGACGGCGACGACGGGTCCCTGGGGGCAAAGCATAACGGAACATCGGCGTCGGTTTCCCATCCCATCAGAGATATGAGCGCATCTACATCGTCTGAAAAGTTTTTTGGTGTTATATGAAGAACGTCCCCTGGGACGTACTTTAGGCATTCAGGGACCGTCAGGATAAGATGTCGAACATCCTGCCAGTGGCTTTTTGGAGTGGCACGGATATTATCAACTAGAGTCGCCGAGATGGAGTTAGGAATTGGCCGTGTATCATGATCTTGAGACTGTAAAGCAGGGTATCTTCCGGGCGCTCCCTTCCTATTCTCGCTGTCTGTTTCAAGCTGAGTTCCATCTCCATTAACTGTTTGTCCTGGCTCGCCTATACTTGGGCTCCAAGTGGTGAGAACCCATTTCGGTAGTAGTCCAACATCATCTGGTATTGGGTGCTGGCCAGGCTCCAAAGGAAATTTATCCAACAGAAATTTCCTCAAGTTTTGCGCCCAAGGAACGAAAGTGCCGTCGGTCCTGAAGAGAAGAGCTGTTAATCGATATAATGGAGTAATATCGCGGTCAATGGTAGCCTACCCTTCAGGGTGTTGCTCATCGGCCTCGCCGCTTGGGAATAACTCATTAGCCCCTAATTGAAGGAGCCGCTTATGTAGCTTCCTTGCCGCCCAATTGAATCTACCCCTTTCGTCAGATATCGCACTCCCGTCCCATTATTCATTCCAGCAGCGTACTTTGGATAAGAGCTATCTCCAAGCCCAAATATCGCGAAATTGACGTGATGCAAGTAGGTCGATGAAAGCCTTTTCAAGAGCAGAGATCGCCAAAACGTCCGTCCATTCGCAGGGAGGTCACCTTGTCCGGTAGTCGAAATGGCGAAGATGACAAAGGAATGTTCGTTCAAGGACCCCTAATCTAATATAAGTATGTAATTCTTTAACTGTGGGGTTTGCTAGCTTACTGCTTTGACCGCATCTAGCTCTGATATATAGGTATGGAAGTGAAGTCGCTCGGTCAAGCGGCCAAGCTCCTCCGCTATTTCTTGAGAGTTGCCCGTTTCAGAGGCGTAAATAACCAACGCAGTCCTCGGATTGCCATTTTCGCTGTAGGCCATTTCAGCACTCTGACCCCGAGGGCCCTTTGGTTTTCCAGCGAAGACGATCGTGTTTGTGCTCATAAAACCAGTGTAAACTGTAATTAACTAGCCCCGATGTCGGGCGATGACATCATCATTTGCCGAGACAACTTTGGAAGACAAACAGCGCAAACTTGTGATCCATCTCTCGACAGTATTATTCCTGACATCCAATGCGAAATGGTAGAGAAGGTACGGAAGTTTAAGTGTGAAAAGTAAAACACCTCCCTGAATCATGCGGTCTTAGGAGTCATAAAATACATATCACGGCTGCCGCTAGAGCTGTGATAAGGGTATCAAAAGTCATCAGAATACATCGCCATCACCGCCATCGCCGTCACCATAGTCATCTCCTTCATCGCCGGCATCAAAATACTGCTCGGCATTATAATCCCCGCCCATATCTTCCTCATCGTCCTCAAAATCGTCGTCCACAATCTCTTCCTCCCCTTCTCCCTCCTCCTCCAGTCCACCCTCGTCATCTGTGTCTCTCCGTCTATCGACATCCGATCCTTCATCTTCCCCTTCATCAACGGTCCGCCGCTTACGCGCGGCGTCCACAACTTCGTCTTCCTCGTCGTCTTCAAAGCCTCGTTTTTGACCAGCCCGTGAAAGGGCTCCGAAACCGTTCGCCCCCGGCAAACCGACGTATTTCGGATCAACCGTGGACCACAATTCTTTTGGGAAAAAATTCATTTCTATGAGAACCGCATCTCGTTAGAATTTCCTCATCCCTAGCGGAGAATAGGCAAAACACTCACCAAATGGGATTGCACTAAGTTTCGGTAGCGTCCTTGCTTTTTTCAGGTATCGCTGTCCATATGTAGCCATGCCCTGGAACGGGTCAAACTGTGACCGTTGGGGCTGGCCTCCCTTCCCGTAGGATGGCGGACCGCTAAGCACTACGTAAAACGGCCCGTCATGGATAGCCTCTCGTAGCTCCCGATAGTATTCCACTTGCGTAAGTTCCAATGGTGTGAGTGGTTTTGCGCGGGGGACTTTATATTTCTAGTCAACTCAAAGAGTCAGCCAGGACATCGGAGCTTAGTGGGGACGGAGGCTAGCTTACAGGGAATAATGGCGTGGGCGCCGTGTCGGCTTCTGCACCAGGTTCGGATTGCCATGAGAATTCCGCTCCCGGTAATCTCCTGCCTCGAGCTCCCCCACCACCACGGCGAGACATGGCTGGTAGTGTTGGTGGATAAAGAAATGCGGCGAGTTATCTGACTATATGGCGTTCGCGTGGGAGGGGCTAAATTGAGATTCAAAAGAATTAATCATTATCAATGACTTTAATAAAAAAGAACAAAACTGATTTTGCGGATTGTCCCTGAAAAGCTTCGTGCCACTCTTCTCCTGAAGAGTCAATTGCCTTATCGAGTACATTCATACGAGGAGATTTTGGCCTGCCTTTCCGGATGGCTGACTAAGCCGGACTGGGAACTTGTGTCATATAAAATGTATTTTGTTGCATGCTCATTTAGCTTTACAAACAAATAAAATAATCTAGCCTTAACTAGTACTGAATCCGCTGTTGTCCCATTTGCTTTGCGCCCTCACTATAGCTCCAACGCGTCAACTCGGCTCCCAACTTGGCTGGTATTGCCCCATGGACCCTGCGCAACACGCCGTTTCATGGTGCGTAAAACATCATCAACACCACCTGTGTCTCCACCTATCACTTCGAGAGACGATTCGAGTGCAACAAGGGCGTCGTATTTCGCAGTAGCGATTCTCCACACAGCGCTTTCGCTATCTCCTCTTCCTCCAGCAACGAAATTTGCGTATGTTTGCGGATCTTTGAACAGATACGGTAGCACAACCGTCAACGCCGGAGGGACAAGCAGAGCCCAAGCTCCATGCGATGGCAGATTTCCCTGTGTTGCAGGCCCAAGTAGCTCAACCTCGTCTTCGGTTGGGACGGCAAACCGGGAACTAGTGGGGCTTTCGGGCTCTAAGCCTGGTTTGATAACCGCCCAATTCGCACTGGAAACGGCTTTTATGAACGAAATCGCAGCTAGAGCCGTATCGGTCATGGCTACTATCTCCGCAGCAGCCACGACATTATTCCAAAGGCCTGGATGCTCGTTGAGGTATTGAAAGTAGAGCGTCCTTGCAGCAGCCGCTTCCGCCCTAAGACTAGTTGCGTTTTGTTCTAGAGTGTTTGACTGTTCGTCGCGTGAAGCATCATTACCGTGTACGGGTCCGTGGAATATTCTTCCTAGCGCGTGCAATGTGTCTTTGTTTAGTGGTTTTGAAGGAATGGAAAGCAACGGGTTTAATGACCGTTTTCCGGCCTCTAACAGCATAACTCGTGGAACTGATGCTAGGATGTTGAGATCGCCACTGGGGATTGCACCATGGGCCCATTGTGCAGACGGCATATCGAAAGATTGATAAATGCGTGCGAGGAGCTTATCCAAGAAGCTTTGTGGGTTCTGTAGCAGATGGTTCGGATAGAGCTCTGCATACTGGGAGATGTATGCCATTATTGGCCCAGAGAGATATGCAGCTTCGGCAGGATCCAATGCTGAGGGTTCCACGTAGTAGTCCACGATTCTACGATGTAACCCAGAGGAGAGGAGGAATTCCAGAGACGGGGAAGAGAATATTGGCGACCCTCCCACGGCGTTGCCGCGTTGTCGGATACCAGGAGCGCCAATTTTCAGGAGGTCACTGAGGAAATGAATGAGAGTCATGTGTAATAAAACATCTTCGGTATCCACCATATGGCAGGTTGCGAATTCTAGCAAGTTATTGCTTTTAAAACCAAGTTCAATATCCGGAAAATGGGAGGTTATAATTGCCTGCCAGTCCAAAGAGCCGACCCTAGCGACAAAATCCATCAGCCTTCCCTGAGCGACCGATTTTTCCCGTTTGCTTGGTTGGCCCGGTTGTCCAGCATTGTCAAGGTTGCAAGTTGAAAAAAGAAGCTTGTACACGTTCTTGTCGCCAAAAACTCTTCTCCAAACCAAACCCTGTCCGCGAGAGTTATCCTTCTCTGCATCGCCATTTATTTGAGGTTTACCTGGGTGGTCAACCTCCAGGAGAGACCATAAAACATCAAATGCCGCTTCTGCCACAGCAGTTGTGGTGCTTGTGAGCCAGATCTCTACCAGAGACACCACTAAGGCCGGGTCACCAGCAACAACTGCCGCATCACTGGGCGATTCGCCAGCTTTGCGAAGGAGTGATAAAGCAAGTAGATTGATCGGAGGGGAAGGCGCCTTGATACCAGCGACGATGTTGACGGGAGGTTGGATGGACAGTATTTGCGAGAAGTTAAGATAAGTCGCTGCTTTCGTGGCCAGATTGGTTAGCGGTGTAGGATCTTCTTGAAGGATAGGGAAAAGCGCAGATATTTGGACCAGGAGTGCCGACGACACTGCTGGATCAGTGCAAGCGAACAGCTCCGATTGAAGCTTTTCTATCAAACGGAGATCCAGGCCTGTAGAGGGGTCGGAGGTTATCTGATCAACATGATCCCTGAAATGGTCGTACGTCATAGGGGTACCCATTTTCACTGGGGAGCTCGAATGAGCTGTCCAAAGAAAGATGGAATTGGCTCAGGGTGAAGGATGAGAAGACGGTGGATTGTTGGATGACGAACGAGGCGGGAAGAGCTGGGAATCGAGTTGAGCTGCCCCACGAACAAACAAGACAAACACCACCCGTCCTCCTGTCATCAGAGCTTCCCGGCTCTGCTCGTTGCTTGCCGTTGCATACTGGCTGTGAGAAGCGCAATCAAAATGGAGGAAATATCCAATCCGCTTCTCTCCCAGAAGTCTTCAGACTCGGGCCTTCACGTCTATCTCCATCCGTTAGTCCTCCTCAACATCTCAGATCACATCACCCGGCATGCGCTCAGGCAACAGCGAGGCCCAATCGTGGGAGCTCTTCTCGGCCAACAGAAGGGTCGATCCATCAGCTTAGAGCATGTTTTTGAATGCAATACTGTGGCAGAACCGAATGGAGATATATTCTTGCACCAGGCTTGGTTTTCCGAGCGGCTTCATCAATGTGTGTTCTCAGCGCCCCCATGCACCGAAAGGTATGCCAGAGCTAATAGTGATAATACTGGATAACTAGTCAAGGACGTCCATAAATCCCCTGCTCTAGACTTAGTGGGATGGTTTACAATAACGCCTCCAAGCGGCCCAACGCCAGCTCAACTACCCCTTCACCGACAGATTCTGGAACATTACAACGAGGCCGCGTTAATTCTAGCATTCCATGCCTCGGAGCTACAGAATACGTCGTCGACCATCGGTAAATTGCCGCTCACGATATACGAATCTGTTCATGAAGAGGACGGTCCAGAAGATGGAGATAAATCAATGGATATCGATGGCCAAGCTCACCAGCTAACGCTCCGTTTCAGAGAGCTCCCATATTCGATCGAAACCGGAGAGGCGGAAATGATCAGTGTTGATTTCGTAGCTAGCGGCGGCGGCAATGCTACTGCAATCGATGCAAAGGGCGAAACGAGCTTAACGGGAAGACTGGCAAAGTCACAGAAGCAGGGATCGCTTGGAGTAGGTACTCTCTCGCGGGAGGATGAAGACTGTATGTGGATCTCTAATGTGGGGACAACTTGATTATCCTACTAACTACGCCGCGCAGTAATTGCAAACCTCACAATGCGTCTCGACGCCGTTAAAACACTCGAATCCCGCCTCCATCTGATCAAATCATATCTCGAATCAACCCTATCCTCAACTTCCGACAACGGCCCTCCTTCGACGCCTCACTTGTCCAACTCCCTCCTCCGCAGCATTTACTCGCTCATTACTCACTTGGCCCTTCTAAACCCACGATCTTCAAATTCTTTCTCTGTCGAGTCCCTAGCTCAGGCCAACGATGTTTTGCTTGTGGCTTTGCTAGGCTCAATGGGGAAGAGTGTCCGGGGAATGCGCGAGCTTGGCAAGAAAGTTGCTATTGCAAACAGTATAAGGCAGAGTGCTGCTAGGGAGGTACAGCATCCCCTGGATTCGCAGTCTCCACAACACGGATTTATGCGGGAGAGAGGAAAGGAAGGAAGTGCTCTGTGGGGTTAATTCGAGCGGGTTCATGTCCATGTTTTTGTTTTGCTAGGTCAATTGGAGTAATATGGTTCTTTAGGCGGGAGGGCCACTGAAAAAGGCCGGAGTTTTACGAAGTTTTACGCCTTAGCTAGGTATAGATTTAAAGTTTAAAGAAATGCTGCTTTGGTATCATATCGCCTTCTTCTATCTCCGGCTACACAGCGGAGCCTGTAAGGAGAATATTATAAAATCATAATACAAAAAGCTCAAGGGTATCATCTGAAAAGCGTTTTGTTGCTCTGCGGCTAAAAGTCAAGGCCCCATGGAAATGCACAAAAACTGAAAACGACACATATTTTCAACTCGTCTATCCATGACGATGCAGCAGTCAAGTTTTTAGGAACGTTTCTGTCCCGACTCAGCAGGCTTCACCGTATCTAGAGGATAGTCCGTAACCGGATCGGCCTGAGCATTTGCGAGCAACTCATCCCTCTCCCCACCATAGGAGTCAAATCGTCGAGGGCTGGGCTCCATCATGATATCATTCGCCGAATGTGCCCCGATGTACGCTGTACCCTGCTCCTGCGCACTTGTTGTAGGAGATTTAACCGTAAACGAGCTTCCCGGTTGGCCTTGGTAGCTTGGATCAAATTGCCGCTCCTTTCTTCCTACGAAGAGCCATCGTGCACTTCTGCCGATGGCTTTGACAAGGTCCCATGGGTTGAATGCGTCGCCCAGGGCTTTCAGACCAAGGAATCCGCCTTGGTAAGCCGTCACGGGCGTTGCGTATACGCTATCTTCGGGAGAACTAAGGTGTTTTGGATTGTTGAGGCTATAGGGCTTCCAGGGGAAGGCCCAGAGGTGGAGGATGGCGAAGATGGCCATTTCGAAGCAAATCAAGGTGGAGGGAATGCCGATCTTGATATCTGGCAATTGCATTTTATTCGAAGGTTTGATCCATCCTGATGACGTGAGGAAGGATATGGTAATCTGGACAGAAATATTGAGCGTACGTTCTAAAAACGGGGCATAGAAACCCTACCTCTTGCCAGAACGAGAGGAAAATAACCAGTTTGATAGCAAGGATCTTTAAGAAGGGCGAATGTGGCGAAAGATCTTCTTTCAATTGAATGTAGAATTGGATAAGGCAGTACATAGCAATCGTGACGCAGACAACTTCGATGACCATGACCTTGGAGCGAGCATTAGTATTGATTTCTAGATGGATGGGTAATGCAAGCGCCAACAAACCCAGATGTGTGCAAAAGCAGGGCTTAATGATTCCTGGCAGTAGAGCTTGAATTTCTGCGTCACCACCGCAACGATAGTCATAGCCACTCGTATAAAGCAATATTGGAAGACTCCCGTCCAAATAATCTAGCACAAAATCGCGTCAGCTTGCACAAAATCGGCACTTTTCCGCGAGTGCTTAGCCACCGTACATTGAACCAAGTCAAACCGCTCCGTGGAACCCTCCATATTCCCCTCTCCCCACCGCAACATTTCTGGAACCAGTCCAAAGGCCAGAACCATGGTTTTGGAACAATCCCCCTGAAATATGCCTTTTGTTTGTGTAGGTCATCGGCGATGTAGTGACACATAAGGGAGAAAAATGCGGAGATCGCAAAAGCTTCATAGCAGTCTCGGAGCACTTGAAAGTATACGGTGTGTCGGTAATGGTAGAAGGATAGGAAGGATACCACGGCGTAGATAGGGACCATGAACAGTATTCGGATGATGCTGGAGGCCAGTTGCGATGTGTTAGCTAGCTCGTATTGAAAGTCTTGTTTGGAAATGGAGATAAACGGACTGCTTTTGCTCCTGGGGACGAAGGTAATGCGTTCCATGTTGGAAGACGAGATAGAAGGATACAAGTGCGGCGATGAGGGAGAACACCGCGGATATTATAATACCCAGACGATGGAATGTGATGCCACCATCCCAGAGAGGATCCTCAGAGACTATAGAGCCATTAGCAACAGTAAGTTGAGCGATGGAGACTTAGGCAAAGTAGTACTCCGCTCTTCAGAAAGCGTCTCATTGCACACTGGCCATCCCATTGATGCGTGAGTTACATCAAACCCACTATTTGCCCAGCAATGAGAAGAGTCCGTAGCAGGCTAATATTCGGGATTGAACCATTCAAAGTTGTCGTTGAGGGTAGTTGGTCAAAGTACGGAGTAGAGGTATCAAAATCGGTCTCAATATTTGGGCGATCCTTGTCATCAGCGGCTGGAACGACCTGACAATCACCCTTCCAGATGGAAAGTAATATCTCCCGTAACTATGCACTACTCAAACCGGCGCTTCACTACGCTTTACAATCTTTGTTTAGTATTCTAATTACTTCATAGCCCTCCAACAGCGAGAGCCCGCCTCGAAATATAAACATTGGTTCCTGGAAACCAAGCAAAGCCTAAGCTTTGCTGCTAAGACTTGCACGACCAAGACTTGTCAGCTTGGCATTAACTGCCAGGTTATGAAGAGGCCTGATATCCAGCTACGTGTACGGAGTAGATGGTAATGAGCCGCAGGGAAGTTCGGGATTGCTAGATATTTTCAGCCTGCGCTAGCACTATCTCAAGTTATATTGAGTCCACATTTGCCCAGCAAGAAGCAAAGTATGTTGCAGCTCTCAAATGTGAGAAGATGGAACCAGCACCAGATCTGTAAAGCCGATAATCAAAATCTGGATATGCTGTAATTGCTGCATCAGAGAAAGAAAACGCAAAGCAAAAAACCACCGCCTTTCTAAAGCAGAGAGGAAGTACCGTTCCTGACCAAAATATCCACAAAGGAACCAATCGACATAGTCAACCGTTTGAATTGTGTTTCGGATGCTTCGAAAGCCTTGATGGACCACCCCTTCGCCGAATCAAAACAAACGAACCAGTTGATATCGAGACTGAAGAGTATGGGCATTAGTTGCATCTTCAGTAAGCGGTAAAAGAAATCTATATTGCATGAGAAAGCTAGGCTTCCATTGGAAGTCATGGGGCGTAGCGAAATATGGCAGAGATGAATGGATTCAACATTTCATCTTCCGCCGCGCCAACTGCCTCCCCATTCGGTAAACGCACCGCCTCCTCGGCCTCTTGGCCCACGGCCTCGACGCGCGCCATATTCTGGGCCTTGGTCGACAAAGTAATCTTCATCCTCAAAGGTATACCGACGCATCTCATCACCACCAGGCCGGCGAGTAGGACCTCGGGCCGCAAGGTCATCAAATTTATCCAACCGCTTCTCTGAGATCTCCTTGGGAACAGGAAGAAAGTATAGCTTTGGCTTTGCCGACGTAGATTGAAATCGGTCATCAAGTGCTTTGAAGCCACTGTCAGGGATGAGGGCTGATGGACCTGCCTGAGGTCCACCTCGACCAAATCCTCGTTCAGCCCGTGGTCCTGTAGGTGGCTCCCTTCCAAGGTTGAATGACTGGTTGCGGTTATTACGCGTGGAACTCGCCACCGCCTCCTGCAAGACAGCTTCAATTCCGTCTTCTCTTTCTTCGTATACCACTTCCCAGCGAGGACCGTCGCGCCCTCCCTCACGAGCTCGTTCTAGGTCAGCCCATTCTTTTACCTTTTCTTCTGGGACGAAATCGGCCCACAATGGCTTGCGACTTCGCTCTTCAGGCCAAATAGTATCGTGCAATGCTGTACGAACCCGCGAAGCGGCTGCAACACTCGTAAATGTAACAAAGCAATGAGTTCTGATCGCATCTAAAAAGAAATCAAGAATGGCGTCTGGATCAGGAGTAGAATTAGGAGGAGCTGCCAAGGAAGCCAAATGTTTTTTGAGATTCGCGACTTGGAGGGGGCGCATAAAGTCGCGTATGTACAGAGAGGTGGTGGCAGGGTGTAGAGCTGGGGCGACAACCCGCTCCTCGTCCTCTGCTGGTGGAGGAGATTCCCGCCGACCCGAAACGTTGTTGGCGGAAGAGAACAAGTCCTTGAAACGAGCATCGCCAGCCGGCTTCCTCGTCGAGGGTACATCTTCAATTTGGTCTTCTGTATGGTTCCGCACTTCCTCCTGCTGTGGTGAAGGGGATGCTGGTCTTTCCTCTTCCCCCTTGCCTTGCTCACGATCTTCAATTTCTTCGTCTGGAATTTTTGATGCTATAGGCTTTTGGGGTTCCTGTTCTACCTTTTGGCCCAACTGCGCGGCTTCCGCTTGAGCAACCTCCTTTTCGTCTCTCGCCGGAAATTCCGCCTGGCTTTTCGAAACGTCGATTTCCATTGGCTGCGGTGCTACTGAAGGAGCAGTAGCAGATTCTTCTATCCCCCTTTCATTATTTATTGACGACAAATCTTCCTGGAGGACAACGCGCGGCTGACCGTCCTCCGCTCTGGCTCTCTTCAGTGCGACGCTTCTCGGGGAGGGAGGTGGACTTTGGCTGCGACGTTTCCGCTTCTTCGAATCATCTATCTCTTCCTTGGCGACTTCCTTTTCGGCTAAGGGGGGGGTAGATGCGGCCTGAGATGGCTGAACAGCTTCAGCTTCGTTTTTATCCTCCCGCAATTCTGCTTGCTTTTCTTCAATATTTGGTTCCCCGTCCGAGACCTTTACCGTCGCCGGCCCTCCTGTCGCCGATCCGCTATCAACTGGTTCATCGGGGTTCGGCTGATCGGTCAAGGGCGCGGCGTCTGGCATCGTCACATCTTGAGGCGGCGCTTCAGACGGCTTGAATGCTTTGTGTGCAGGTGGTTGGTCAGCCGCTCCTGATGTAAGGTCATTCACTGGCTGAATTTGTTCTGGGATCGACTCTTCTGGTTTAGCAGCTTCCTTAGGAGAGGTAGGCGCTGATGTTTCAGCTTCTTCAAGGGGAACCTCTTCAGGCGCCACTTTTTCAGCAGGTGCTCCATTTTGCTCAGATGAGTCGTGTTGCAATAATCGGTCAATGATTTGCTGTTTCAACCGGAGCCCAGTCTGGGGAATGCCACGTCGTTTCAATTCTGCTTTCAACTCGGCTACTTTCCAACCACTGTAGTCGGCCATGATGGTTGATGTTGCGCGCAAAGCGCAATGGACCAAATTCGAAGGGAAGTGCGGGCACTATATGAGATGTGGAGAACGAATTATCATCCGAGTCAGGTACCCGTAAAGAGCAGCAGGCAAATCGACATTTGATGAATGAATCACGTTCAAAACCCCGGGATCTCACTTTGTGATGGAAAGAGCTTCAAAGTTGTTGAAGCTAACAAGTTTCGTGCATGATGCACTAAGCCCAGATAGGACTAGTGAGCATGACAAACCACACATCCAAACCTTCAGGGCAACAAAGGCATAAAATAGTCTGGATGCTTGATTCTTCTATAAGACTATAACTACTCTTTACCTTAGTGGACCATCGTTCTCTTTCAATGATACGTATGCTTCATCTGAGTTACTGAGGCAAGAAGCAGAGGTACTCTGGATATATCAGGCCCAAACAGCCATCTGTCACAAATGTCAAAGCAGATTGGAGGCGACGAAAGTGGCCATGAAGGTCGGCTGTGGTGAAGAAACAAGGTCGTTGCCGCAACTTCCATTGTCAACCTGCTAACAGAATATCATTCAGAAAAGCAAGGACCGTGACTCTGTCCTGGCGACTTGATAAGTAGTGGAAGACGCTGTTGCTCAAGGATCATGGAGTGCATGGCCATTTGTCGTATCTCTGGCCCTGTCCCATCTCCCTTTAAGAATCGCACTCCATGTTTTCGGCCTCAAAAAGACTGATCGGCGCGGCCAAGATCCCTCATAATCCGGATGAATCAGCTACCAGAGAGCAACGGGAATGTTTCCGAAATCGAGGGTGATCAGGTCATTTGGTATTCTGAATCGATCTTTGCTCCCGCATGTTTCAACACGCCCACTAATCACCAGTGCTGTGCGGAAGTGTCGATTCTCGTTGGTGGTTGCCAGGTCGCCACCCTACCGCGGCTGGCATACAAATCCCAATACTGTATGCCCCCTTGAATCAAGAGATCTAGAAGTGTTCCCAAACAAACTCGGCCCAATCCTGCAGCTCAGTCTCGGTGAATATAAAATCGCCCTGGTTTCTCGCTGGGGTTCGAAGGAAGAGATCCTCAAAGGGGATTCGCAGGCGGTCGCCGGTTACGCGAATTGGGCTCTGGCCGCTTTTATTCACTGTGATTGTCTGAAGCACACCTACTCCTCTTGTTCCAGAGCGCCCATATCTCCGAACAGTGAGTTTGCTTCGAGAGACCTCGGCAGTGATGGCCACCTTAACATCACCACCAGACTTCCAAATCCAATTCCTAGCATCCCTGTCAAGAGCAACTTCACTCTCTGACTTCCCAATCTCCACAACCAGAGTTGGCCATTCGTTGGTTCTTCCAGAAGGGAGATTTCGCGGCAGTAGAGCACAGTCTGGCTCCTTGTGCTGGATTTTTGCACGACCAACATTCGAAAGATATGTGAGGTATCTCATCCCCATATCTCTCATTTTTTCTTGAATCTCGTGTATAAGCCAATCCGTGACGACTTCATGGGGACGCGTTACCATTTTGGCAATAGAAATAGCAGGCTTGTCAAAGTACTCGGTCCTCTTTATTCCCATTTGTCTGCGCTCATTGAATACAATTCTTTCAGGGACATCAAGGAATACACAGTACCCGCCATCATCAACAGAGCGGGCTGCAGCTTCCATCTGAGAAGGGCTTTCATATTTGCAGACTAGTGTTTCCGGCGGCAAGCAGTCCAAGGCAGCTTCAGCCTCACTGTCCCTAGGGCGGCTTCCCAACCCAGATTGTAGCTGCCACAGTAATACGCCAACATTTTTGGGCGCCATTTTGACAGAGGAATGTATTCAGTTCGACTTAACAATACTGGTCTCCAGGTAGCTAAGGGTGATGTGGTTTGTATATGTGCTCTTGTTCGCATTTCATTTCTAGCTTTGCTGAGCAAGTAAACTGCAATGTAGTACAGATCACATCATTCGAGCTTGATTGCCACCATTAATTAATAATGTTTGAGTACACTGTAGTTCCCAAAATTGCCTTGGGTCCAGATATGTGAGAGTTGAGGAAGTTGCTTTAATTACTGCCTTTGTTCAGAGTTCTGCCTTCTCTCATTCATGTGTTTGGCATGTTTGCACTTTCAGCATCATTTGTACACTACGCCAGAAGAGGCTAGCATCCCCACCAACGTTTAAAATTCTTATCTGATTGGCCAAAAGTGGTGACATTGCCAAGCCAGCTGCAAAGCAGGCTTCTCATTGGTTTATGTGTTTTTCAGCTGAGAGTCACTTTCTCAGCCCTTGGGTGAACTTGACCTGGCCTGGTTTCCCTCCTCTTCCCTGCACTTTTCTTCAGGCCATAAATTCTCATCATCACTACCCTGATCAAGACAAGACGCACATTTCCCCTTGAAATTTTCTCGGATTGCACCGTTGCGCACCACACAATGGGAAGTGACGCAGTGAGTGTCCCTCAGCCAAAACCAAGGCTCCGTCAGTATTGCCCTCCCCGCCTTGCTTTGTAGGACGGCTACTAAATCCCGTAGAGAGAGTCGTGTCGCAACCTGAGAATCCCTTTTCGAAACTCATTTCTGATCAACATATCGCCATTGTTCCGAAGTTCACGCTCGAATCTGGGGTCACACTGTACAATGTGCCAGTCGCCTACACAACGAGGGGTAAACTGAACCCTTCGGGAGACAACACTTTGGTCGTATGTCATGCCTTGAGTGGCAGCGCAGACGTCAGTGATTGGTGGGGTCCCTTACTCGGCAAGTCGGGGCAAGCATTTGATACCACAAAATTCTTTGTGGTCTGCCTTAACAGCCTGGGGAGTCCTTATGGCAGCGCCAGCGCTGTGACCTGTAAGGATGGCGACCAAAGCAAAGGTCAATATGGGCCAGAGTTTCCGTTGACAACGATACGAGATGATGTAAAGTATGCTGTTCTGATATCAACATAGTACGTCCGCAGCGCGGCTAACATGTCGTTGTAGTATCCATAAAATCATTTTGGATGATCTAGGGGTTCGGCAAATCGCAGCCGTTGTTGGAGGTTCGATGGGTGGCATGTTGACGTTGGAATACGCATTTTTCGGGAAAGACTATGTTCGATGCATTGTGCCTATCGCTACATCTAGCCGCCATTCTGCTTGGGGAATAAGCTGGGGTGAAGCCCAAAGACAGAGCATCTACAGCGACCCCAAGTATGAAGACGGATATTATTCGTTTGATGACCCACCAGCAACTGGACTGGGCGCAGCGAGGATGGCTGCTTTGTTAACGTACCGAAGTCGCAATTCTTTTGAGGCGCGGTTTGGCAGAAATGTTCCCGACCCTTCAAGACGTCAAAATATCAATGGTACTGCCCGCCTTCCAACTCCTCCAAACGATCATTGGGCTGTGCATAATGATGGGCACAAGTCCACACGAACGCCGCAAGTTCAAACTCCAAATGAGATTCACTCCCCGATCCCTCAATCAGAGATCAAATTCACGGACCCGCAGTTCAGCGGAACCACACTATTCAACGCGCCACCGTCGCCTGCATTGGACCCTTCCAAACGCCCGACAACATATTTTTCTGCACAGTCCTACCTACGATACCAAGGCCAGAAGTTTGTGAAACGCTTTGATAGTAACTGCTACATTGCAATTACTCGAAAACTAGACACACACGATGTTTCGCGTCACCGCGTCGATCCAGCGTCCCCCACACCGGTGAAAGATGCGCTTGCGCAAATCCAGCAGCCGAGCCTCGTTATTGGTATCGAGAGCGATGGTCTGTTTACGTTTGCCGAACAACAAGAAATAGCCGAGGGCATTCCAGATGCGCGCTTGAGAACGATCGATAGCCCGGAAGGCCACGACGCATTCCTGTTGCAGTTTGAGCAGGTCAATCATCATATCCTTGAATTCTTTAGAGAGGTTTTGCCAGAGATCATGTTTGTTGATGGCGAAGCCGGTTCCAGCGAAGACCATGTGGCCCAAATTACAAAAACCAGCACTTTTGGAGAGGCTGAAGTCGAAGACATCACTGCTTGGTAAACTTTACGCAGCGAGGTTAAATCCGGCATCTCCCGCAGGACGACGTGCCGCCTTATGTGGCCCAGAATTTCGCCCATTTTGATGGCATCGCCTTTTTGTTACTTTCCTTGAGTTTCTGATTTGAGCACGGAAATGAGCATCCAACTGCTCTGATTTGATATCCACAGATGTGTTTTTACCTTTGTCCTTGAATGTTATGAGCGACGGCGTTTCGATCGTGCATCCAACTGCACGTAGATTTCTTGTTACTTTCCTACCGCCCATGAGCTGGCAATATTTTTGTTCCTGTATGAATTGACCCGTTTCTGCGAAAGGGGGCTCGCCAGTCAGTTCATTGTGACCTTCAAAAAGTCAAACAACCTTGATGCCGTCGGCAAACTGTACATACATACATCCAAGTGAGCAGGCACGCAGGAGCTGTGTCTCCTATAATCAAAGCTCGCTTTTTTATGGAGTCTTGAATAGAAAGGATCCATGTTTTCCTCGATTTCATCTCAGTCTAGTCTGCCCGTAAACTATCTCCCAAAACCTCTAAGCAGTCGAGTATGCGAAGATATACCGCCCAACTGACCCAGCCCACGATTTGTATTACTTCCATGGTCCCCCAGTCACAAACTCTGGGTTGATGGGCTCCGGATATGGTACTTCGACAAACGATGCGCTTTGAACGGGAAACTCCCCTGGGTCTCGGATCACTGAGCTTCTTGACAGCCCATGGTTCAACCCTTCAACCCAAATAATGAATGATACGCCGCTGATACCTCGTAGGACGGTGAAGATGGGCATGCGTTCCCAGCAGTTCCAGGAGAACGCAGGTTAGTCAAAACGTAGAAAAAGCACCGCAAATGGGAAGGGGGGAAATGAGGAGCAAATGAAACGGCAACTGGAAGAGAAATGAGTCAATGGATTCAGTGGGTTTTTTTCATTGGGATTTGAAAGCTAGAAATGAAGGAATATCAGCCCATCATGATAGCAGCGCAGAGTATCATATATCTCCTGAATATACAGTACGGGCGGCATTCTGACTTGAGAGTCCAAAAAGGACGGCGTTTGTGGCTTGAAAAGAATTTCCCCGCCCACCGATAGTGTATCACCCTGTGAGATTGGATATGGACAAGATAATCCCGCGGCATGGCGACATACAGAATGCATACATAATTTTCAATCGATCCGCCGATGCGACTCTATGAAGTCGGCCTTCCGAAGCCGTGCATCAAACACGATCAATTGGCTGACTGTTTAGGCTTGCGACGGCCTCAACTCTAAATTTGTGCTTAATTCAACAGAAGATCTCAAGATGATGGCCGATGGCCAGTGTTTTGCGACATTGACTCTCCAAATTTCGACGACTGTTTTCTCTTTGCTTTCCAGCAACGCCGTTTCCGAATCGTTGGCTTCATGTAACTAGCTGGTTGCTACCTGACACGCTCCCATGGCAGGACAAACTGAGGACACCTTTCCCCTGGATATGGCATCATGATATTCTGAACAAGATCATATAACTCACGGTGTTCAAAAGATTGATCTTGTCACCGCTTCTTGGGGATCCGACGGGGAGCAAGTCCAACGTGGCGGCCAAAGATCGCCATCATCCCTGTGCGAGGACGTAACGAAGTAGGACAGCCATCGCGTGTGTCCGATGCCCACGTCCAGAATCCATTGCTGCTACGTGACGCCTCGTTTTACTGGCCTGGACATCGGCTCATTTAACAGCCCTGCTCCGCCTGGGTGTTGAGGACAGCCGATTTGACAATTATCCCACGTTTCCCTGGACTCTCTCTGGTTCTTTTCTTTTGCCGCGATGGAAATCTATCAACCGGCCGTCTGCAGCGGCATGCTCATCTCAGCCGCATCGCAGATCCGGTGTGGTTATCAGGCCGGATTTAATGCTCTGCTAATTGGCAGGAAAAATCCATTGGGCTTGAAGATCATTCTCTTGTGAGATGATTGTCGCAACAGGGCACGGTGTGATATCTGCACGCCATGCAAGGACCAAGCAGATGTTTAACTATTGGGGATTTGCTCTTACTCTGGCATGAGAAGGGTACCCTGGTCGCATATGAGGGAGACTCGAGCAGTGTGTCACTCTAGACATGGTCGATCACTCTGGACTGCTGCCATGTTTATAACACAAACAAAACCTTCACAAAGCTCAATCCCTCTCTCTCAAAAAAATCATCGTCTACCCCGCAAAAGGATACACTTCATCTCTTTTTCCGGATGGTTCCCTGACCTTTACGGCTTTGCGTTCAACACTGATAACCAGCATGGCATTGGATAACAAGCCTCCCGAGTCGCAGAAGCTACAAGGTGCAGCTGATAGCATGCTTGCCACCAAGCCTGAAGGCAATGAGAGCTCTGTCGATGACCAGGCCGATATATCATCTGAAGAGGACTTCAGCGATGTTGATGAAAAAAAGGTATTGCGGAAGATGGATCTTCGCTTGATCCCCATGCTTGCATTGCTTTATCTTCTTTCCTTCCTGGATCGAGGAAATATTGGAAATGCAAGAATTGAAGGGCTTGAGAAGGACTTAAACCTCCGTGGCTCACAGTACAATTGGTGTTGTACGTTTAAATCTTCGTATAATGAGACTCTGGCCTGATGGACACTAATGATTTTCTCACTATAGTGACTGTCTTCTTCTTTACCTATGCATCTTTTGAGATTCCTTCCAATATCCTATTGAAGAGACTGAGGCCATCAATCTGTATGGCCGCATCAGCCCCTTACATCTATGTTCAAGAGGTGCTAACGCCAGCGGCCAAGACCTTCCCTCCATCATGATCGCCTGGGGAACGGTGATGGTGAGCGTGACTCTCAACGGGATCATTTGCAGCTAGCTTATCCTTGATTTTAGACACTGATGGGGCTTGTGAAAAACTACAAAGGACTCCTGATTGCGCGCATTTTCCTGGGAGTTGCAGGTACCCGACATCACATCTCCGAACCTCTGTGGTCCAATATAACCTAGACTGACTCCCTTGTAGAAGCTGGGCTATACCCTGGTTGCGCATACTACATCACCATGTGGTACTGTTCCAAGGAAGGCCAGCTTAGACAAGCATTGTTCTTCAGCGCTGCCAGCATTGCCGGTGCCTTTTCTGGTCTATTGGCCTTTGCCATTGCAGTACGTCCGTACCCACTTTCGGCGCTTATTTTGGGCACGAAAGGAAATCTAATTGACCAGTAGAAAATGCATGGTGTTGGTGGGCTCGAGGGATGGCGATGGATTTTCATCCTAGAGGGCCTTGCAACCGTTCTCGTCGCTATTATGGCCTTCTTTACCATCTACGATTTCCCAGAAACTGCGTCATTCTTTACTGAACGAGAACGGGCATTCGTGATCCACCGGTTAAAGTACCAAGGCTGCAAGCCGGGCTCTATGAGGGTGGCGCAGGCCGAAGCTTTCCAGTGGAAGTATGTCAGGGACGCATTCAAGGACTGGCAAGTTTATGTTGCTATCTTCAGTAAGAGGCCGCAATCGGAACCTTTTGGAATACTCGTTGATAAATGCTAGTGTTCTGGGGTATCGTCTGCCCGCTGTATGGTCTTTCACTCTTCCTACCGTCCATTATCAGAGACCTAGGTTACAAATCCTCTACGGCACAATTATTAACAGCAAGCCCTCCTTTTTCCATTAACCTTCCGTGCTACTTCTGACATGGCACTGTAGGTCCCCGTCTATTGCACGGCCGCAATCATCGCGATTGGCTCAGCATGGGTCGCTGACAAAAGAGGACAACGCTCGCCGTTCATCCTTTTCTACATGAGCTGTATGGCAATCGGGTTCATCATCTGTATTGCAAGCGCTGGAAGGGGCCTTCCTGGTGTCGTGTACGCTGGAGTGTTCATTGCTGTGTGCGGTACGCCATTTGTAGCGTCCTTTCTGTGATAATTGCTATAAAAGTCAACTGACTCGGACTAGGACTTTATCCTGCCTTTCCAGGAAACATCACCTGGCTCAGCAGCAACTTGGCCGGCAGCTACAAACGGGCAACGGGCATGGCTATTCAAATCGGCATTGGAAATCTCTCTGGTGCTATGGCATCCAATTTCTATCGACCTGGCGATGCGCCAAAATACTACACGGGACATGGCTTGCAGCTAGCATTTGTGACCACGGGGATAATTTCCGTGCTGATCTTGCGCTTCTCCTATCAGCGAATCAACAAGAAGAGGGATCTCGAGGGAACCGGCGACTTGAGCGAACAACAATTGGCCGATATGGGGGACAAATCGCCTGGATTCCGATACTCTCTATGATCATGCTAGAGGGACAAGACAGGCTATGTTTCTTGAATGGTAGATTGTGTACAGCCAAACTAGTCTGGTTGACGTAGAGTTGAGCAATATCATATTCCTTGGTCAGTGCATTCATATAGAGTAGTGCTTGCATTCCGCCGTCTCGCTGTGTTCAGGCTCCTGCAGGATCATCACAAGCTAGAATCAGCTTTGATTAACATCTGTTTCACATTGAACCCTCCCTGCAGCCCTTCTGCGGTGAACCCTGCTGCGCTAACGGTCGCTTCAGCAGCTTTCTATGTATTACATAAGCATAATCCCAGTCGACTTCACTTGTTTGTCGATTTCAACAGCCAGATCTGGGGATTCAAATCCAGGCGAGCAAGGGAGGATAGGAGCTTTGCTGCAGATGCTCCAGCGTGCTTTGGGTTTGTGTTTTCTTCTTCCTCTCTTTGACAGAGCAATTATTGGGAAAATGAACCCAAGAGATCCAGAGTTGCATGGAATCCTCCTGTTTATCCTGTGATCTAGAACTGTCTCTGAGCTCCTATTTGACTGGAGAAACCACATCATCACCGAGCAAGTCTCCCTACTTGCCAGCCCAGGAGAGATGCAGGACATGCAGTGAGGATGGGAGAGCTCCTGGCACTGGCAACTAAGAACACTCACGTGCCTGTTCCTCTCTGTTGATAACTGGCCAAAATTTCTTGAATCTTAACTTCCTCACCTTCTTTTCATATTTCTGAGCTTCACATCATCATTGAGCCCGCTTTAACTTCACTCGCTTGAACAGATTTATTCCCTTTGCTTTGCGCTTGTGTGCTTTCACTTCATTGTCCCGCAGCAGCCTTTCACAGCTGGTCAACCGCATCTAATATCTACACGCCATAGTTTCTTCATCTGCGGTTCAGAAACAAGCTTGTTTAAGCTCCCCCGCAAGTTGGAAATAAGCTTGTTGTTTGGCTGTGCATGCCTCTCGGCGCGTCACCATGAAACGCATGTTGAACTTCCGTCGCCGACGACGTTCTACTGTAAGTCCATCTCTGCTGTGGCTCAGAAGTAGGACCTTGGTATCTCGCGAGAAGCTGACATCTGGTTGTGGTATAAAGTTCAAAGCGCCACCACAGCTCGAGGCCGATCTCAATAACGTGAATCGAAGCTTCACCGTTATAGACCTTGCTGCTCGCGACAGGCCCGAGTCTCCTTCTAGCGAACGACCATATATTGATCCCCTCACTTCGCTCTATCTCCGGAACTCGTGCTCCCTGCTCGTGCAGAATGTCAACTGTGGCAGCTCAACTCGGCACCAGGGCCAGCTCGGTGAATAATACTTTATCAAGTTCTTTCGATTCACGTCAACTCCAACGCCATTTTCCTCTCGCACCCCTTACATGCCAGAACTGCGGCGCGCCGGCTGATGACGTTCCTGCATCACAAGCAAACCGACTGACAACCTTGACTGAGGAACCAACTGCGTTTAGGGAAGAAAGGAACGATTCCGGGGTGATGATGACTGCCAGCTCCCAAGTGCAACCCGGGAAAAAGGAGCCTTATGACCGGCCAAACACATCGGCTGCCACAAAGAAAGATCGAAACATGAACTGGGGTAATTACTCTCTCTCCAAGTCCAAAAGCACAAGCAACTTAGCCTCCCGGAGCAAGCAATCTAGCGACACCGAAACTCTCACCAGCGATCCAGTTGGCTCGGAACCACATCCTGAACAGCTGGGCAACTTCCGTGAGTCTCTTGAACAACAGTTCGCGATGGACACCTCCATCCAGTTTGATATCAACAGAGACATGAGCTCATCTCTTCCTCACCTTGGCTATCATTCCGACTCTCCTTTCAATGGACCCTCCCATGCAGCCCCAGCACGCGCTCAGCAATCCCGCTTATCAATGCTTGCTTTTGAAGATGATACAAAACAAGCCAACAACCCACACAGCTCTGACAAGCGCCACCAGAGTTTTGCAAAGAGGTTTTCAGCACATTTTTCCTGGAAAAGATACCCAAAAGGCTAAGCAACTGCTGGCCTCCTTCGTTGGCTTTCTTACCACTCAAAGCTGATTCTGACAATCCAGCCAAAGGCAGGTGCATCTGGTTTACCCTTTCATTACCAACTCTCTGTGGTGCTTTTTTTTTTCTTTCTTTTTTTTCTTTTTTATTTTTTTCTTTCGTTTTCAAACTTCTCCTCTTAACTTTTAAGTAATAATTTTTCCTCGAAATGAACATGTATGAGTCTCAAGAGTACATGAACTTCCTTTTCAGATAATTTTTCACTTTGTGCCCTTTTGCCCACACCCTCGATGTATTATGATTTCGTGTGCTGTGCAAATATGAATATCAGTGCATTTTACAGTAAACACCTGGGAACCAAAGATTCTATAGAGGAACATCTTACACCGAGAATGCCAGGACTGTGGAAGTCGCCGCTGGCTTTTCTGGCATCTGGAATATCTGGAGAATTTACGTATCAAGGAGCGTCATACCACTTTTTAGGACAGTGAAAAGTCGGAAACAAGACAGCTTGAGAAAATATTCCCAGTTCTGTCGCAGAACTGCCTTTCAAATTCCAAACTTTCCAGGAAAAGTGCACTTATGGCTTTCGTGGCACATTATAGAATCAAAACCGCGGGCACACTGCGTTTTTTAGGTTGATTCGTTCAATTACTGCTGTTTTATTGTCTCGTTGGGCCCGTCGCTGGAGCGACTATCTCTGGAGACAGTTTTATGGCCATTTTTAAACACGAGGCCCGGGTGGCCGATCATCAGCAAATAAACCGACGTGAGGATCATACTAATCTCGTGATAGTACCTTTAGCGATGCACTTTTAAGAAATATGAGGTGAAGAATTGATAAGACGGAAAGCGCAATACTGACACTCCTTCGAGACCGATGAAAAGCGCTTCGTCGCTCACCAGTCCACCGCTATACCCCTCGTGCAGCTCAGCGACACGGAATGCACAACGCACAGTGATCAGCACGATTGCTAAAAAGAGGGTACTGAGAAACACCTCGATACGGCGGCTGAGGGAATGCTTGGCAAGCTGGTTGGAGCGAAAATAGCGGTAGAGGTAGTCAAAGAAAAACCCGCAGAAGGTGCAGATAGTGAGGACCTGAAATGCGAGCCCTGCCAGGGCCAGATTGACGCCGACCTGGCTCTCACCCTTGCTTTTGGTACTGAGCCCACCGCCAGCAGCTTGGATGACCAGAGAGATCAAATCGCAGGGGACAAAGATCCAGTAAAATAACTTGGGTGGGAAACGCGACAAGCTAGGGGATAGCTCGATAATGGTAGCCGACAGGGTGACATATATAGCTGCACAGAAATAAAGGGGCGTGGTGGTTACGCAGACTACATCAACGTCTCCTGAATTAGCACATACCCAAGTTGTCCTCTTATGCAATTCTCTTCTGGGCTTGCACCTACTGATTTGTAGCATAAAGGCAACGAAATCGAACGGGTTATAGTACATCATAACCCGCCCGACATAGCCCAATATTGCGCTGACGCAGCCCACCAGCATGCAACCAGCAAACCACCAAGTCCGCCATCGGAACCCGAGATAAAGGTGGATGAAGCCGGCTAGGCCAAACAGTGCGATGAAGCTGGTGTTGGCAGCTAAGCTGGGGCGGTAGCCGTACACGGAGTACTGGGGGGAGCAGATCTCAAGGGTGCAGTTGGCGTGTGGCCCGAAGACAATGGCATAAGGAGCAACCCTGGGCGGCCCAGAGAGGGCAGACATTGATGCTGCTCTCGTCTCGTTTGTTGACTGGTATTTTTGTGTGTATATCCCGGTGTCCGTTTAGAAACAGGGGGGAGGAAGCATGATCCAATGTTAAAGAGCGCGGCAATGTACACGCAAGCTATAATTGCAGGTGAAAATAAAGATCCATAAAGGCTACCAGAAAAAAAATGGAAAAGGGGATCAGGGCTGAATTTATATCAGACAAGTAGCATAACCCATGATGCAGGATTCCAGCAGGGTGGCTGAAAGCAGCGAAATTTCAGAGAACCACGGAATGCCCGTGGATTCGGGGGCCAGCATCATCATCATCATTTTAGGCAACAAAATTGGTAGAGGCTATGTTGATATTGCTGCATCTAGGGTTACTCCCTTCGCATCGATTGCCAAAACGGATGTAGGCTGCCAAGGTGCGGTTGACTTGCTCGGGGGGCTGAGTCCAGAGCAAGAAGAATGCAGAGATTCGTCACTGGCTGATATATACGGAGTACTCCTGTTGGGATTGGCAAAGAGAGTCTGCTTCTATTGGATTTGCATGTCTTTTAACGGAAAACGCCTGAGAGTTACTCCCGAGTGACATTTCTAAGGATAATTAACAGTCAACTGACGTTCAAGGTCCATTCAACTCAAAAAGCAGAGCCAGAGAATGCATCAAACACCAAACCCCCTGTCAGATACAGAAAAATGGAAGCAGATATCTGAAATGTTAGGAATTCCCGCGCTTCTTTTTTAGCATCTCCATTCCCATAGATCCCTAGTCCATAAAATTAAAACTCCGCGCCAATGTCTTTGCATACAGGTTTCAAAGGGCAACAAATAGATCAAGTTGTCAATTTAGGAAGCAAAAAAGGGTAGATAGTAAAACAGTACAAAAAGGGGAAGGGAAAATCTCGAGTAATACGGCGATGCTGTCGACCCGCAGGCCCCTGAGAACAACTCACGAACAGCGTTGTAGAATCATTCCTTATCGTCTCGATCTCTTACTCTCGCTCGCGGCTCTCATGGATGCACCCTGGTCCTGTACATCATCGCCATTCCCAGGAACCCCACGCCCACGTTTCCGCGTCCATGTATTGACTGGAGCACCAGTAGTTCCAGAATCTCGGTTACCGCTGCCACCACCACGGCCATTGCCAGGCTCCCTGCGGCTTCGATCGCGATCTCTATCTCGATCCCTATCACCACGATCACGGTCTCGTTCGCGATCGCGTATCTCACGGTCCCTATTTCGGTCATCGCCTCTGCTCCATCTGCGATCGTCCGACGCGGGAGGCGGTGGTGGAGGTGGAGGCGGCGGTTGATGTGGTGTAGATTTATTCGCGGTAATGCGGCCAGAGGTATCAAACGGTCCGCCGCTTTGTGATCCAGGACCATCATAGCGCTCGCGTTTATCTCTTCTGCTCCTTCCTGGAGTCTGGGCTTGGGAATTATCCAAGTGTTGACTAACCCTTCTGGAGGATTCTTGCGAATTTCGCGTCTCATCTCTGTAATCTGCTGGTTCGTTACCACGACCACGTTCACGGTCCCGATCCCGGTCTCGATCCCGATCTTTATCCCTACTTTCTCTTTCTCTCTCGCGATCGCGATCACGGTCTCTCTCCCTTGGACGCTCTCTATATTCTTCTCTCTTGGATTCACTGCCTCTCGTAATCTCATCATCGCCTCTTCGGTTTCGTTCACGACCCCTGTCTCGATCAGCAATCCGGTCAGAGCCGAGATCTGTAGGGCGATCTGGAGTATGAGTCCCACTGGAACTCTGGCGAGGTGAGCCCCGCGCTTGGGATGCGGCTTCGCCCATAATTTCACTTCTACGACCGGTTCGTCCCACTCTGCGCGTTTCCTCCTCAAGTTCTTGGCGATGAGAAGTGTGTTGAGGCGCGCCGTTTGCCCGAGAAGGGAACAAGTCCGGCTTTCCTGGGCCTTGAGCCATTCCGCTTTGGTTCTCTGCAGGCGTTTGTGGCCTAGTTACTTGCGGCGACGGAGCATTCGCTGAGCCGCTCTGGCGACCAACTGCACCTCGTCCTCTGATCATAGTTCCCTGACCACCTCGGTCCAGAGGGCCAGAACCTTGCTGCAGCATGTTGTTCAAACCAGCAAACCTCTTGTCACCTCGGCCTCGTTCATTGGCAAATCCGGTGCCAGGAGCCGAAGGCCGCGTTGGCGATGGGCCTGAAGGTGGTGCGCCACGAGGGCCTGAAGGAGCGGAGATTGGTGCAGGAGATGGCGGTTGGCTGCTTGGACCATACGGTCGATCCGGGACTTGCAGGGCCCGTAGCCGGTCCGGGTGAATGCCCGAAGTGTCAAGCGGCGAAGGAACACTTGCACTCGAAGACGGAGCGGGATCTTGCTGTTGGCCATGTCTCTGGCCTGTCCATCCAGAGGGTCCACTTGGAAGGTGGCGATCGGTACGTGATGTCGGTGTGACCTGCGGTGGTGCCGGTGCCGGTGTCGGTGCTGGTGCCGGAGCAGCTCTTGCGCCGCGCCCAGGCAATGTTCGCCTTGGTCCGGATGGAATGTCAGTAGGCCGGTCAAAGTTTTCTTGCGTACGAGGATATCTTGAATCTTGATTTAGACGTCCATAGTTAGGGTCTGAAGGTGGGTGTGGTTGCCGCAAGTCTCGTGTGTCACGCGGAAAATCTGCCTGGGGGCGATTCTCAGGAATAGTAGGTTGAGGCCTATCCCCTCTTGGCCCGAGAGGCACTTCATCACGGCGAGATGATTGTAGGGGAAAATTCTTTCTATCATCTCGATCGTCTCCCTTATCTAACCTGCCACGATTATCGTCTGCTCTGGGTGGGCTTGGAGGTCGTGACGAAAGAGGTCGTCTGTCGTCCCTTTGCAGTCTTCCTGGCGGAACATGGTCACGGTTCATCTCCATTTTATGATCATGGAACTGCTGGAAGTCCCCTAATCGAGATTGGTTCATATCATCGCGGGATTGGCGGTAAGAGTCCCCTCTTGGATGTGACGCATCAGGTTGATTCAATCTACCTCTATTCAGTCGATCATGGTGCTCTTGGTCACGGGGCAGAGCTGCTGGATCTCGGGGACTAGGTCGGCTAAAGTGATCTTCTGTAGGCAAGCGGCGCCCAAAATCCCGTTCGATACGAGTGGAGTCTCTTCGATCTCTATCATGACCAGGGCGGCCGTGCACTCTGGCGTCACCGGGATGCGGGTGATCACCGATAACTTCCTGCCGACCGTGCGGTGGCTGTCGTGAATGGTCTTGATATCTTGTCTCACGTCCTTCTCTTCGAACGTCTCGTCTCTCAAGACCATCTGACGGCTTGCCGGGCATCCGTCCGTCTCGATACGAACCGTGGGACTCGGGCTTGTTTGGCAGGTTGGGTGGCGGTTGACGAAATTCTAGTTCGGGACGTTTGGGTATGTTAGCAGACGGAGCTAGTTCCGTTCGTGATTTCCATTCTGCTCTAGATTCCGGGACCGTATTCCTTGGGCCGCTTGAAGGCTGCATCTCTTTTGGAAACTCATTCGGAGAACGCTCTGGACGTGGTGGTAGCTGGGTTAGGTGTTCTGACGTTTGCTCTTTAATTTCAGTTGCTTGTCGGTCCGTCTCGTTTGGCTTTTGGTCGTTTACGGTTGATTCCGGGAGATTCGTAGGTTCACTTGGAGCTGGTGGAGAAAGAATCGTTGCAGGCTTTTGAGCTTGAGCAATTCTTTGTGCATCCTCCACTTCACCTTCCTCGACTTCGGATTTACCAGTGCCATTTGACCTACGTGCGTAAGAAAGAATATAAACAAAGAATGCATCGAGGTAGGGCTTACTTTGGCAGAACACTAGATGGTTTGAACTCTGGTGCTGTTGCACTGAGTGCTCTAGGAGTTGCCGACCGAGATTGCGGCGTAGTGGACTTCGCCCCGGCTGGTCTGTCGGCGGGCACGTTCTGTACTGTGTTAGGTCGCTCATTTCTTGGTTGAGCCGAAGTACTTACGAGCATAAATGCCTGAGGAAGTAGCCATTTCTTTTCCCTTCTGTTTAGATCCCCAATCAACGATGCTGCTGGGATTTTCACATCGTCACGAGGGTCAGACGTTTTCAGATGATTCACAATTGCGAGCATGTCAGTACCAATCCAGTTAAGAGCAGGGAAATACTGAACAACAGCTTTGAGGACACTGATCGCGTTGCGAATATGCATATATTCGCCCCCGGTCAAGCACGTCTTTAGGGCTGCACCGAAAAGGCGATGCCATTTGTAAAGAATACGTCGAAAATCCTCATAGCTTAGAAAGATAGTCGGCTTTCCTTCTGCGTCGACAGCGGTTGCGAACCCCGGGAGATCCTTCTTCGCACCATAAGCTTCCTTTTCGTAAACCGCAGAATCGGCATGCCATCTGCTGAGATCGCGGAAGATCTCATTTAAGAATCGACCAAGATTATCCGCCTCCTTTGAAGTGCATTGAAAAATAATGCTCGTCAGACGCTGGTCACGGAAAAGCTGGTCGAGGAGACCAAGAGTCCTGAAATTCGACGTCCCAGAGGAATGGAGGTACTTGAACAATTTGAAACAGTAAAGGGCATCCACAGGAGACAATAAAAGTCGGGGGAGTAGACACTGCTGAATAATGGCCAGGTTAAGAGCGTCATGTTTCCCTCTCATTCCTGCAAACCATTTTTCCCGTTCTTTTTGAAGCCGCGCACGGGTTTGAGTAAATGACTTGACATGTCGTTTATGTTCAAGGAGGATACGTTCATGCAAGTCGTTAACTTGCTTCTTTTCACGCTCCTTCTTTTGCGATCCTGCCATGCTCAAATCAGACCGGTCGCTTGAGATAGCAATCACCCTTTTCTTCAGACGCTCAAGTTCGTCTTCATATGATTTCTGAGGAACGTAGATGTCGTTGAGCGACAACTGCCAGAAAGTGGTATAGAATGGTAAACCCACGACATCCCACAAGTCACTCGGTAATTTGGATTTCATGGTTTCCATCATTTCATCAAGAACAGGGTGCCAAGTGGAGGTTATTCCATTTACTGCTGGAGTGGGAGGAATAGTTGGACTTTCTTGGTCGGCTTTCTGTGACTCCTGAGAAGTCGAATCAACTGCCATCGAGTCGACGGAGTCAATTTTTCCTGCTTGTTCAGTAGCATCCCCGGCTTCCCCCATTTCCACGTCCGTGTCTGGAGATTTGGAGGGCGTTGCTGCCTCCGATTCGGCTTTCTTCGATGTAGCTTCACGTTGTTGCTTGTCGTACTCGAGCATTCGATGTGCAATACTAGGACGAGAAATCCAGAATGCAACTTCCGTTTGAATTCCAAACTCTCCAATAAGTGATGAGACATCGGGCACAAACGAATCAAACTCCTCCTCCGTGAAATTGGCCCGAAGCAGATCTAGGTATTGTGTTAATACCCGATGTATTTCGTCAAAGATATTGCCAAGCAGCTTGAGCTCGACATCTGCTTCGGTCTCTTTGAAAACACAAGTGACTCGTTCTTGGGCGATGGCTATGAGGAGTTGACCGGCAAGTTGCGAATCAGTAAGTGCTTTCATGAGACGTTTGGAAGTAGTTTTGGACTCGTGACGTTTGTCGAGGAGCTGCAACATGGTTTGTGACTGCAACACCTCGCCACCAGCCATTGCTTGGACTTGAGCATCGTTGAAATTGGTGTCAGTCACAATCCCAGCCATCGAACTAACCAGTTGTTCCAAGACGATGAGATCAGTTGAATTGTTGTGGCGAAGTTGTTCCGCAACATATTGCAGAACTGGGACCGGATTCATGATGCTCGAGTATCTTTTGAAGACTCTTCCAGCGAAGGACGCCAGGGAATTCAACCACCTGCTCGTCAAGAGCCCACTCTCTTGCATGCGGCTACGCCCCTTATGACCCAGAGAATTAATTAGAGACCATGTTAGGATGTCGTATCCCAAGTATGTAAAATATCTTGCACATTCGACAACAACCTCGATGAGGTTCTCATAAGATTCGATTTGGCTCACTGCCACGTTTATGACAATTCCGGGATTGGCATATGCGATTTTCGCTAAAGTCCGCGCCATAGGTCGAATATTCGTTTTGCTTAGCCGCTTTAACGCATCTTTTGTTTCAAATCTCGCTTGATCGAACGCAGATTTGATATCAGGCAAACGAGAAGTTTGTCCAAAATACCATTCGGCATAGATAGAAAACCTGACATTCTGGGGAAAGCAACTGAGTAGCTCGAATACTTCGTTGACAGCTCCAGGGTTCATCTTTGTTAAGCTTAGCGCTGGAACCAAAAGACGCTTGCACATATCGATCCATCGATTTCGGTTCGATTCTGATGTATCCTCATCCAAGCTGTGTTTCCCGATTCTCGCCAATTTAATCAGCAGGCTGGGATCTTGACCGATCTTTACACCGGATAGATTTAACAATGACCCACAGAGCGCGAACACGTCGTCAACGGACTGGCAGACAGGTAAGCTATCAGTCCAATCGTCCCAGTAGAATCGGTAGTCGGTTCCATCGATATCTTCTTTATCTAATAGCGCCCAACGAAGGACACGCCGGGGGGCAGCATCTGACAAGCGTACACGTCCCTGTGATACGGCGCCTTGTTCTGAGCCAACAATTTTTCTGCGCTCCTTCAATTCAGTTCGCGACGATAACGGTTGAACCGACGAATAGATGTTATGCAAACAATAGTGGAGGATACGGTGGATATACTCCGGTAATTCAGGGTAGCCGTCAAGAAGCCATGGGAAGCGCCCAAGAATGTATAGAGATTCCGGCAGGGCACCAATGGCAAGTAGGCTTTTGAGCAATAGAACCTTTTGGTCGGCCGGCTCCGGCAATTGTTCTTCTTCCGCTTTTGGAGGAGCCGTTTTGTCTTTATCTGCCTCTTGTTCCTTGGCTGGCGTTGCAGACCTCGTCTCAAGCCCTCGAGTTCTAGGGGGAAGGGGCAAAGTATCATCTGCTAGAGCCCCAGCCATCATCAGTGCATTCATTGTGCCACCTCCACGACGACCGGCCTTTTCTCTTTCTGTCTTTTCTTTCATCTTCTCCTCCTTAAGGGCCTCCATTGCCTCATCCGGTCGCCAAAGATGAGGGTACAGATCACGAAGCGATATAAAGCCGACTTTAATCAAGAGAGCCGCAAGGTATATCAAATTATCCGGTAGAACATCGGTTGCATTTCGGGAGCTGGAGGAATAAAACCGTAATTTGAAACCAAGAAGTTGCGCCGCAACTCTGTTGCCCTTGGGAGGCAACGTGCCTGTCTGTTCAATCCACTTTTTAGTTTCGTCGTTAAGTTCAGGGTCAAGATAAGAGATAGACGTATGCTCGTCGCAATCCGAGGACAAACGACGCCCAATTTCGAAGAATGCTTTGATCCCCACTTGTCTCACTCTATCCCAAAAAGCGCGATCCCTTTGCTGGTTTAAGAGGAGAGTTTCTTTTCGTTCTTCGTCAGATGTCGACCAGCCAGCAGATCCAGGCAGGGCCCACTTTGGTAACCCCGTTTCAGCACCGCCTTGTGCAGCGGTATCCTCTTTCGGCCACCATGAGCTCGCGCGAAGAAACTTGACGCAGAATCTAAATTGTTTGATCAGGACGGCGGCAAACACGTCCAAGGTTACATCGAGTACTCTGCCGACATCCATATCAAAGGCACCGATCATTGCTTTCACTCTTTCAAAAGTCTCTTCAACAACCTCACTGGAAGGAGGTTCGTTGTTGCTAGTTGTAAAAAGCTCAGTCAGGAGTTTAGAATACCCCTCTGATTCTTCCCGAAGCAGGTTATAATTAGATTGTCGATAGAGAATGTTTGTCTGTTTCCGAATGCCCATGCGGCTGAAAGTGTCTCGGATCAAGCCCAAGGCCTGTAGCAGTGGTGTGTCGAGTTGGAGGCGCATAAGAGAGAGGGGAATTCCAGTGGAGAGTACTAGCGGACGTAGGTTGTTGCGTGACGGGTCGGCATCTGTTAGAATTGAAAGGGTATCGAGAAAAATGGAATGGCTGTCAAAGGTGGGATGTGAAACGATGCCGACTTCTTCATTGGAAGCAGGTCTTTCGCCTGTAATTAGCTTCACCACCGTCCCGCACTCCGACGGTGGTACTCGGCCATCAAACGCGGACTGGATAAGCTCTTGAAACAAGGATGCCAAAGCAATCCTATCTTCTTTTGAACAAAGCCCCACGCCAACGTCAACCACTTGTTGTCTTCCTGTGGAAGTCCAATTTTTTACGTGATCATCGGTAACGAAATCATAGGCATAGGAGGATGGTTCAGTTTTCTTCACAATCACAGGCGGCGGGGCTGGCGACTCTGTTGGTCCGCGCGCCGGCAGGCCGTTCCACTGAGCTTGTCGGGGCTCATCTGGGGTGAAGGGCGAGGCCACTTTTAAACTTTCCTTTTGCTGAAAGTTAGGCCCGTCGCTTGCTCTCCGGCTGTTGCGATTTCCCCTGCTGCCTCTTCTTCCTCCTCTGCCGCGATTGTCTCCTCCGTCCCGTGACTGGTTATAGTATTGGCTTTGTTGCTGCTGGGCGAGGTTGAGATTTCCAGGCCGGTGAGGGGAGGGTCGAGAGCCATCATTATTCCAATCGCCCCGCTTGCGTTTGTTGCCGGCGCCAGGCGCCATGGCCGGCTGCGTCGATCAGGATATCGGGTTCGACACGCAAAGTTGCTGGGAGGCAGAGGGTTGGTTCATAGGCAGTGCTGATAGACTGAGGTCAGATACCTTGCAGTGACAAGACAAGGAAGAAAGGAAAGCAATACCATGTGTGCGAGATAAGCGAGAGTCTCCCAGCAGGGCCAGATGAATCGTCGAGGATCCTATTGTCGTGTGTTGTGTTGTGTGACCCGGCTGGAGGGCGTTGAGCGATGGCGCTGATTCTTGCTCCCTTCCTGTTCTGGGATGGTCGCCGCCTTCATTCACACATGCCGCACTAGTCCCGAAACAGCAAGGAGCTTTACGTCACGTGAGCCAACGTTGATTAGTCACTCCTTGGCGCCCAGCTCTGATTAGTAATGTCAAATACGGAGGACTAGCTCGGAGTCCATCCCACCGCCAGCAGCAGACTGCAGTCCACCTCGGCGAACAATCATGAACACCACAATCTGCTTGGAAGCCGAGCCTCAATGCTGGGAACTGATTCAAAGCCCCAATTCCTGATGGCTGTCGGTCCGAGATCTGAAAACATGACGGCGCGACTCACCTCCCCGCAACCCAAGCGCGTCTTGGCCGAGTTAGCAGCCATTCGCATCACTCGGACAAGAGCGTCAGAATTCCAGGTTTCGTATTCCCCAGTGTGCGTTGACAAGAAACTTTAGGCAGCAATGTCCCAGATTCCTGCAGATCTGCCCCAATTGATAAATAAGGGTCTGATGTCCCCTCCCCAGCCTGCCAAACACGAACGCAGAGCCCTCTGAAGCCACATTGTCCATCCTGATAGCCCGAGCTCCTCACCGCAATGACCGCCCCTATCGTCCTTAAAGGCGGCTGCGCCTGCTCCAAGATCCGCTATACCAGCACCGTCCTCCCAGACTGGATCGACCACTGTCTCTGCACCACCTGCCGCAAATGCGCCGGCGCCCCCTTCCAAACCTTTGCCGGCTTCCCCGCCAGCGCCATCACCTGGACCACCGAGCCACCCAAGTATTTCCGGGCAAGCGAATGGGCCAAACGCGGGTTCTGCGACCAGTGCGGCTCCAGCTTGACCTTCGAGGTGGACGTAACTCCGGACAAAATCTCGCTTGCGGCGGGGAGCTTTGACGATTGGGACGTCAAGGGCGGGAAGGACGCATTTGTGAAACCGGAGTCTTATTGTTTTACGAAGGAAACGGCGGCGTGGTTTGAGGTGCCGAATGATGGGCTGGAGAGACATCACGAATTGCCGGCCAAGGTTATGGAGGAGTTCGAGAAGAAACTGAATGAAGCGAAAGGAACAAGCTGATCGGTCATGGATTTACTTTTGGATGCGTGTTGTTAGGGACTTTTGTATATCAAACTTCCTTGAGCGAAGCATGGGATACAGGTTCAGAATGAAAGAACCGACCATCTATTTAACCATACATTCGTAATAAATTCATTATCTGCAACTACCGAGAGCCCACGAATTAGGTCTCCATCACTAGTTATAGATCCATATGAGTGCTTTCATGATCTGCCTTTCAGTGCAAACTACGGCTAGCAATCGAGCCACTCAAAAGGAGAACACCCAGATACTCAACACTTTCTCCCTCAGAATGTGCTCGTGGCCAAACGACTCGCCGCATTCTTGGCATCAACGCGATCCTCATCGTCGTCCATCGTCCCACTGCGCGACCTGGTCATGCCCATCCGCGAACCGCCACCGTTGACATCTTCATCGTCCTCCGGCAAAGGCGCGATAAGGCTCCCGCTAATGCTCCTACTCAGACTATCACCCCGTCGAGGAACACCGCTCCATGCATCCCCTTTCGGCCCCTGGCTCGAAGCCAAGCTTGCCCGGCGAGCGGCAGGGTGCGACTCGCGTCCCAAGCGACTAAGTCCGCCCGAAGAATCAATGGCACGGATATCGGCACGCACGCTTTCGAGCGTACTCAAGGTGCGGCGTTCAAACTCGATCTGGCGAAGGGTATATTCTTTAATGCTGAGCAAAACATCGTTTGCGGTACGGTTGAACCAGCGGCGCTTTTCTTGCAGCAGATTGTTGGTGACTCGCTGAGTCTTTTTCGTCAAGTACTCCTCATGCTGAATTGCTTCGTCAAGAGCAGTGATGGCCTCGTCAACTTTATCTGGTCGAACAGACGAGCTCGACTTTAACCGGTCCGCGGATGCGCGTTTGCTTCTTGCTGTCTGCTGCGCTTGAATCAGCTCGCGCAAAAGGATATGGCGGTTTGTTAACGTCTCTTTGACTATAAATGCATCCGAAGAGTGATAGTTCAAAGGGTCGCCAAGAGTCGTAGCTTCAGCTGTTCCTTGTGCTGCGTGATAGTCGCCAACAGTCTGAATGACCTTGCCGAGCTTTCGATAAGCATTTGCCAATCCAGGATGTGTTTCCTGGACATGCATTTGTCCCAACTTGACGCCCAAATCCGACTCCGCAAGCGCAAGGCCTGTAAGCGCGATTAGTCACAAGCCCTAAGCAAACGTACTCTATGTTCCTACCTCTCCGAGCTTTCACTACACGATCGACCTTTTGGCCCGCTTCCATAGTCCCAAGGTAGAATCGTTTAACAATGGGTCGCGCATCCAAGAGCTCTGGCGTATCATCTGGCGGCGGCGCAAATTGCTTCAAATATTTCCTTCGGACACCGGTTGCCGGCTGCTTCATTCGCACCATCGGACTGTAGCCAAAATCGCTTTCCACGAAAAGGACCATCTCCTCATCATGCATAAGAACGTCATTGCTACAAACGTAGTTGAGCCATCTCTGCATTGAAGCTTTGACGCGTACCTCGTCCTCGTCGGTTCCAGCGCCGGCTGGGGTTAATGGCGGAGGCACAGCAGGAACAATCGCTTCGGGGTTCGAAGATATTAGGTGATCCGCGAGTTTCACGAACTCAGAATGCGTACGGCGTAAATCACGGAACTGTGTGGTCCTGAACTTGGGTATATTGGTCTATATTGATAAGCGCTCAATTAGTAAATCAGGTCTTTGCCATGTTCAGCATCAAAAACAGGTGGCATACGTGGACGTCGAAGCGCAGGATCGGGTCTTTCTTCCCAGCCCTTTCCAGCGCAGTAATCTTTGCTTGCAATTTATAATTAGGAGCATTCTGCCGCGCTTGCTGCCTCGCTCCAGTTTGATATCTCGCAGGAGCTTGAGCCCGAGGAGCATTCGGGTTTTGGGTTTGAGATGTGTGCCGCCAGCCCGCGCGGCTGTCGCCGGGATTGGATTCGTCGATGTGTGCGCTCTGAAGACGTTCGGGCAGTGAATTCTGATCGTTGGCCGTGGAAGGTCGCATGTGCTCAGTTGCATCTGTGTACGGCGAGTCGTGTTGCGGGACCAGAGGAGGCGAGGGCGCGTCCGCCACGGAAGAGGTGGTTCTATCAGCTCGTGGAGAAGACGATCCCCATGGCGATGAGCCGGCAGGATGGTCTGGATCGGTGGATATAGATGAATAGTCCATGTTCAACGGGTTCCGAGAAGATGAGCTGTTGCGATGGCCGAGGGCGAACGAGAGGGCGCAGGTATGGAATTCGCTGTCTAGGCAATCAAGGCAGATCTCGGGTTTGTGCTGGCAACGTAGTTAGTTACCTAGCTAACTAGTGCAGGACGGGAAGAAGAAGCCAAATGCAACCCCAGTCATGGAATTGCAGAAGACAGAACAGCAGCTGGATTGTTGGATTGTTGGATTGTGTGCTGCTCGTTCGTGCTAGAGATCAACGAGTTGCGCATCGAAGAATCAACCGAACATCTTCCTTGTCCAGCAACAAAATTTCTACAGTTCGACCGCGCAAACTCAACCTTTTCGCTGCGCAGAAATTCACACCTTAGTGTTATTCCAGAATTGGCCAGTCGGAATATTGGGGTTTTGAACATGCTATGATCTTCTAAGCCACCGGGATGCTCATCACCTCGCCGTACGCCCTCCGATGGGTGTGCTCGAGATGCCAGCGAGGACTGCGCGGCCAATTCAGGGTTTCATTCGGCCCCGTAAGGCGTCTGCCGCGTGCATATTCGACGTCTCTTGATGCGAATGCAGCTGGGGATTTAAGCCGCACTCGAAACATTGGGATCATTGCCCATATCGATGCGGGCAAAACCACAACCACCGAGCGCATGCTCTATTACAGCGGGTTTACTAGAAGGATTGGAGACGTTGATGACGGATCAACAGTGACCGATTTTCTCCCGGCTGAAAGGGCCAGGGGTATCACTATCCAGTCTGCTGCAATTACTTTCAATTGGCCCCCGGAGAATCAGAGCGCGCTGAGCCTGCAAGATCTAGAGAAAAAAGGGCTTCCAAGGTCTGCCTTGCCGCACACGATCAATCTTATAGATACTCCCGGGCATGCCGATTTTACATTTGAAGTCCTACGGTCTCTACGTATCCTTGACGGGGCCGTCTGCATTCTTGATGGCGTTGCTGGAGTTGAAGCCCAAACGGAACAGGTATGGCATCAAGCATCTACATACAACATACCTCGTATTGCCTATGTGAACAAACTTGATCGCGAAGGAGCCGCATTTGGACGAACCGTGAAAGAGATTGGATCAAGGCTCGGGGGATGGCCGGCTGTCTGTCAAATCCCGTGGTTTCAAGGCGCAGATAGGAAATTCGGAGGCGTTGGTGATATAATCTCACTGCAATGCCTTCATTGGGAGGAACGCGGAGATGGAAAGCAAATTGCAGTGTCAAAACTATATGACCTGGAACAATCAGATCCCCAGTTCGCCCAGGAGATGAAGAATGCTCGAGTTGCTCTCGTTGAGCTTCTAAGCGAGCACGACGACGCAATGGTAGAAAGCTTTCTGGAGCACGACGAAGACCATCTCGCCGTTGAACCGATTGAAATCTGGGAGAGTCTACGGCGCTGCTTGCTCGGTGAGACTAGCAGGATTATTCCCACTTTTGCTGGCGCCAGTTTTAGGAACATCGGCGTGCAGCCACTCCTTGATGCGGTGGTCAACCTGCTTCCAAGTCCAACTGAGCGCCCTGACCCGGAGGTCAGTGTCGGATCAACGAAAATCGGCCTACAGAGCCTACTTGACGGGAAGTTAGTTCTGGAGGGTGCGGCCAAACCCAAGCACAAGCAAAAGAAGAAGCTGGCATCGTCGAGCTCCGACGCCAACGCCGCTATCAAGAAGTTAGAAAGTTGCGCTCTCGCTTTCAAGGTAGTGAACGATGCTAGAAGGGGAGTGTTGGTGTATGTCCGCGTCTACTCCGGCGCCCTCGACCGGAATGCACTGCTATTCAATACCAACCTTGACGTCTCAGAGCGAGCTCCTCGAATTTTTAAAATGTATGGCAATGATGCTATTGAAGTACAATCGATCCCAGCTGGGCATATCGGCGTGATTGCTGGCCTGAAGTTTGCTAGAACCGGGGACACATTGCTCTCATTCTCGGGAAACAAACAAACTGCGCCCGGATCGTTGAGCAACTTGCAGCTTCGCCCTATCGACATACCCCCGCCGGTATTCTTTACTAGTGTTGAGATGCACAGCCTTAGCGAGGAGAAGAACCTTCAAGAGTCCCTTGCATTGTTGCTTCGTGAAGATCCTAGCCTTCACGTTACAGTTGACGAAGACTCGGGCCAGACGTTGCTGAGTGGTATGGGAGAGCTTCACCTTGAGATAGCTAGTGATCGTCTGATCAAAGACTTCAAGGCAAAAGCATCCATGGGAAGGATTGAGATAGGATATCGAGAGTGTATATCAGAGACTTCACCGCCGGTCACACGAATATACGATAAAGAGGTTGCGGGCCGGAAAGGCAAGGCCGGCTGCAGCAGCATCGTACAGCCCTTGTATGAAATTGAGCAACCTGAGGGCCCAGAAGATTCAGATGTCCTTTTCACGGGAGAAAAAGATGGTAATCGCATCTCGATCATAACCCCGGGGCTTATGTCAAGAGGGATGGCCCAATTTGCCAAAGATCTTCTCCCGCCACATCTCTCCTTATCAATAATCCAAAATTCCCTATATAACGGCTGCCTTGCTGCTCTCACGCGAGGGCCGAAACACGCGTTCCCTGTCCACAGTGTGGACGTTACCCTAACCTTCGATGTAACTCAGCATCTCTTCGGCAAAGATACAACGCCGTCTGCCATATCCGCTGCCGCGCGTCTAGCCACACAATCCGCTCTCAAAGAAGTCTCATCGTCATCATCCCTGATGGAGCCTGTCATGAACGTCGCGATCAGCGTCCAAGAATCCAGTCTCGGCGCTGTAGCTCACGATATCTCATCCTCACGCGGCGGCCATATCGTATCACTGAATGATGATGATGAGGCGTCTTCATCCCGAGAAACTCTGTCTGAACTACCGCAAATCGACGTCTCCAAAATCTACGCGCCTCCTGACCCGTTCACTTCCTCCACATCTCTAGACACCGCATTGTCTGGCATGTCAGGAAACCAGTCGCGCACAATTATAGCCAAAGTCCCTTTGAAAGAGATGGTTGGGTATCTGAAACACCTCCGTAGCTTGACGGGCGGAAGAGGCACATTCGTGATGAGTGTTGACCGGTTTGAGAAGATGAGCAGTCAGAGAGAAAAGGCTGCGTTGTCCGAGATGATGGGGTTATGATGTGGATTGGTTGGCGTCTGGTCTGCCATCTTTGAATTCATATATATCGCCTCTAAGGGCAGGACAGATAAGAATTCTCCTTTGCCTATCTCAGGTTTTGATAGCGAGATTCCCTGTCTAAACTCCCGTTATTGCCTTCTCAGCTGTATTATAATAAGTATTGGATCCTACTTCTGGAAAATAGATCTTAATCACATTGCTTTCCGCTCTCTGAAGCTCTCACCATCGGTATATGTAAATTGGCGCACAGCATCTATGAAACAACTGATCCAATGCAACCACATTGAACTAACCCAAAGGCCAATAAATTGTAGTTAGTGATCCAAAATGGAAGCACAAAAAGAAACTATGTACGGGGAGCCTTTCCATGCCACAAAATTCACGCCGTAATACAATTTCTCAAGCCGCATGACGAACCTCAATAAAAACCAGCAAAAGCCGGGATAAGTGGGTATACCCTGCCGGATATCTACTTCTACCAGCTATTATCCCAATCATCTTTACCCTTGCCTGCGGAGCCAGCCCCAGCACTCGCGCCTGAACCGCCGGTCTGAGGGTTCTTTTTCATAGCTGCTGTTCCGATTGCCCCAGATTTTGCGGGAGTCGTAGCGCTTGATCCCCTGCTCCTCTCTTCCCCGAGAGTAGCAAAATCATCCCAAAAATCTTTTCTCTCGGGCTCGAAGTGCCTAGGTGCGGATGCGGACCTGTCGTGGCCATCCGCGCCCTCAACGAAGCGATTGAATGAGGTCGTGGCGTTTCGAGATACCTCCGCTGCAGCTAGACGTGCTTGAGCGGCGAAGTCGGATTCAGAAAGCTATCCGATCAAAACAAAGGGGGATTAGTTTCAGTTTCTGCAGAGAGAACCATGTATTATATATCACATACCGATTTAGCGGCCGGTTGCAAGTAGGTATCGTTCACAGTCTTCGCGCCCTTGCCGATCGTAGTTGTAAACCACCCGAATCCTTTCGTCAATGCCGCAACGGGGTCGGCTTGGAAGTCGTTGATTCCCGGCATCGTGTCATTTAGCTGAGAAGTCTGTCTCGACGCAGGCATCCCGCCTCCAAACCCGGTGAATCTCCCCCCTTGCGATGGAGGCAAGCTTTCGGACCGAGTAGCATTCTCTCCACCTAGCCTAGCAAAATATTCCTCGTTTTGTTGTTTGCTAGGCCTAATATTCCTCACCCCCGCAGGTGATATCCCCCTTGTCTGATCCGCTCTGCTATCCCCCAAGGTAGTAGGGGTGCTGGTCCTCGAAATATTACTATTCTTCTTCTCCTCACCGGGCACATACTCTCTACCTTCCACTTTGGCGGTCAATCTCGCTTTCCACTCCTCGCCAACCTCGCCACTGTATCTCTCATTTATCGTAGCATCATCGAAGGTCGTGCCCTCCGCCATCGTTGTAGAGTGATTGCTGAAAAATGATTTCCAAGGTTCATTCCCTCCATGCTCCATTCGCTGTATTTCGGCCATCTTAAACGCGTCCATAGTTATGCTCCGCACGAAGGATATATGAACACCCAGTCCCCTGTGTATTCCCGCGCAGTTGAGGCAGATGAAAGTGCCGAATTTGGGAGAAGCCTACACCGATTGGCACCTCGTCAGCGACAATATCCTTGTATTCCCCAATGTCATCAAATCGTAGGGCAGAAAGGAATGACACGCGGTCCGAAACGTACCCATTGCGGCGAGGGAGCACCACAGTCGCAACACCGGTCGTTCCCGTTCGTTTTCTGGATGAGAAGTAGCTACACTCCCGAATGATTCCAGAAAGTCAGCATCTTTCTCTTTTTCCGCTCTATAACTTTCAGTTCACTTATCTTTCGACATACTTTACTCCTCGTCTCAGGATCCACCTCCCAGAGCTTCGACATCCTGCTTCAATCTGCTCACGCCAATGGTATTGCAGGATAATTGGAGCGCATCTACTCCGTACTCCGAGAAGAAAGGCAAATGAAAAACGATACCCCAAAGCCAACGTCTAGAGTGGACGAGGATTCTGAAGGCTCCCTTAATCACGGTTGATTGCTGGTAAGTTCGCCCCGCTTAGAACCAAGACGCCAGGTCAAGCGCTTGATAGGATGGGAAGACCCGAAGAGAGTTATGAGATCTCAAGAGAGAATTGATTTGTTCGATAGTCTCTGGGGTTATGTATCCGTTTGGGAAAATCGAATAAAGCAAGTGATCAAGCCTGACCGATGGCGGGAGAAGATGTCTTCTTGAGCCCCAACTCAGCAACGCGATACGTAGTCTTAACTCCAGGCCAATGTGACACTCGACGTTATCAGTCGCTCAAAACTTCAATGGCACTCCCTTTTTATCTACATTCTGGTGGCTATCACAATTGAAGCGTTACTGTGTAGCGTCACTCTAAACCATGGACTACTTGATTCATCAGGATTTTTTGTCCGAAGACATAGCCATTTAGAATTAACAAAGGAGCTAGCTGAGCACCATTTGGTCAACATCTAGCTAATGCGTGGTTCATAAAGGGTTGGTAGACACCATAAAATACCCAGAGTAATAAGCATGCCAGCCATTTCAGGTAATACATATTCACTCTTAACCGTCTTGACCGACTCTGGACACAACCCACATGGTCGAGTAACCGCTTGTCGAAATTCTTGTTATTCAACTGGCTTGCCGATTAATGTTTCCACTAAGCGGCGATTGGAGCGGGCTCTTCAGCAGCTGGTTCGTTGTTTTCGGCGGCTTCAAGAGGCTCATCTTCCTTGCCAGGACTATCAATTGCAACTTTGACGGCAATTTCACGCCCGTTGATATCCTTGCCATGCATTTCTTGGACGGCCTTCTGCTGAAGCTCCTCAGAGCCCAAAGTGACGAAACCGAAGCCACGGCCCTTGCGAGCTTCACCACGCGCCTGAAGCTTTTTGACCATGAATCGTGGAATGGGGCGAAGTGCGATTTTGGCAGAAACCGGCTCGTAGGCCGCGAAAAGCTCTTTCAACTAGTGTTGCGATGTGTTAGAATGATCCGAAATCAATGCGAACCCTGTTTTTCTTACCTTGTCCTCGCTAAGATCGTAGGGCAAGTTTGCCACCATGACCTTAGTTTTAGAGGGAATACCATCTTCAGGTGGGCCGCGTTGCTTGCGGGGACGACCTTGGGGCTTGGTGGTGGTAGCCTCTTCTTTGCCGGCTTCAACGGTTTCAACTTCAGCTTCGGCGGTGTTGGTAACTTCAGCTAGAGGAGCTTCATCGGTGGTTTCAGCTCCAGCTCCGTTTTGCTTTTTTGCCAATGCTTGTTAGCAGGTCGGATATTTTTTCAAATTGGATAGAACTCGAGGGAGCTTACAGCGCGACCGCCTCGACCGAACCGGCCACCACGACCACGGCCACGGCCACGGCCTCGTCCCCCACCTCTCTTTCGCTGGCCTCCGGTAGTGCCTTCGGCATCACCTTCGACCTTCACCTCGGCGGGCTCCGGCTTGCGAGCAATCTGCACAGAGACTCTGCGCTCAAGGATGTCCTTGCCTGTCAGTGCGGCGATAGCAGCTTGAGCCTCCTGCGCGGTGGCAAGGTCGACAAAGGCATAACCGACAGGACGGTCAGTTCGCGGGTTCACGGGGATGGAAACACTCTCACTAATAACACGGGAGAATAACGGGGTTAGCATGTTCCACAGACAAAGAGACAAGATGCAGATAAAGCGGAGACATGTTCCGGAATCATGTTCCGGAAAACCAAATCAAAAGCTTCTATGTAGTATAGATCACAAAGACCAGGAGTATTAGATCAGGAAGCTTACACATTAAACCCTTTGAAGAACTCCTTGAGCTCCCCCTCGGTGGTCGCGTACGCGAGGTTCCCAATGTACAAGCGGCGACCCTCATCGGCACTTGCTGGGGCACCGTTTTGGGCATCGGAAGTACCGTTGGTTGGTTCATTCAGGCTAGCATTGGCCAGCGCATCGGCAACTTCATTGACAGCGGTAGACATTTTGAAAAGGCTGAGTTTTTCTTTATCGGACACGGGAAAGAAGAAGTTTGAAAGATGACTTGACCGGTGTGTTGATAACTTAACAAGACTCAGCAAAGCTGAGCTGCCTCTGGGACTTGAGGAGGGGGGATAAAAGGGTCGCTTCGTGCCCTAGATACTAAAGAGGGGGGGGGGAACTTGGATTGAGACGGAGGTTGTCTTGATCAATATCGAAACTTGCTGGTGATGAAGAGAGGAAGAGAAGGGAAGAGGAAGGGAAAAAGACAGAAAGGGGGCAATTCTCTTACCTAAGGAAGGCGGCGATGCCCGATCAGGCCTAGCGGTGTTTGGGTGTGTGGGTGAAGCTTGCTGGCCGTGCCGCTAGGCACCGAAAGGGTTTAGCGGCGGCGCTAGGCTTGTTGTGACCTCCAGTTCCACAGCAACGTCTTGTCATCCAACTTCACTCCTGTTGATATTGAAGAACAGAACACTCACTGTCGTGCGTCACTTCATCTTGTGATTGAACGGTGTGCTAACTGGTACTTGGCTGGACTGTTCCATGGCAGCATTCAATGGACGCTGCAGGCTGCCACTTGAGCAGCGCCTGGGGTATACAAGCCGTGGCTCCCCACTCCCAATCCATGGGTATACAGTTGACGGTAAACCTACCCGGCGACGGCGGAGGCAGAAACGAAAGGCTACAGGATATATATGGCCTTCCAAGCTTCAGCCCTACGACACAGACACTGATCCAGCCCCGCCAAAGCATTAGTGCTACTCCAGGAATTTTCCACGCAGTTAATATATGGTGCCTAAATGCTGATATGAATGGATATGTTAGCTGACTTGGTCCCAGTTTGTTGAGGCGTCTGCTATCATATATGCAAGCTCAAGACTGCAAACACAGGTTATCGAGGACAGAATACATTTGCCATCAGAAGTACTCTAATACCTACTGCATCTATATGTCTCTTGTTGGAGCTTAGTTTTTGTTTCAACAATTATAGCGTCTTCGATTTTCTCATTACTTTATCGAAGTAATAATTTTCTGCCTATATTGGGGGTCATTTTTTATGTCCCTCGTATCATATTCAACATACAGTTTAGGACACTCCTCTGAGCGAGCTAGGCCTTTTTGTTATGATATTCATAAAAGGTTTAGCCTCCTTAAGATTTATATGATTTACAACCATGGAATATAACTCCTTGATCAGGCCAGTGTCCATGGGAAGACACCCAACCTTCCATACTTGGGTTATTCATTCTGGCCTCCTCAGCATTGATTATGACTCAATATTGTAGGCAACATTGTGTTAATGTGTGTTCAACCTTTTCTACCATGTCATTGTGTGGCCCTGTTGCTAATTGCAAGAGACACATCTTCTACAATATGAATCATTTCTTTGTTAAATACCCAGAACTCTCCCCTCACCTATTGAAATCCCATTCAAAGTCCCTGAATACGCATGCACCCGTCTTAGAGCACCATTGCAGATAGCAGAGCCTTTTATCATCATTTATTTTCTCCTTCACAGAATCTACGTTATTTGATCCTACTTTCTATTCCTCCTTCTACTAGAACGCTTATACGCCGTCTGATACATACACACCTTCCAGCCGATCATCATGGCAAAACTCTGTCCTGTTATAAATCTAGAAGATTCCGATGATGAGATTCTATTCCTTTCCTCCGCTCCTTGCAGTGGTGTGATTCCTCCAGAAATCGAAGCAGCTGTGCTCGAATTCGATCCTTCCGCAGCTCTTGCATTCGAAGCGCAACGTAAGTATACATTTCAATACTCTCCACTCATCCTTTCCTATTGAACTCCAAACAAACCGTTTAAAAGCACAGAGGCTGAGATTTTTTTTCTAAAATAGTCCAGGCAGCAAATGGATTTGCTATCGTCGATGGACCTGGTTCGAAGGATGAACAGGGGCCCAATCACCAAGATGGGATCAAAATGCAGGGAGCAGAGACTCCTGCTTGTACGGGCAATCAACCGAATATTCCTAATCAGGCACGGCCAAACGCAGAGATCTATCCTTTCGGCGATAAATTTTTCGCAGACCTCGCCGAAAGCATAACACAGAATTTTCCATATGAGCAATTTGCTGAAGAGCACGGTTGCACCGCCGGCGATGTGTACGATGCGTTGCTTGCTACCGTTCCTTCGAGGGGCTGGGGCTTACACTATCGCGCGATGACCGAAGTAAATGGAACATTATTGATTGAAGATCCGAAGAAACGTTCATGCGAAGTTAAGAACGACGTTGGAACCCAAAAAGAGGCCGAATATGCAGCTGCACAAGACGAGGATCAGAACGAACATTTAAACGAGCATGTTGGCCCATTGACCAGCCTGCTTGATACGATTCCGTTGCAGCTCGAGGAAGTTGACACACCTAGCAGCGACTCTACCAACTTGGATGAGCAGATGGTGGAAGGAGTTGTTGAGAAGGTTGCACCGATTCAAGAGTTCACCAAAGATGAAGCACCCAAAACCGCTCCAGCAAAACCTTGCGCCCCAATTACGCCACCACACTCCAAAGATCGCAAACGGGTGCGCGAAGAAGACTCTGTCGATTTGTCATTTCTTAAAGGCAATAAGTATATAACCTCATCAGCGCCGCATCCTTTCGAATCTCCATCTCCTCCGAAGAAACCTAGAACATTCTACCCAGAACCCAAGCCCTTCGTTAATAATGCAAGGAAACTCGGGCCTTTTGATCCTTTCGAATTTGATGACCTGGAGATGCTCGACCCCATTGAACAATGGAAAAGAATTTTCCCACGGAAAGAAGGCCGTCGCCGAGTGTATCGCGATTTTGCCGGAAGTTATATTGACGTGGTCCCGTCGAGCGAGCCTGCTATCACTGGTTACTGCGGACATTTTGGGGACATGCTCGAATCAGGCGAAATCAAAATCGTTCCGGGCCCCAATGGTCGAAGAAAGTTTGTACTGGCCAAAGACATGCCACAGTACCAGAGCACCACTGATATGGATGTCGAATATGAAGAAGAAACCGACATGGATAGCGAGGAGAGCGGAGACGATGAAGTCATGGTTGATCACTTTGTTGATGCTGGGCAGGATAGCGATGAAGATGCCTCGGTGCCAGATGAATTTTCCTACTTTTCTCCATCTCCTTAGCCCTCCCCTGGTTCCGGCATGGAAGGCCTAAATATCTCTCCTATTTGGTGCGTGTTTGGACAAGGTTTTGTGATATCTTATGGGCAGTAGCTTATCTATATTTTATTATGAATAACCCAGCCGGCTGGGCAGATATTGCTTGTGAAATGTGTATCTAGGTTTGACTCATCTAACAGAGACAATACGGCTACTAGTTACCCCAGGTTCCCGATCACTGATGGGACTTTTTTAACGGCTGGCATAGCTGGGTTGGCCCGACCCTATATGTCACTCACTTCCCACGGACTCACGGAGTACCGAGTAGTTAGCAATGACTTCAGATTAGAGCCCATATTCCACCACTCTATCTCCATCTTGCTGTCCTCATGTCTTTCTCCACCGGATCAGTCGATCACCCCCACTGCGTCAACCTAACGCCGTGTCTACTTAATTCTTGAAGCATAGCCAAGTCCACTCCAGATGGAGGGCGCTTGCCTCTAGTCCGATTGTTTTCTCCCTTGTTTTGTTTTCTCGCTTTCCTCCTCCTCTCATACTCTTTCCTCTGCTCCATGAACATCAGGGGCGAGTAAATGGCCATTTCTTTGGCGATCTTATCCGTGTGAAAGATTATGAGGATCCTACTCTCATTGCCCGATGGATACAGCAACTCACATCTGCACTTGAATATGTGGAGAAAATGGGGTTTTGTCACAATGATCTCAATACAACAAATTGTCTTCTTGATGGAAACTTCAATTTGAAGCTGACTGATTTCGGCCGGGCCACCACTGTTGGGCAGTTTTTGGAGTATACCAGTGCTCCATGGGCTATGCGGTTAAAAGCTGGGCCATTGAAGGGCACTTATGGTCTCTGCTCTGCTAGAACTGAGCAATTTGCTGTTGGGTCAATTCTCTACTTTATGGTGTATGGTCACAAGCCCTATGAAGACACTAATCAGAGTGGACTGGAATTGGAACGCCGATTTGAGGAAATGAAATTCCCAGACTTAGGCCGTCATGAAATCTTTGATGGTCTCATTTTGGCTTGTTGGCATAATGTCTACCCTACGATGGCTCTGGTGGCATATGATTTCAAGCGCAAAACAAGAGACGTTGCATCAATTCCAGAAGAATACGAGATCATTGACCGCTCAAAAGAGAGAAAGACTTGTGAAGCATTGATCCAAAAAGGAATATTGGGTCCTGAATGGGCACTCTGCTTTCAACCACTCTGGCGAAAGTATCTACATGCTGCGAAAAGCATGTTCATTTGGCACTTCCTAATTAGCCTACCGAGAAGAATCCGTTTCTGGCTCTGGCTTTGATCGATAATCCACCAGAATCGAACTCTGAACGCTTAGGGCATCATTCGACGGAAGATTGCTCGTACCTTTCCAGTTGCTCCGAGGCGTTGCAATGAGGGAACAGATGTTCGTATTGTGAGACTCGTTACCGCGAGGCCAAACAAAAAAGGCAGACGCCAGGAGCCTGAATAGCCGACGGTGCGGTATTCGTCTAGATTGTCCTGCTCCAAAATAGGCTGTTGATACTCCCGAGCCCGACGAAAGGGGGGGGGGGGGGGTTTGCAGTATTGAGACCTTTTGGGGCTCTGACTGTTCATCAACCCACTCGCATATTGGAATAAAATCTACATCACGGCGTGGGTTCACCCATTTCAGAACATATCAAGGGCATAGTAGTTGGAATGGTACACTCAAGGCCGCCCGGCCGCCGGTATATTAAGGGCTGGGAGCATCTTTTATGGCGACGGTAAGAGACCTTCCCGAAAGCCAGATTTCCACGTCCAATTGTAAAACTCGGCCTGGGTTATTTCACATTCGCGAAATTGATGTCCACGCAACGTAACGACCACTATGCGTATAACCAGGAAGATATCAAAAAGGACTTAGCCCAAAAACTCCTCTGCTTCCATTTCTTTCCATGGGGTATAAGCATCATGCTTTACAACCAAGTAATCAGAAGCAAGTCCACTCCTATGGGAACTCCCTAACCGCCTAATCTCCTTGAGACGCAAAGTAAAACAGGGAAATTTTTTTTTTAGACAATCAAGAAAAGGATACAAATCAAAAAGCACATTTCAAAAAGAGCAAAAGGGCATCGCAGACAGAATAAAACTCATGATATACAACGCAAATCCAAACGTAAGGAAAAAGGGAACTCATTGCTAAAAGGAACATGCTGCGAGGGCTCGGGAAGGAAGAAAGGCTCAAAAACCGCAATAATATTGTTGTAGCTCAGAGGGACAAAATCTTTGGGTACTTTTAGGCTCATCGGTTGTATGAACCCATTCCATAGTCGGCAGATGGCTGTGATGTATGAGAGTACGGGCCCCCGTAGCTCGTATCGTAATCATGCATCAAGCCACCCGGCGCCACAGGTGCTGGAGAAAGTCGAGGTCCAGGAGCTATGGGTGCTGTTGGATCATAAGTAGATGGAGGCGGGCGGGTACCATGGGGACCAATGTCATCAACTTCGTTTTGTTGGAGAAGCGCGTAGTCGTCACCGTCATCGTGACGATCTGAGCGTGACCCTCCTGGACGACCCGTTCTGAATTCAGCATCTGGATCTTCTTCGTCGAGCTCATGAGGGTTCGACGAGAAAGCGGCTTTGGATTGAGCAGCAAATGTCGGGTCGGATCCGTCGTAGGGCATCATGCCGGTGCGGCGATAATCCATGACGTCTCGTATGGACATAAACGCGGTAATACAGAAAAGTAGGCTGCCACAAATGTTAGCAGAGCTGCCAGAGGCTAGAATCTGTTGCCGAGAGTTCCTCACAAAACAAATGCACCTAGGACAGCCGTTCCAGTACTTAATGTACACTTGGCTGGACTCCCGTACGCAAATGCATCACATCCCGTTCTGCCTTTCTTCTTGTTGTCTTCGTCGTCTTCCCCCTTAGCCTTCCCAGTTCCGACATAGGTAGCTATCGCAATCCAAGCTGTAAACCAGAGAAAAGCGTAGAAGCCGTCGACGGAAGCGAAGGCGTACGGGTTGCCAAACCGCCGTGCCCGCGGCCATATGGGAACAGCCGTCAAATATATCAGACCGGGAATCGAAAACCAACACTAATCAGCAACACAAGTATTAGCAGAAGGATCGAGAGTACGGTAGCTGGGTCAAGGACAATTAGATCAGCATACCAAAGCAAAGTACCACGCCGTCCGACCGTCAGTCTTCCCGTTTCTCGTGAATACAGCAATGGTCATCGCCCATGCTAGAAAGATGATGAACGCCTGGAAGGCATGGATGATGTTTTTTGTTCGGGCGCTGTTGATATGAGGCAGTTTCATTCTTTTCGGCGTCGTCGGGTTCCAACCCGATCGGACCTTTTCCCAGCTTCTGTCCGCCTATGGACTGTCTTTGGCACTCCGAACCGTTTTCGCCGAAGCCGCCAGACAAATATCGACTCTAAGCAATTCTCCCGCAGATGTATGCTCGCGTGAATCTTGCAGCCTTGTGGGTTTCGAAGCAGAAGGACGAAGTAGGTGTAAAAGAGGGTGTACGAAAATGAAGTGAGCAACGATAGTTAAAAAAAGCAAACGGAGAAAGAATGAATTAATTTCAAGCTGATCTATTTGAAGTTGCCATCAAGCTGGAGTGTCGAGAAGCCGTACTTTGCAGCAAGGGTGGGTTTGTTTACAGCAACCTAGTAACGAGTTACGCACGCCGCAAGGTTCACGGCAAATGTGGCGCCGCTTTTGCGGGCATCTTTTCCTCACAAAACTCCAGAGCTGAAGACACTTGCACACCACAAGGCCTGCACAGCCTCTCCATGGACTCTGTTGGAGCGAAACTGGTGGCTCAGAGGGCCACGATGAGCCCTCCAACAAACCCTGCCCAACCCACCAGCCTGGCACCAGGGCGCTTCTTGATCCCAGATTCGGGCCGTCTGCATGAATACCTCCCCGGTGCACCCATCAGAAATCGGATGCTCGCGTGGCTGTGCTCTCCTCTGTGCTGTCGCGTCAAGAAACGCGATGACTCGCCTCTTCACTCTGCTCCAAACGACGCGCTAAGCGAAGCCGCGAGTAGGTCCCAAGATAGCACCTGTTGCCAACATCTAGTCCGTCTGAAATCGCCTATGGAGTAACTAGCCTCAGACGTCTCGTACCATAACCAACGCGACAGCACCGACCCCAACACCAACGCCAGGTGAGAAAAAGTGCCCACAGCGTGTATTTCAGCGTTTACAGTTGAACCCCCGCCAGCTTCATTAACGACGAGGGTCGTGTGTTGGGGAAGAATTCCTTAGCTATGCCAGATGGAGAGCCAGTGGACACCATAGAATGCCCACCGCGAGGGAAATGTCGAGTTAATACTAACCACTACATCAACGCTACCTTGGGTGCGGTGGCGCGGTAAGAGGCCAACTGGGATTTAAAAGGACTCTGATACCGACTAGAATGGTTTGTGCAACTGCGGGGGAAATGATGTAAATGATTGGCATTGACTAAAGCGCTGGCTAATTGTCAAGTTTTACCAGGTAGACGACAAAGAGCAGCTCATCGGTGATGCAGGCGGCCCGACTGGAGATATAGAGTCAGCAATTCAACCTCATTTCCTGTGACAAGGGGACGTTCATCTGGGCTAGGTGCACATGCCTCGTCTCAGTCCAATAGGTCGAGGAAATACCACAATTTGTCGCCTGCACGCGAATACACAATGGGAACCGGAAAACAAGGGAAGGAGATTAATTCCATAAAGATATCGTCAAATCTCTACGGAGGATGCATCCCAAAATCCCAGCGAGGCAATTGAATATATTGCTTCGTACTTAAAACGCAAGCACTGAGGTTGCATACCCTAGGCTTGTCGACCAAAATCCAGGGTATGAATCCAGGTTCAACGACCTAAGGCCCAACAGTGCACAGAGGAAACACCCTCTAGGGACACGGTCAAGCTAACCAGGTAAGGCCGCACGGAACATTAGCCAGGCCTATTTCGTAGCAAGCCAAAGCCACTTCAACATCCCCTCACTCCTCTTCTCAAGTTGTTGTTTGGCGATTGACTGGTTGCGTCTCTTGAATTCCAGCATGGCTACATACGGCCTGTTTGCTTTTCCTTGCCGCTTCATTGTTCATTCTGAAGCGTCGGTATTTAACCTCAAATCACGGATATACCAGGCCCTTTCCTCGATTCTGTTTCCGGATTGGGGCTGGCATATCACGGTATTAAAGGTCGTATTGAGGAAGCTGTGCTTTTTCGCATTCTGTTATCTGTTCGGCTGTATAGGCTCTGTTTTTATCCTCTTGAATACCAGGATTTACCTAATATCCCTTTTTCAAAATGGCGAAGTGCCCGAGACTCCCGTTCGCGCGTTGTCCGGATGTCCCAAGCGTCAGCACAGTTCGAGGATAATTCGCTCTCCGGCTGTTTCGGGATTTTGTTCTGGTGGCCACGGTGCTGCTATTCTAGATTGAGGGTAAATGGCATCCGTCCTAATTGTTCTGGAGGTAGGTTCGAAGATTTTGCAGTCAAGGGAGCGATATCGTTCTAAGCAAAAACGGGTACGGAGTAGTTTCATTTCTTTTCTAAAAATGAATCATTTTCCCGAGACTGGAAAAGCAGCCAGCTAGAGTGGTAATGATGCTTGCAATCAAGAACCTTTTCGCTTGCAACCTATCCGTGGATAGATGTACCAAGGGGAAAGCCAACTGCACAGAAACCAACCAAGGGCAAAGGACAATGTCAACCGCGAAAGGGAATTTAACGCATCAAAGGCCAGATGTCGGATAAAGCCTGACATGGTTGCAGAACCGGCTCGAGACAAGCCAAGTTGACATGTATAGCAGGAAGAGATCTGGGCCTTTTAAACCCAGCGATTGATACGAGGATCCAGTCCATGCAAGATCGTTGATATCGACCCTCTGCACAGGAGCTGTAGATGGCCACTCCCGACACCTGGATCATAACCCGCGAATAAAGCAACCAGGACGAGTTTCTTCATCCCGTCAAAAGGGAGTTTCTTCAACATCCTGGGCGCTCAGGCTCATGGTCCCTGTCCCTGTCGTGGAGCTTGGGCCAGCGAGTTCGGAGCTCCGGCAGGGATCGGTGCTGGGATCTCAATGTGGACGGACGACACCCCACCAAGGCAATTGAGCGTCCCCGTTGGATGCACGCTGATCACAATCCAGCGAGTTTCGCGATACTTTTGTGAGACGTGTGGCCGTCGAGTTGCGATGTGGCTGGCGTTGGACGTGCCAGGCCGATCTCGGGTGCCGTGGTGACAGTACCGTACACGCCCGCTGCGCCGAAAATGACTCACATTCCCTGTACTTACAGGGGCCATACCGCTGACTCATGCCAATCCCCGCCCTCTGATTGGCCAATCTGCATCTCGACCAGACAAAAAAATCCTTTTCTGTGACGCCCAATTCATCTTCCTCTTCCTCTTCTTCTTCTTTCACCGTCTCTCTTCCATCCTTTTGGTCTCCATTCAAAACACGCCCAAGGCCTCTCTTCCCGCCAGCCAGCCCCCAATTCCACTTCTATCCCATCACATAGTTGTTAATTCAGTGCTGTCAAGCACTGTTGGTGCTTATGCGCGTGATACCTTCTGAATTCACTTCCCAGGTAAGATTCTCAATCTCTTTGTCTCCAGCGGCTCATTACCCCTCGACGTTTGCTCTCAACCGAAGCTTGATCACTGACCTTGGTTTCTCTATGCAGGACTATATCTCGGGTATGCCTCGACCTCCTGATTCTACTCTTGCTCTGCTATCGAGAGCACGGACTAACTCCCATCACCAGATCACCTCTGGAAAGCCTCAGTAAACTGAGTCATTTTCAATCGAGCCACTGCATTACCAATTCACTTAGATCTTCCAACACAAACATGTTTTTTCAAGTCTTGAAAACCTTTCCCTCCCGGGTCGGGGCTACGAGTATGAAAGCCTCGGCCCAGGCTCGATTTATGGCATCAGTTGCCAACGGCACCCCCAAGCTGAACAGTGCACTTCGTGCCCCTGAGCGTGCCACTTTTACGATCCGAGATGGTCCTGTGTTCCATGGGAAGTCCTTTGGAGCACAAAAGAATATCTCTGGTGAAGCCGTTTTCACCACCTCCCTTGTCGGATACCCAGAATCTTTGAGTGACCCGTCTTACCGTGGTCAAATCCTTGTCTTCACGCAGCCCCTGATTGGGAACTATGGGGTTCCATCTGCGGAGAAGGATGAGCATGGCTTGCTAAAATACTTTGAATCTCCTAGCCTTCAAGCAGTTGGTGTAGTCGTCGCAGACGTTGCTGAGAAATACAGTCACTGGACTGCTGTGGAGAGCTTGGGTGAATGGTGTATCAGAGAGGGCGTTCCAGCGATCTCCGGCGTTGATACCCGCGCAATTGTTACCTATCTGCGAGAACAGGGTTCTTCCCTAGCGAGAATCACGGTTGGCGAGGAGTATGACGCCGATCAGGACGAGGCGTTTGTTGATCCGGAGCAGATTAACTTGGTGGCTAAAGTTAGCACCAAAGCTCCTTTCCATATTAGCGCTGGAAGCAGCAATGCCCATGTCGCCGTAATCGACTGCGGAGTCAAAGAGAATATCCTTCGAAGCCTCGTCGGCAGAGGCGCCAGTGTTACCGTTTTCCCATTCGATTTCCCCATTCAGAAGGTTGCCCATCACTTTGACGGTGTCTTCATCTCCAACGGTCCTGGTGACCCGACCCACTGCCAAAAGACTGTCTACAACCTCCGGAAATTGATAGAGACTTCTCAGCTGCCAATCATGGGCATTTGCCTGGGCCATCAGCTTCTCGCTCTTTCGGCTGGTGCTCGGACCATCAAGTTGAAGTACGGAAATCGCGCGCACAATATTCCAGCATTGGATTTGACGACTGGCCGCTGCCACATCACCAGCCAAAATCATGGTTACGCTGTTGATGCGTCCACCCTTCCTAGTGACTGGAAGCCATATTTCGTCAACCTCAACGATTCTAGCAATGAAGGTATGTCCAGTTTGTTGTCAGCTCCCGATTTAATCCTTCTGACAGTGACATAGGAATGATCCACAAGAGCCGCCCCATCTTCAGCACTCAGTTCCATCCTGAGGCGAAAGGAGGCCCTCTCGATTCTTCCTACCTCTTCGATATTTATCTTGACAGTGTTCAAAAGTACAAACAAAGCCAGGCCGCCTTCCAACCTGAACGGGATAGCCGCCCAAGCCCACTTCTTGCCGATCTCCTCGGCAATGAACGTGTAGGCGTTCAAACCACCATTGGAATTGAAGCTAGTGAACCTGTCGTCCCAGTTATGGAGACAACATCCGCATCTCCAAAAATTGCGGCTGCAGCGTAATGGGTACCTTCTACGTTTGATGTCTTTCATTTTCTTTTTTTCCGCGGTTCGGCTAGTATTTGGAGTTATCTGTGTTCCCGTAGCCTTTTCTCAATAGTTTTGCTCAGTATCAAGTTAGTCAAACAATTGCAATATACCTTCTACGTCCGTGGTTCCATTGCGCCTTTTTCTCTCTTCCAAGTCAGTGTTGCGCTTACATAAGCCATGCGTCACTTTCGCTTCACTAGCCCTTAGCGCGGCGTTAGTCAGCACCGCACAACGCTCAGGCTACAAAGCGCCTCGACTTGCTTTCAACTTCTTCTCTCTTGCAACCATCCCCTCATCGACGAAGTGTGAGTCAACCACCCCATTTCTGCCTTTCTTTCTTGAGTAGATGTGCTGATCATTGCATAGTCTCCGACACTATCGAAGATGAGAGCTAAGTGGAGAAAGAAGCGCGTTCGACGTTTGAAGCGTAAGAGAAGAAAGGTCCGAGCTAGAAGGTCAGCTTACTCGCTTACCCTTGTGCAATTGAATCGTATACTGACTGCCATTCCAGCAAGTAAACATCTTCACAGCTCTGTCTTAGTCGTTCCGTGATTGAAGACCTCGAACGCTGAAAGAACGCTGCCCTGTTTTCCAATGGCCGTCGGGTCACGCGATACATTGGTGATCGTCTTTTAGCACTTGATCTCCCGATCCACCCTCTTTGCATTCTATAATCCAAAACGAACAAAAAATACTCAGCGGTTTGAGTTGCGAGCATACTCTCGAAATTCCTTATTTTCCGGTCCGGCTCGACGGCGTACAATTATTTTAGCAGCTCTAGCCATGAGTTTCTTACGCGCTACGAAAACGACCGGGCATATGTGATGACAGTATTGCGTATGTATTAGTCGAGGGCTTTGTTTGAGGGGCAGGAAGGAGTTTTTGTTGAGGCTTCTCGTGGAGACTAGTCAACACCAAAACGGCGAAATATCCGAATCATGGAGCTGGATTTGAAGAGTTTACTAAAACGGTCTGCTGGTTTCTGGTGTTTTTCTGTATGATAGCTTGTTCTCTTTCGCATCAGCTTGCCGATAGAGCAGATCCCAGAATATAAGTGGACAGACTTCAAAAGCAACTCTTTTACTTCTATGCCATTTGACCTGATCATCTTTGAATGATAGCTTGTACTGCCAGTAATTCAGCGCATATATAATGTGTTTGCCGGCCATCCACGTTTTCTCCCATTGAAAATTTGTTATTACTGCAGCTTCCTAGCGTTGCGGCGGAGTGTTGCGAGGTCACTCGACTCTTTCGGGAAATTTTTTCTTCCGCAAAACTTCTAAGGTTTCCAACGCGCAGCATCGCGAACAGCTCAATTGAATCTCAGCTCCAGACAATTAGTTATAGCAATCATACCATTTCAAGATCTTCAGCAATGGGCTCCGAATCCCCCGAAAAGAAACGAAAGCGTGTCTCGGAAAAGCACGACCGGCCCAGCAAGAAAACAGCCGTCGAGTCTGTGCTGCCACCTCTCAAGGTCAAATTCATCGACAACAGCGACGGCCCTGCTCCCGTAATTGGTGCGTTCAAATGTCAAATCCCTACAGCTGGTGACACTCTAGAAGAAAAGCAGATTGCTGACCGTATTCCCATTCTAGCGTCCACTCCCGGAATCCGTCTCCCCGACTCCATCTCTCTCAGCGCATACACCAAACCCCGTGCAAAACGCTCATCCAAGACAGCTGCCACCAATTCCGGCATCGTCTCGTCTGAGCTCCTTCTACACTCATCTGCACACCCAAAATTCGACTTCACGGCGAGAGAAGGCGTTGAGCAATTGGATTCTTTGTGGAATCATTATGTGGCGATCTATGATCCAAAAAAGAACTCCTTGCAGCTGGCTGAAGCTAGGAAGGTGACTGTGAGGAGCTGTATACGGCAGGCCAGTCCTGATACAGAATACGAATCTGAAGAAGAAGAAGTTGTGAGTTTCGTCTACTCCCATCTCGTGTCTCCTAATATTTTCCATTCTCCCATGCCAGACTATCAAACTAATGCCCTATCGACGTTCCAGCAAACCGCATTCTCCAAGAAGTCCGCCCTGGCCGAAGCCTTTGGAACCAAACAGGCCCGCAAGGCCGTGCAATCCATCGCCGAAAATGCACTCCTCTCAAACGCACCGGGCGGGGCCCCGACCGCCGCAGAATCCGCCTTACTCTCATCCATGCCCAAGGACGCCATCTCCGCCTCCTCTGCCGAAAAGACCGCTCAGCAGGAAATCCAAGCGGCCAAACCATTGCCTCAACCAAATCTCTCCGCCAGCCATCCGTCCGACGTGTACTCCATCGACTCCCTGATCCCCGGCGGCCTCTCAACCCTCCACTCAATGCCCGTTCGCGACTGGCAAACCGCCCTCGCAAACTCGGAAGAAATCCTCACAAGATCCCGCTTCGTCGCCCACCGCATCGAAGCAGTCGGCAAAACCGGCGACAAATCCCAGCTCCAGCTCCTCCGCTTCATTCTGCTCCTCATCGAGTTCGCAGGCAGTCTGAAACCCACCCGTGGCGCCGACAAGGCAGGCGTGGGCAGCAAGAAGATCCCTCCGCGCGAAGATCTACGCCGCAAGCTTGCCGAAGCGACGACTTCCAAGGACTCCTCCGCGGGGGGCCCGCAGTTTGTCACGGATTCATTTATCGATTCATTGCGCCGCAAATTCGTGCCGCAGGGGGCGATTCTGTCCCGGAATGATCTTACGCTGTTGCATACCACAATCTGTGCACTGACGCTGCATGTCCCGCCGGCGTCGGGCTCGCCGAATGCGTCGAACGAGTTGGCGACGGATCCCGCGGATATTCGTGACGATCTGGGCCTGGACAACAAGACGGCGCTGCAGTATTTCAGGGAGTTGGGCTGTCGGGTTGATAAGCCGAGGGAGAGTGAGTTTGCGAAATGGGGGATTAAGAGGGGCAAGACAGAGGCGGCGATGAAGAGGATTGCGAGATTGAGGATTCCGGTGGAGTTCCCGAAGGTGAGTCGGGGTGGGAGAAGATAGGATGGTGTTGGGAGTCTCTTGATAATTCCGGAGTTTTGCCCAGTGGGCGGATGAAACAGCGAGCTGGCATACCTGGACAACATATTCCGATCCTGTATGATGGCCTCTGATAAATTATAGTCTGTTATTCCAAACTGTACTCCAACAGTGATATTTTGTTTGTTGATAACTACCACTGGAACCGCGTCACACACCTACATACACCCACATCATATTGACTATGGAAGAACGAGATCAATCCCAATAATATTCCAGCCTGTCATCTTCACCATGGTTCCCAGTTTTGACTCCCCAGATTGCGGATACTTTGTATAGTTCAACCAGTGTTGATATAGTAGGGGACAGGCCTAGCTACTCCGTAATACTGCTAATAATAGCCCTTTGCTAGACGAAATAGCATTCATGCTTATATATTATAGATAACTAGCGGTTATCCGATATTCAAATGTTATATATGTCCAAAACCTCATACCAAAGATTTCGACGCATCAAAATCGACCAAAAAGAAGGTGGTATACCTTAGCAGGGGTAACAATGGGCACATATAAAGAGAGACGGGCGTGTATATAAGCCAAGATATGTAAGATTCCAACATGTCACCAGATAAATTCGTAAAACGGGTTGCATAGCATCTATCTGAATTCCGAGTATTATGCGGGACAGCTGCCTCCACTTAAAATTTCAAAGGAATGTATAATGAAAACAGAAATTAGTACGCGTTCGAGATTGAAACCCAGGGCATTTGGGATCACGGTATGTTCTTATGCAGCGACGCTCACCGGCTGCGCTGTGGCGGCAGCCATACGAGTCGGTTCGGCCAGCTCATTCAGTATGCACTGCCTCGCAACAGCTTCAGCCTTGAGCTCTCTCTGCAAGGCAACTTCGATATCCTCGCCTTTGTTGAGGCCAACCTGCTCATCGGTCCACATGGGCTGATTCTTGACATCATGTGCGGCAGCATCGTCGCCAACACCCAAGAATCCGCCTGCGGCCTTCCAGTCGCTGGTCTTGCGGATGCCCAAGCGCTCCCAAACTTGCTGAAGGGAAGCAACAAGATGGTCGCGAAGTGGTTTGGTGTGGCCGGGGGTAGGGGTGACTCTCAGCCTCTCCTCGCCACGAGGAACGGTGGGATAATTAATAGCTTGAACATAAATACCATGATCCTCTAGGAGCATGTCGGAGGCACGCTTTGCAAGTTCTGCATCACCAACGAGGATGGGAATAATGTGGGAGGGATTCGGTATAACAGGAATATCGTTTTCGTTGAGAGCAGATTTCACAGCACGGGTATGGAGTTGCTGCAAAGTTCGGTCGCGACCATATCCGGCTTGGTATTTAATCGAAGTTGTGGCACCAGCCATGGTCGCCGGAGGTAGGGAGGTTGTGAAGATAAATCCGGGAGCGAGAGAACGAATAGTGTCGACAAATTTAGCAGACCCCGCGATATAGCCGCCAACGCAGCCATAAGCCTTGCCAAGAGTTCCGGTGATAATATCGATGCGATCCATTACGGTTCCCTTCACGTTTTCAGGGGACGTGGCATGAATATCATAATCCAAGTGTTCAGCAACGCCAGCACCATGTGGACCGTACATTCCGACAGCATGCACTTCATCAAGGAACGTGATCGCGCCATATTTGTCTGCCAGGTCACAAATTTCTTCAATGGGTGCAATTGATCCACACATGCTATAGACGGACTCGAAAGCGATGATCTTCGGGGTGGACGGAGGCAAAGAAGCCAGTTTGCTCTCTAGATCAGCAAGATCATTATGTTTAAACACCATCTTCTTGGCTCCGGAATGGCGTATGCCCTGAATCATCGAGGCATGGTTAAGGCTGTCAGAGAGGATCACACAATCTGGCAGCTTGGATCCCAAAGTAGCCAGCGTAGCATCATTAGCAACGTAGCAAGAGCTAAACACCAGAGCAGCTTCTTTTCTATGCAGCTTCGCAAGAGTATCCTCCAATCGAACCGCATGTTGGTTATGACCAGAGATATTTCTTGTCCCTCCAGCGCCGGCACCGTAGCTGTCCAGTGTCTCATGCATCGACTGCAACACATACGGATTCCGTCCCATGCCAAGGTAATCATTAGCACACCACACAGTCACCTTGTCTCCGGGGGAAGACATATGTGCCTGCGGAAATTCGCGGGCGAGCCGGTTGATATTGTTGAAGTAGCGGTACGTCTTGTCCTTGTGTTTCTTCTCCAACTCGCCAGAATAAAATCCCTCGTAGTCGAATTTTCCCGCCGGAGGAGCCGCAGGCTTCGGGCCGGGGCAGACGGTATCCCGCTTCATCGCCGCCGAAGGAGAGGGGATACTGCTCAAGTTTGAGAGCGCGGGAGGAACTAACACACCGAGTCAATACCAAATCAAGTTCCATCCTAACCTCAATTGCACAAAAAAAGGATACTCACCCCTATCCGCCTTCTTACCACCCACCTCCCTCACGCTCGCCTGCCTCACCGCACTCGTATGCAACCCCCTCAGCCCTTTCATCGGACAACCACCGGCCCCAGCCATTCTCGCACTCTGCACCGCCAACGCCTTGCTCATAATCGGGCATCGTCTGGCAATGACCTGCAGATTGGAGATGGTGCCGCCACCGGGACTCGCGGCAGCCTGGGGGCGGGTGCTGCTGGACAGCGAGCGGAGGGTGGATGGGGATGTCCTTTTCAAGAACGGGCATAGCGAACGGGACTGATGAAGAAGGGCCTCCATGGTGTTTTTTCCCCTTGAAGCTTTTTTTTCTTTGGCTTTTGGAGTTGAATTGATATCGTCTCTCTCAAAGGCCCCTCGGTTGACCGTGACTTGGGTTCAGAAAAGAGTGGACGTTGGAAGAGAGGAAAATGGAAAGACGAGCGGAAGTTTCCAGTTTTGGCCGGCGAGCGACGAGTATAAATAAGCAGATGCTGATTGGCCAGATCCCCGTCTTCCGCGTAAAATATTTCCATTTTGGGACAAACCGCGGCCCACGTCTGGCCCGATCACGTGCATGTGGGATGGATGTACCTTGCGGCCTTTTTTCCGCCGAGCGGTACTTCCGCCGAATACGAGACAGCCGGTCCGCTTAGTAATCAGGGGGAAAAGAAGGGAGAAACGAGAGAAAAAAGACAAGCAAAAAAAAGACCCGAAGAGCTGAACAAACCCAGCTGGCATCCGGAAACAAACCCCGAATCAAGCAAGACTGATCCTTGCCGCAGTATCAGCCCAACATTTCCACCTCAGCCGTGGTCGGAATGGAAACTCATGGAAAGGAATCATGTTAGAAATGACCTAATCATACATATCAACCTAATCACCTCCCTGCCAGATGCACCCATTGTATCTCTATTGTTACATGCAACAACTTGGTTATTCAAACAAAGAAAAAGGGCAAAGAAAGGAAAAGAAAGGAGCACTGAAGGTGATTCACTTTCAGGTAAACAGGAAAAAATATAATCGATGGAGAGCAAAACGGAAATGGCGACTATACACCAGCCTTCAAAAAGAAAAAGAGGTAGATCGAACAAAACAATAATAGCAGAAACCGAAAAAAGTAATTCAATAAAATAAATGCCAGATACCCGTGGCAGTATTCTGAAACAAAAGGTACTGAAACTTCGATTCAAAAGGAAGATAATTGACTCGTTCCATGCTCAGTCGACCTCACCGTCAATCAGTCGCAGTCTCTCTTTGATCGTTTTGGCCTTCTTTGATCGCCCTGCGCCACCGCGTCCACGTCGACCCTTAGCTCCCGGCGCACCAGCGGCCTCAGCAGAGACAGGCGTGGCGGCTCCAGAAGGTTTGGTACTGCTATCCTCAAAATGGCCCTCCCCTACACAACAAACGTTAGCCACACGGTCCCTGTCAATATGTACTCGACTTCCAAATCTCATACCTTCATGATACATGTCATCCAACGTGATATCTCTCTTCCTCTTCGCCGCAGCTTTCTTCCCCTTTTTCGCGCCGGCCTCTTCTCCCTTCTCGAGTGCTTCTTTCTCCTTCTGCTCCAACATCTCTACCTGTTCATCATCCGCCAGCCACATTGCAATGTCCTTGGTTCGGTTCTCGCGGCTGCGAGCATTGAAATCGACTCCACCAGCAGCACCACCTGAAATGACAACGCGCTGCACTTCCTCCTTTTGCAGAGCCCGCTTACGAATACGCTCTTCAATCGTACCCCGCGTGATAAGACGGTACACGGTCACTTGTCTGGTCTGCCCTAAACGATGGGCTCGATCCATGGCCTGCGAATCGATCGTAGGATTCCAATCGGAGTCGTAGAAAATGACTGTATCAGCAGCCGTTAAATTGATCCCCAGACCGCCAGCACGGGTAGACAAAAGGAACACGAAAATCTCTGGACGCTGCTGGAAGTCTGACACTGTGTCACGGCGATCCTCCAATTTGGTGCTTCCATCAAGGCGGCAGTACTTGTAATTTCGATAAGTCAGGTATTCTTCCATCAAGTCAATCATGCGCGTCATCTGGAAGTATAGCAACACGCGGTGGCCGCCATTCTTAAGCTCGCGCAAAAGCTCGTCCAGTTTGGCAAGTTTACCGGAATCCGTCACAAACCGTCTCATCGACGGTACAGTGATATTAGTATATCGGCCTTTCACTGAGCCCGGTTGTGGCAACAATGGAGGTACAGAATAAGGGGTGGGATCCAACTTCTTCGAAAGGATTTCTTGATCCATCGCAGTGGTAGCACTGCCAAAGAGCGCATGCCGAACAGTCATGTTGAAGAACGTTTCTCGCGCTTCTGTAATAGCAACTCGTCCGGAGCAGGATATCGTAATAGGCGGTGCCGAGGCACCGGGTTTAGCGCAGGGTTCAAAGGTGCGAATACCTGTATTGTCAGCGACGCTGTTCGTAACATTCAGCAGCTCACGCATATATCCGGTAGCGGTAGTGTCAGCCAACGCTCGCCGGTCGTTGCGTTCCACAATACTGAAAAGAGAGTGGGTGTGGATTGCGTTGAGATCAACGTCATCCTCGTCGTCGTAGGCAACGTTCATCAACGAGAGGCGGCTTGCATAATCACGTCGCATTACTGCACGCTCAAACACACCCTTGTGGGAGATATCATACGCCTCGCCAACAGAGGTGTCTGCAAACCTTAGCCAAGAGAACGCGCCGTTGTCGCTCAAGCTTTCCCTGATATTTTCAGGAGTCCAAATGTTCATCATATGAGAGAGATATTTCCCTCGAAACCCAGCCTTCAGATTTCCTGGCCCAGGCATATCCAGGCGGCTCTCGGGTCCACAAAGAAGACGTGGTAAATCATACTCAATGAGGTTTCGAGTAGAATACCCAACATCGACAAACGAGCCCTCGCGGACGAAAGATGCTGTTTCCGCAAAATAACAGGCTGAAAATGGTGACGTGGTCTCCGCACGTTCAAACAGATCAGGGTGATTGCAAACTTTTCTGAACTGCATAACCAAGTTCATCAACGTAGTGCTGTCCGAGTCATCACCAATGGCGGCCTTTTCAATAAGATCCATAATGCTAACGCGGTTTCGGAGGTTGGTATAATACGCCCGTTGACGATAGGTAAGATCGCAGAAGACGTCCTTCTCAACCTTGTCGCCAAGCTCCTTTTGAACGTGCTTCTTGATGCGACGAAGCATGAATGGCTTCAAAATCATATGCAACCGCCTAAGCTGATCTTCGTTAAGCTTCGTATTGCTCTGAGCATGGCTTTCGATATCCTTGGAAAACCATTCGCTGAACTCATCATGAGAATCAAACAATGTTGGCATGATGAAATGCAGCAACGCCCAAAGCTCCTGCATGTTATTCTGTATTGGGGTACCGGTCAAGAGAAGTCTGTTTCTGCAGTGCATTCCGAGAAGGCTCTTCCACCTTGAACTCTGGGATGACTTGATGGCCTGGGCTTCGTCCAAGATCATGTATTGCCATTTGATCTTTTGGAAGTACTGAGCATCACCAACAACCAGCTGATAAGACGTCACAAGGACATGGAACTCCGATTGTTTGCGGTATGTAATATTCCGGCGATCCCAGAATTTTCGCAAAACCTTTCGATCCTTTGCTGATCCCCAGTAGGGCAAGACCTTAAGATCAGGAACAAATTTCACAATTTCTTGTTGCCAATTGTGCAGTGTCGAAGAGGGTGCGACGACAAGGAACGGTCCCCAGATATCGTGGACCTCAGCAAGGTAGGCCATCACGGAGATAGACTGTACGGTTTTACCAAGACCCATCTCGTCGGCAAGAATACCGTTAATACCTTGTTCATAAAGGTTAACCAGCCAATTGAGTCCCTTGAGCTGGTATTCTTTGAGTTGGCAGGTAAGCATCTTCGGCTGCGACACTTCAACGTCACCCAAGCTGGTTGGGTTTTGAAAGTTCATCTCCCCTTCGTCAAATGCAGCCATCTTATTCTCTTCGCCATTGAACGCACGGGCACGGTCCTGGGCTTCCTGCACTGCACTTTGAGCGTTGGCCATCGCTACCTGCCTCAAGGCGGTATCATCCTCCGCATCGAAATCAAGATCTTCAAAACTAGTGACTTTTGCACCAGCCTCAGGGAGCGACATCAAGCTATCGAGCATCTTGCCTTCGTCAGTAGCACCGCCTTCAATCGCCGAAGCGGTAGTGGCATCTCCGGTATCTTGAGCTTTATCTGTTTTAATCTTCCGGCCGATGAAGTGGGAGTAGAGTTCGGTCTGGGAGATGAGGAAATTAAGCTTGCGTCGCTGTCGGTTCGCTTCACGATCCGCCTCCGCCTTTTTAGCTAATTCGAGCTCCTGTCGCTGCGCGAGGCGACGCATATCACGTTCCTCGCGTTCATTTCGCTTCCAGAAAGTCATCATCTCCCGCATAGTTCGCTTGGCTCTCGCCTGGGTGTCCTTCATGCTCCTGTTTGTCCGTTCTTGCCATTTTCGGGCCTGTTTGCTAGCCAGTTGGGCGGTTTTTCGTAAATTCTCCTGGCGAGTACTAAGAGACACAACTTTCATTCGATAGACCTTTGGAATATCTTTCCTGGCAATATCCCTCCAAATTTGCTCGTAGAACTGATTGTAGCTTTTCGAGTCGTATGGAGTAGCAGGGATCGGACTCGGCTCTTTGGAGCGCGCGGCTTTCGATTCTTTCTTCAAAGAGGTCTTTCGAGGATCTTCCTTTGGAGCCAACGGAGCCAGTTCCTCGTTCTCCATGGCAGCATAAGCGGCCTCTGCTGCATCTTTCTCGGCCTGCTTCTTCTCCTTTGATTTCTTGGGTCTCGAGGAGCTCTTGGTAGCTTTCTTCTTTGCAGGAGGGGATTTGGAGCGAATGTGAAAAGAACTCGTAGTGCCACCCTCAAGGTTTGGAGCAAGGGGGTTGACTTCGGAAATTTCCTGTGAAAGCTCACCACGCTCGAGCGCAAGCGTGGTGTCCTTGATCTTCTTCTTCGATTTGGCAATCTCTTTCGCCAACTTTTGTTTCTCGGCCTCGTCTTCGATCTTGGTAGCTTTCTTCTGTGCCGCGTTCAGTTTTTCAATCTCGTGGCGGACGGTGTTCTCGCGACGTCGCTTTCTTTGCATGTCCTTTTTCCTCTCTTTTTCCTCTTGAACTTCCTTCTGTTGCACTTCGGCGTGTACTTCCGCTTCATGGGTACGGTTAAAACGATCAATCCCCTGCAGGGCCTGTTTTTCGAACATTTTTGCTAGTTTTCCTAGAAATTCAGTTCGACGTCGCTAGGAAGAGTCAGTGATCCTGGGATATGAACGAAATGAAATAGAGATCATACTTTGCGTTTCCGCCCTTCAGCAGCATCCACCTCTCGAGCGCGCTTCGTGCTTTTCATCATATAGCGTTGCCATTCTTGTTCGAAACCAGGGGCCTCAACGTCGCTGTTGTCCAGCATTTCGATCTGCTCCATCGCCCTTGCAATAGATTCGTCGGAAACCTTTTGGGACTCGTAGTCATTCATCACTTTGCGCGATTTTGACAACAGAGGAGGCGGTGGTGGCGGAGCGAAGGATGACTTCGTAGGGGCCATGCCGTTTGTCGCCGGGCGGTGTGGCATGTCATTGTACGGGTCAAAATGGCTGGTTCGATGGCGCATTTCGGGTTCAGAGTACGGCTCCGGTTCGAGCTTGGGCGTAGGAGCAATGGGAGGCAGAGCATTGGACTTATAAGCCTGGAGAGGTGATGATGGTCTCCGAGGCGGAGGTTCGTCTGCCGGTCCGGAGAGAATATTGGCAAAGGACATGGGGTTTGAGCGGGCAGGTTTCTAGATTTGGAGTCAGGTCAGCGAGAGCTCAGATATTTATGCAATGAGGGTGAAGAGAGCTGACCATTTCCTTCGGGGATGCCGAGCGCAGTGGAGGTTGGGACATGTGGGCGTTGTTCGCGGCTCTCAAATCATAGGGCTCCAGTTCACGCTGCGGTGACTGCGAAAATGCATCGGACATTGCAGGCGGATGTGTATGAGAGCCGGAGGGATGACTGTAGGTCGGGGGAGGCGAATGGGAGCTGGCAGACATTAGAGACCCGCCAAAGGGCCTCGGCAGAGTGTATCCTGAATTCGCAGAGCCGGAATGGCCATGGTACGGAGGAGAGCCATCGGCATTGACAACGGCGCCGTTCAAGGGAGGCAATGTGGTATTCATGGGGGAAGGAGCACGGGCGAAATGCGGACTGCGGGTGAGGGAGGCAGGAGGCGGGAAGCTTGGAGGAGTGCGAGGAGGATGCTGCTGCTGTTGCTGCGGCTGCTGGTAGGGGTCGTTGTTGGAGTAGAGCTGCCGGTCCCTGGTTGAAGGGGAGTAGGACGGGTAGCGAGGTTGCTGAGTCGGGGAATGCATGCCGTACGACGGCACGCCGGTCATCACGACGTTTTAGTCCAATGTTAATCGATCTGACGCGCAGATACAATTGGGGGCCAGAGATAACCAGTTGTCAAACTTGCTCCGGTGAACGGCTCCTGGTCTTCACACAACGGCTGCCATTCACCTTGCGGATCGGTGGGAAGTACTGTGAAGAGCTGCTGTCGGATTAGCAAGGGAGTAGTCGCGTGGGCGGTGGATGGAGGCGATGGGGGAGAAGCGAGGGTTGCGAGTGAGGTTGGAAGGTGAAGAAGGGGCAGGCAAGAAAGAGGTGGCCACAGCGCGGAGGGCTGGCAAAACGCGAAAAGGATGGTTATTAGCTCGTTAGTCGATACTCACAGGATCCGTTGGCTTTGACCCGGGTTTGCCCACAGGGAGAAATGCACAACGCAGCTGCAGGCGATGGGCGAGCTGGGTTCACGGAGGGAGCATGTCTGAAGGTACGAGGAGGGCAGAGAGATCAGAAAGGTGAGGCGGAGCTCAGTCTGAGACTACAATTGTGAGATGGAGATGGCGGCAGCGATGAGGGAGGAGGGGACAGTGGTGGAGGTGATGATGGAGGTGGTGGTGGTGGTGATGGAAAGACATGGCCTGGCGAGGAGGACGAGATGCCGGGCGTTGTGGTTCTCGTCAGCCAGCGTCTACGGGCTGGCGGGCTGCTGAAGCAAGCGGTCTTTTCGCTTTTTCCGCTTTTCTGCTTGTTTTTTTCTGTTGCTGCGAGCGCAAAATGACAAGCCAGCGTCTGGTTCCGGCGTCACGATGGATACGGGTCTGGTCTGTGACTAGCGCCCCTGGGCTGGTGGCTGGAAAGGCGGCTGTCGATTGGACGGTGTGTGATCCACCAAAAGTCATTCACCAATTAACAACGCTCTTGGCGGGGATGGCTTGCAGATGAGGGTCACTAGTAATCTATCGGTATTGCCCTGACAGCCAAGAATACCACCCTGCTGCTTATCTAATGAAACCGACGTTGCAGGATATTTCACGATCTGAAGACGAGATGAGATGAGTGGAGGGCATATATATATATATATATATATTTATATACGGAGTAAAGTGTTATAGAGGGTGGGCTCGGGATAGCAAGGAGTTTATGCAACTCTCAACGACCAATTCTTCTGTCAGACAGCCTCAACAGACTCATGAAGTCATCACTCCCACCAAAGGGGCGAAGACCACACTGGACCCAGCAACAGCACTCAGAGATCGACCGACAGCCATCCCAAGCAGCGAAATATCTCCGTCTGAGCGAGCATCTCGTCGGAATTTGGGAGCAAAAGCCAAAAGCGCAAAACAGACCTTCCGCTGATCCACGGAAACAAACTAGAAAGCATTCTGATGTAATGCACCAGCTTGTCCAGCACGCCGTGTCAGGATGGGCAGATTGAGCATGCAGATACCCTTCTATACCTTCTTGTCGTTGTCTTGCCAGCCCGTCTCTCCCCGCATTATCGCCACAGAGTTCTTGGAACGACGCGGTTCCAAGCTCATCTCATCTGCCCATTCAGGTTCCGTATATCCCTGGAATGAGACAGCTCTGGACCCTGCCGCCCGCGCAATTCGCTGTGTACATACTTGTCCTCCCTATTGGTCTTGCGGATAACTCGCGTGTGCTTTTAAATCTCGTGCCAATGGCCTGATGTGCATTGTTTCCGTGGTGGTCCCATCTCTCCTCCTCTGCAGCTTCTTGCACGGCAACCGCTGCGTCGTATGCCTGGCATGACGTTGAACGGCAGAATGGAACCTCCCTGGCCCAGAAGGGATGTGTACATACAGACAGACATATAAATAGACTGCTACTCCTTCCACGAGGGACGTCGTTGACATCATCCTCTCCGGTCCGGTTTCTCCTCCTGTCCCAAAGCATCCTATACAATCGATATCAGTCCCCCCAATTGCTGCACTATACACCACCCACCAGCAACAGCAGCTTTCCCCCCGGACCAGACTTGCCCCCAAAAAGAAGAGAAATCCCTCACCATGGCAACGTCCGCCCCCAGCCTGCCCAAAGAACAATGGGCCCAAGTCTGCCCCAAAGTCGGCGGGCCGCTCGAATACAAAAAGATCCCCGTCCCTAAGCCCGGCCCCGACCAAGCCCTCGTCAAGATCCAATACTCGGGCGTCTGCCACACCGACCTGCACGCCATGAACGGCGACTGGCCCATCGACGTCAAGATGCCCCTGGTCGGCGGCCACGAAGGCGCCGGCACCATCGTGGCCAAGGGCGAACTGGCCACGGGCTTCGAGCTGGGCGACCGCGTGGGCGTCAAGTGGATCAACGGGACCTGTCTGAACTGCGACTTTTGCGAGAACAGCGACGAGCCGCTGTGCGCCGACGCCCAGCTGTCCGGATACACCGTCGACGGCACGTTTCAGCAGTACTGCCTGGCGCAGACCGCGCATCTGACTCCCCTGCCGAAGACGGTCAAGATGGACAAGGTCGCGCCGATCCTGTGTGCCGGCATCACGGTGTACAAGGGGCTAAAGGAGTCGCATGCGCGGCCAGGCCAGGTGGTGGCCATCGTCGGTGCTGGCGGTGGACTGGGCACGCTGGCCATCCAGTACGCGAACGCAATGGGCCTGCGCGTCATCGGCATCGACGGCGGGGATGAGAAGAAAGCTGCTTGCCAGCAGTTAGGCTGCGAAGTAAAAATATAATCCCCATCACTCTTTATCCCCTGAGAACCACCGCTCTCTAACACTCCCCTTTTCAACAGGCCTTCATCGACTACACCAAAACCAAAGACCTCGTCGCCGACGTCCGCGCCGCCTCCCCCGACGGCCTCGGCCCCCACGCCGTCCTCCTCGTCGCCGTCTCCGAAGGCCCCTTCCAGCAAGCGGCCAGCTACGTGCGCTCGCGCGGCTCCGTCGTCGCCATCGGCCTGCCCGCGCACGCCTTTTTGAAAGCACCCGTCTTCGACACCGTGGCGCGCATGATCAACATCAAGGGCAGTTATGTCGGCAACCGCCGGGATGCCAAGGAGGCCGTGGATTTCTTTGCCCGAGGCAAGATTGAAATTTCCGTACAAAGGTCGTGCCGCTGGAGGAGTTGCCAAAGGTGTTTGAGTTGATGAGTAAGTCGGAAACGGGGTCTCACTTTTTTGCTTTTCGAGTAATACTAACCCATCCGACAATAGGGCAAGGTAAAATCACCGGTCGCTATGTGCTGAAAATGCCAGATGCCGAATAGATCTTCTCGCTGGGGCGTTGGTTGAATGAGCTTGAACGGCTTTTGCTTGTAATCACAAAATACGACCGCATATCCAGGTCGCGGGTACATAAACTATATCTTAATATTTGACTGCACAAACTGACCCAATCCGTGTTGCCAGCGGAAACCGCCTTTCGTTTCATAGGTCCAAGGCATAATCAACTTGGAAGCAAAAACACCATTCCATCTATCTAATAGATAGTCGACAAGAATCTACAACGGAAAAGACAGAAACCAAACCAAACCAAATGGTCCAACACTCTCATAAAGTACACACAAAAGGGTTTATAGTCCTAGGCCAAAGCATCACAAGAAAACACCAAGCCAAAACCCAGACGCCGAGTTGGAAATAAACGACATTACACCGCTCCAGGACCCTTGTGCCCGGATCCTTGATCAAGCAGCAACTTTGGCTTGATATACTCTTCGTCCAACTGCTTGAACCACTCTGCATGGTCCCGCGACCCAGCACCGGACAATAGATCTCGGAACGCGCTCGTGGCTCCCGCAAGTGTAGGCCGAGAAGACGGGCCTTGGACTTGCCCTGCTACCGTCGCTGGTGAAGCAGCTTGTGCTGTGACCGGTCCGGGACCAAGGGGGCTGCGAGTCGATAAGCGAGAAGGGGCCCGTGACGCTCTGTGCGAGGGAGCAGCGGGGGGTAAGTGATCGTCATCAGATATTGAATCGAGCTCCAAATCAAAGTCATCCAGATCTGGATCTATTTCGGCCGGCATCTTTGATGCTGTACGAGACAAGGTGCGATTTCTGTTATGAATTGCGGCTTCATCAGCACTGCTACCGCTGGCACTGCCGTTTTGGCTAGCGCTACGGCTTCCAAGCAGTGTTTGTGTCGACGCTGCATCGCGGGAGCGCGCAGCGCGATCTCGCTGGCTATAGTTGGCGCCCTTTCTCGCGGCCAGGTGGCTGGAGCCCTCCCCTATCTGCGGGGAACGATGGCCGTTACTGCTCGCATAACTTTCGCCAGTGATAGGGCCCGCATCAACGCCGTTCGTAATATGAACAGAGTTCAGGGGGATCGTGAAGTCGCCCCGGCGCGGTGTGTGGCCGATCCCGGTCCCTGATCTCTTGTAGTAAGTACCTCCATTCGTCACTTCTATATCGAATTCATCGTCAGAGTCAACCTCTTCCGCCACGCCAGTGCGGATGTCCAAAATTTCTAGCATTCGAGCCGTTGTACCGCCAAATATGATCACGGTTAAGACTACTACCACAAGGACTGTGGCTCGTAGTGCCGGAGCATTCTTGCCTTCCAAGCCAGCAGCCAACGCCACGCCTACCGCTCCACGTAGACCAGCCCAGTAGAGCATAGCTTGGTAGGAAAATGGCAGTTCGTCAGCGACATCCTTCCCGCGTCGCTTCGCTCGATATCGGATAAACCAATTGATCGCTTTCGACAGCGGGAAAACCGACATGTATCTTGCGACGCAGATACCGACGACGGTCACCATAATAAATAATGGTTTGAATTGAAGGTGGTCCTCAGTGAACAGATCCAAACCAAGATATATGAAAATAAAGTTCTCCGAGAGCTGTGCTAAGATTTGGAAAGATAAATTTGGGTCGTGAGTTGGGTTCTCCGTGACATGTTGTAATATGCGTAGTGTTTTAGCGTAATGCCTCAAAACAAAAGCGACACAATCCCTATATCCTGTTAGATATCAGCTGCATTATATGAAAGGAACAAGCTTACCAGACATGTGAACTCCATTCGAAAAGAAATAACTCGCGTACGCAACCAGTACAATCAAGCAACTCTCAATTTTCGGTTCACGGCGAACATGGGTGTATTTCAGGCCCAGCGCCGTGACCACTCCGACGACGACCCCGATCAATAAGCTGCCAAAAAAAACCAGTAGGAAAATGCCGATGGCTTCGAGCAAGCTCAGAACAGTCAACGACCCGGCGGTACTGCCCGGTTTGTATCTCTGGGCAGTTTCGAAAAGCACAATGGCAATGGCATCGTTCAAGATGGACTCTCCAAAAATCACAGTGTAAAGTTTCGGCTCGACTTTATAAAAATTGAAAATAGCCAGAATTGTTACCGGGTCGGTCGCGGAGAGTGTGGCACCGACCGAAATCGCTTCCACGAAGGAAATGTTTAGGCCGTCGAGCGGAATCCGCGTCCACAGATATAAGATAGCTCCCAGGACCAACGCCGAAATAAAAGTCCCGGCAAATGCAAATGTAAGAATCGTCCCTATGTTTCTAAAGAAATTGGCCTAAAGCGGTATCGCATCAGTAATGCGCTTCCCCGAAGATAGCCGTCCCAACGTCATTCGGTGGCAGGCAACTCGCAACCCGTCAATGTAACTCACCTGGTGTAGCTCATATCCCGACGCCAGTATAATCGGAGGAAGAAGGAGGTTGAAAAAGAATTGATAATTGAAGCTGACGGATTTCTGGATCAGGGTTCCAGGGGTAACACGAATAATCAACCCGACCACCATGCCTGTTTAAACGTCATACGGTCAGCCAAAAATTTACAATATCCCATCAGATACTCCGCGTTTATCACACATGGAACTCACCGGAAAAGATCGAAAGAACCGTCTCATGTACGGCCTGAATCCGCCTCTGCTTCAGTGTGTAGCTAGTAAACAGCGCTATGATCAACAGCAGGATGAGGATAAAGAGCGCCCAAGACGTCCAGAACTCTTTCTCCCCAGCTTCAGGCGATTCTGCAAAGAGGCTGGCGTCAGTTATCCGAGAAGATAGATAAAACCCCAACGGGGATGGAAGGGGCGCAATCGAACCATCGGGATCAGTTTCATCCTCCATTCTCTTTCCTATGCGCGGACGAATGAATTAGCGATTGGATCCCCAAGGATTAAAATCCATGTGCGGCACGGAAAGCTAGTGCACATACGTAAAGATCCCAAGGCCAGGTCTTGAAGGATTGACGCCATCGTGGCTGATTGGGAGGATGGCGGGATGGGAGCTGCAGGGACAAGCACAAACGGCGAGTCGGTTCGAATAAGAGACGTCACTCATAATACCAAAGTGTCAGCGAGGTAGAAGAACAGCAGCCGGAGTGACCACGATCGCACTGCGTTCATCGTTTGACCTTTGAGCATCCGGGGTGCCTGTTCCGTCTTCACGACACGCTAACCTACGTGAGCTTCCTCAGATGGCCCCGTGACACGTGACCTTGCGATGGCGACGACATCCGAACGGCGACGAGAGTAGATATTCAAGATCTGATGGGAATTTCACATGGGCGCCAATCCAGCGGACGAATGATGAAAATTTAAACCTTCCGCTGCCAAATATATGCATGTATGTATGTATCTACAAACGTATCTGCCGGATATGGTATATAACACCGAAGGCAGAGCAACCCACCTACACAGCATCCCCGTTTCCAGCCAAACCCTTCCCTCCAACACCTTCTCCTAATTTAGCCGTAAAATATGCTGCACCCAACGCTGCGCAGCCTCCAAACCGCATGACCCACCCAACACTATCATCCCATGGTTCGCCTCTGGGCTTCTGTAGCGCTTTAAATATAGCACTACTGATCAGCGTCGAGACGATTTGCGGAAAGGAGATGGCAACGTTATGGATCCCCAAGATCACCCCGGCTTGATCAACAGTTTCCTCGTTGTCTGCACTCCCATCGCTATCTGGGGTTGACAGCCCATCAGCACCGGGTCCTGGACGTGATGCTGCCGGGTCCTGATCTGAGGCAGACGTTCTCCGTCTAAGTTGGTGCTTTTGCAGCCTGTGTTTCGCATCGCGCTCTGCAACTTCTGCCGAGATAAATGCAAACGGAGCCCAGAGGGTAAGTGCCCAGGATATGCCAACAACAGCAATCACCACGGTGCCGGCCTCGGGGGAATATATGAGAAAGGTGCTAAACATGCACAAGGCGAATAGAATATGGGAAAGGAACCACATTCTGCGAAGCGTAAGACCGGGAACTTGGAGTTTAGCGAGGATACTCCTTTTCTCTTCCGATGGCTGTACGGGGGCATGACTTGTTTCAATTGCTGGACCTGCTGACGCGGTGAATGAAAGCGTCGAGGTCGAGGGATGGCGCATTAAATAAGGATGCCTCTCGTTGGACAAACTCGCATCCGACTCTTCTGGTAAAGTGGGACGATAAGTCGGCACAACAATCAGGGGAAGCACCATGCTGGCAATAAACGACGTAATCGCGTACACCAAGAGAGCAAATGTGCCCACTCGTGTGGCCTGCTCCCAGATATCCGTTATCGCATCTTCAGGGAGATTCGGGTGTTCGTCGAAAATCGGATTGACATAGAGTTGCCCAATATAGGTCGTCGAATAGAACAAAAATGGAAACCATCCCACCCACGCACAGACCTGGACTTCGCAAACCTTGCGAATTTGAGGTGGTAGGCGCCGAATAGACTTGAAGACCTGTTTGAAAAATGATATGATGCCTGGGTTATCGCTGCGCGGTGAGCCTTCTAGTCGAGGATCTCGCTCGGCGATGTATGAGCAGCTGATCAGCAGAGTGCTTGCTAATGCAATCGAAGCGATTATGCAAAGCACTTTGAATTGGGTATTCCCAAAAAAGGGGAGAATCTTAGGTAGATCCAAGTAGCCTGAAATATAACCTAGAATGTTACCGACACCAGTGAGCCGGCTGGCCCAGGCATTCGCGGATTCTTGCTGGTGAGCTGGCGCATTGTCTACGATAAATGCCCGGATCGCGGCTTGAACTACATTACTCTTTGCGTCAGATAGAGCCGCAATGAGTAGGCATGTGAGCAAAGGGGAATACTGACCCGTGTTGATAGCAAAATCGAGGCAAAACATAAAGATTGTCGCCACCACAATCGTAGTTACTTTAACCCCTTGAGAGCGCGGAGCAGCGCCAAAGATGCCTAGAATCCCGCCCACCAGTTCGCGCACCCAGGCGAGCGCTATCAAAGAAGCGATTGTTGCAAGCCCACCTCCAATCATAAATGGTTTTCGCTTTCCCCAGGGGATTCGGCAGTTGTCACTGCGAATACCCACGTAGGGTTGAACAAGGGTCCCTGTTAAGGGCCCGGCAATCCACACGAACGCGAGGAGGGATTTATTCATCCCCAAAGAAAGTAAATACGGCTACCACAGTATATGTCAATGCAAATGGATATATACAGATGGCATAACCAAACTCACCGATCCATTCGACAATTCTACAGACCAGACAATCTGCAGCCTATCAAGATGGAATGTCAGCAACCATGATCTAAGGATCAAAAGACAACCAATACTTACCCTCCAATACTCAATGTCAACAGGAACAGATACCAACTACTCCTCGATTCGCCCTCCTTATCCGACTGTCGTGCAATAGCAGCTTCATCTTCCCAAACCTCCCTCGAAGCCCTCGGGTTCTCCGCAAGGAGCGGCGACCGATCATCCTCTCGATCCGGGCACAGACGACGGGCATCCGTGATGGGGGGCAGACTGAAGGTCTTCGCTCGAAACACACACTGGGAAGATGAAACAAGGCAACAGATTTTCTCTGAACCGCACGGATGGAAAGTAATAATATCACTCACCGGCACATGGAACTATAGCAAGGGATCGTTGAAAACGAAATTAGGACGTAAGCCTCCAGGAATGCAGGTCCCACAGTAGTCGGCAATAATATATCAAAAACGTGTATGTCCCAAAAGAGCTTATCGAATATGAATTAAATGCAAATTGGAATATTAAATGTTGTGTAATATGGGGCGGTTCAGAACGAAACCCGCAACGGCAGCATCAATAAAACAAGGATATTGCTCAGCATAAACAGTAGGAGACTTATTTCCAACGGAGTCGTATGGAAAAAACGGCCCGTAACCGTGCGAGAGATTAATGTGGCACGGTTTGCCCCCGTGGATGCATCGCAATGCTGAAGATGTTGACGCAAACAAATCACGACGCAATGAAGAACGATGCCGGATGCGACAGCCAGCCACTTGTTCAAATAGAAATAACCAACCCTCGGTAGCTATTCAGGGTATATTAGCATGGACTTCTTGCAGTTGACCGTCAGTCCTCGGGGATATCGATGTGGTAGCTTCGTGTGCGGTTGCGGTAGTGTTCAAAAGGTCGGGGTAATCCCACCCGTCGAATATCTACCAGGCTCGCTTCAAAATCAGCACAGCACTACTGAATGTCACAAGGCCTTTTTCCCCCAACCGATGGAGCGTGATACACTTTGCCTTGTCGTCCAGTTCTCCCGCAAATCGAGGCTCCGTGATGTCTGCCCTGTTTACATAATCCATTGTGACGCAATACCAAAAGCCCAGATATCGCCACCCCGAGTTTCCACCATTCAGGCGGCAGTTCTTCGGGCGTGTTTCACTTGCTGGACATCTTCATCATTTATCAATCGTGATTCAATATATTTCAAGTCTATATAGCTAGCTCGACATTACACTCATGAAACAGATATGCGGGCTGGGAACAGGAAAAAAACACAAGAACGCAGAAAGATTGAGCCCAAGAATTCCAAGAAACAACCTTTCTGAAAAGCCCATCAAGACCAAAAAGTACACCAAGAAAAACGAGTAAACGATAGAAGACCGCGATTTGTGCGAGAGTTTGGTATTCAGATGAACCTGAAGGGTCTATCCCTAGAGGGTAGCGTTTGACCACAGTGTAGAAAGATCGTATCCATATCGCGTCTTTTTATAACATTCCACCCTGCCTCTGCTGAGGATTCACGGTCACAACATAAGGATAAAGCAAGAAGCTCCGCCCTGCCTCAAGCCATACTCGCAAGTGGAAGCGAGCACAAGCGCGAACTCTCCAAGGGGCAAAAGGAAGTATAAGCTTGACGACAGAATGTAGAAGATAGTGAAACAAAGAGTATTAGAAAGTAATATGGGTTGAAAACTGGGAATGTATGCCTTATATAAAGATTGAGGCTTGTTAAATCATGAGCATGGCTAGTACCTTCGCCGGGGGGAGGGGAGCATAGCCCATGAAAAGCCCAGGACAATCTTCAGGGAGCGGTCTCTGAAGACGCTAGAGACTTGCAAAGTCCAGTATGACATAATCAGCGGCTCATATCTTCATTGCAGATGAAAATGGGATACACAGAAACATCGCGCAGGTTAAACAAATGTACCAAAAACCAAATCTGAAACCACATATCGAAGAGAATTATGGGAAGATGATGACATCTAGCGCCTTGGAATTGCAAGCAATGCGAATATAAATAGGGTATGATAGCGGGGTATCATGAAAGCGCCATAACGTGGATTTGTATGACGTCGCGTAAATGGAACTCAACCAGTTGTAATTTTGTTGGGTGTGGCCATGCTACATATCTTACAAGAAGCGACCTGCTTAGATATGCTGCTGTAGGAGCTGGTGACTGATCATCTGGGGCGCAACCATAGACGGCAGGTTGGGAATCGGCATTGATGTGGGCATAGTAACATTGGCCATGTTAACAGTGGCAGACAAATAGCCCGGATCAGGGCCCGTTCGTTCGTGATCGGCCGATTCAGGTTCGTGGTCCTACTGTTCATGCTCCTCCTTGTTGGAGTTCGCTGGCGGCTGTTGGCCGGCTTGAGCGCCGTGGGTTCCACGGTGCCTAGAAGAAGCCATTAGTATAAAGGTATATTTCAATATGCTACGATTTAAGAAGATACATACTGTGCAAGATTGTCTGACCGCGAAAACGCTCTGTTACAGTAGGGGCATGGGTAGGGCCGCTCCTGAGTATGAGTCCTCACATGCCTGGATACCAAGATATCGTCAGCGGCTAGGGAAGTTGATAGGAAAGCCAATGACGAAAGGTACGAAAATAAATATTGCCAAAATCAATGCGGAAAGTGGAACGTACCTTTTTAAATGCTCTAAGCGCTTGAACAGCCGTCCGCATGATGGAATCGGGCACGAATGAGATTTCTGAGGATAAGGGCCCATTTCCATCATAGTTGCACTTCTAGCCCGTCGAACCGGCCCAGGGGCGTTTGATCGGCCGTTTGAACATGAGCTCTCAAGAGCGTCGCCGCTAGTCAACATCGGCATCTCGCTTTGGGAGTTGATCAAAGACAAATGGTCGTCGGCATGGGTTTCGTCCAAAGTGGGCAGTGGGGTGCCCAATCTTGAGTTTTCATGTGAGCTTATTTTGTTGCTTTCATCCGCCTTATAGCCATGAGTAAGACCGGGCGGCGAGTCTTGATTCGATTCGTCTCCTTCTGTGACCGAGATAGAATGGTGCAGGTCACTAGGCCGATGCGCCGCATGGGGGTTCGAGTGAGCCTGCCCGTTTCCAGTAACGGACGCAAGGGCGTTGGTGATTCCTGGCGGAATTGAGGACCGCCTTCTTCGCTGTTTATAGGTTGGAGACCCTTCAATGACTGAATAAACGTTGGTGGATGGGAATGTGCGCGACGCAGTAGAGAACTGAGGAGCAGCGAAGTTGGAAGGAGGCAATTGCATCATAGCGTTGAATGCAGCGGTGGTGCCAAGATCAGGAATGGCTGTATACAAACCGGTGTCCTCATTTGCGATATAAGCAGGCTCTGAGCCCAATTGGACAGTATGTTGAGGAGGAGTAATTGGCTCAAAACTGATGCCGCGCGGGCCGTATTCATCGTAATGGGACGAGACAAAGGACGGCGCAGGGGAGTATTCCATGTAGGTGGGCATCGAGGTGTGGCGCTGGTGGATTCTCGAGATAGGAACGCCGCTACGATCGTACTGAACCTGACCATAGTCTTGTTCAGCTTTGACACCGCCAGTTCCCATGGTAGCAGATGCACTGGTAAGGCCTACTGAATTATAGATACCTTGATCTTGTGGTTCTTCAGGTACGATAGGCATCGCTGGAGGAAGTTGCGGGGGAGGCATGGAATCGGTTGTTCGAATCATGGAAGAAGCGGGATGATACGCAGCGCTAGCGTGCGCGGAAAAGGAAGACGAATTTGCTTGTTGCGCCTTCGTCAGTTGCTCGTACAGAGACTGCGATGAATCGAACTGGAACGACAAAGCCGGCTCGTTCAGGGCAACAGTGGTGGCTTCTTGACCCATCTTCTCCCTTTTGAGGTCGCGCTCCAGCGCATCAAGGAACAATCGGTCGTGGGGCACGCTATACCAGTAGAAGACCTTTTGCTTCTTCTGTGTGCGAATGCAATTATTCTTGTAGAGGAAGTCGAGGAAGGGGCTCTTGGGCTCCTCGAGCGAGGCATCTGTGCCTGCTTTCAGATTTCTGAGATCCGAGAAGATGCCTTCTTCGAACTTCTTCGTATTCTTGACTGGGTCGACCAAACGCCTGGGAAACGAAAGGAAAGGCATCGCACGATATCGGTCCCTGAGATGTGGAAGAGATTGTTCCTGCGCCAGATTAGAAATGGGTCGATTGCAAGGGTCTAGTTGCACATACCATAGCACACAGGAGACATAGTCGCCAGTGGGGAGAAGGAACCGTCTAATGAGCTGATCGGGTGCCCAGTCAACGGGTGCAGAGATTAAGAAATATTTCACTAATCAACGAGTTAGAAAAGTGGTTCGACAAGTGAAGCACCCAAGGCTGCGAACGCGTGGGCGGGCCGAGGACGTACAATTGTCAACCTGTTGGAGCGCAACCTGTGCATCGTGCGGAAGACTCTGTTGAGCTTCATTGGAAAGCATAAAAGTTTCGGGTTTCTGCGGCGGTGCCATGGAAGCACCGTGCTGAGAATACATCACGAACAAAAGCAACCGACTCTGAGACGGGTGTCAGAAGCGGAACAAACAATGAGTATTCCCATTGAGATGGGATTCTGATGTGACACAAGAGCCGATCGATGCGAAACCCAGACAGGAACGCAAGGGAGGGGAACAGCGGATAAATCAGATACGAACCTGTCAAGAGAGGCAGAAGGGTTGCGAATGATTAGATAGAATATAAAACTCCCGACAACACGTTTCCGACGACGAGAGAAGTAGGGAGGCAGTGGATGGTAGAGAGAGAGGGGGGTGTAGACGAGCGCGTAGAGGCGCCAACTGTCACAGGCAAGAGAAGGACACAGCACAGCGTTAAACGACCGTGAGGGGTAGGAACCAGGTAACGAGATATGTCGGAAAAAGGACCAGCCTCAACGATGTGG